AAGCAGGTTCGACTCCCAGACGCCTACATCGGCCAACAGAGCTGAATCTAGGCAGTGTCGCACCCACCAGCAACAAACCCGAATCTGAGCTCGAGAAGCAATTCTCTCTCATGCGCAACTCGAAAACCCAATCGAAAGCCGCTTTGCGGTCGCCAACACAGCTGCTCCAAGAGCGTCTAAGTATGTCGACGACGAAGCAAAAGGAAGAAGTCAAAGTCCGCGTCTTTGTTCCGCCTCAGCCGCCGAGGAACGGCTGTCTGCTGCCCGGTCCCGCAGGCCAGATGGGGGCGTTTAGCAGTACATCTGTACGCGCGCGAACAGAAGGTGGACGCCCAGCGTGGTGGTGCAAGACGGACAAACTCGTGGTATTCGACGGCATTGATGCGGAAGCGAATGGCGAGGTGACCATCCGTGCTAGGACGAGCAAAGGCCTGAGCATCGCGCGGCGCAGAGGCGATACAGAAACAGTAGTCATACCGATGAACTGCAAACACTGTCAGGAGATGCTCAAGCGACATGAGTGGAAGTACGATATTCAAGTGTGTAAACGTAGTGTGTGTTGGGATTGTAAGGAGAGATGCAAGTGGGAACAAGAGCAGGAGATCAAGGAGCGGGCTGAGGCAAGCATGGAAGTCAAAGCAGAACGAGAACGTGCGGACAGTGTATTGCAGGATGACGAGCCGAGGATGGATGATCTGGTGCGTAAGTCGGGCATCGAGCAGTGCAGGCCGAAAAGCCCCATTGAGGCTGTTGGCGGTATCGAGGAGCGAATAGCTAGTGTGGGGTGCTGAGCGACCGTGTTGGGTTGACATTGTGAGTTGCAAGCGCTGGTAGCTGAGACGAATTTCAAAGTACATTTAAGAGATATGATACAAGTTTCCATTGTGAGAAAATTACAGGACAGTATGAAATTACAACTCACTGAGCTTGAAACTATCGGACATACATAACGCTGCTGTGTTTTCGTGAAGTTGGTCATGGATCGGCAGGAACAGCTTCACGCCATTGTGAAAAGTCTTCCAAGTGTGCTTAGCAGTAGCCACGGTCCCAGACGACATATCACGACTTAGTCAAGCTCCATGGCGTCGTCCATATACTCCAGTGGTGTATCGTCCGAGCTTGTGGTATTGTAGCTCTGTGGTTGAGGCTCAAAGTCTCTGCTCGAAAAGCCATTGAGCGGGGCACCAGAAAACTGTTGCACAACACCATGCGCATGGTCGCAACCTACAAGAAGGGCCCGAAGCATGGTCTCCAGCTGTGAGTCGTGCAGAGTGATGTTCTTCTTGCGAGAGGCATCGTCATCCCACTTGGATGCGATGATTCGCCCATCAGCGTCCTTCCAGGCATTTCTGAAGTCCTTTGCAAGACCTAGCTCGACACGCACGTCATGTACGCCAAAAGAAGCATGTAGTGGGCAGTTCTCGTCGTCTAGAGCATCGAGTAGGTTCGCGTGGAACGCATGCGAAGCGAGCGGCCGTGACCTGTGAAGATCGGGGTTCGTGATGTATCGAAGGGCGTTGATGTTTGTCTGAGGCGCGGCGCCGGAGACTTTGACGCCAACAATAGAGAGACAGGTGGTGATATATCGCTCGAGCAAGGTGTAGAACTCGAAGAAGTCGACCTTGAACATGGTTTCGGCTTGCTTCTTCATAATGTCAGCCTCGCGTTGAGCATTCTTGGAGACATGGTGATGACTAACACTTATTGGATCTGTGCTCGAACTAGCTGCCCGTACAATCTCAAGAGCTTTGTAGTAAGACACCATGAGCATTTCTGCTTTCCACCGCAGACGGCCGAACAGCCTGGTCGAATTGTCCTTCTCTTGCCTCAGTTTCTCCGCACGCGACTGTGCTAGTGACTCAGCTGGAGTCTTTGGTGCATATTTTGAAGTCTGCATTGCGAGGGTGTATGAGTTCAGTGTTTCCTGACTTGGTAGGTTGAGGGATTCTAAGTTTCAAGATTTGGTGGACGGTGTTAGCCAAATGAGAAGAACGACGTTGAGGCAAAGGTCAGATCTGCGGTGGAAGCTTTCATGATAGATTGGGGCCGCAAGATCATTGTGAGTTCAACGTTGTGTGCACACGAGGTTGTCACTGCTCATGGTGAGGTGACGTGAGGTGAATGCGCCAATGCGGACCAGCCGTAGGCGCCCAAATCTTGGCTTAGTCATGTGTGATAGGCGGCAAAGACTCCTGTTGATAACGCGCACGAATGCCATCTGATCACTGTGCACGTTTTTTCGGTCGTCAATGATTAGCAGTAGCGGCATGTTCACATCTGCGCCACGAAGTCTCGTGATAGCGCGTCCCTCTCACGTGCATCATCTCTTCCCTGCCAAGATTGATCCATCACGACCTTATCCACCACAGCCAACAGCTTCTCCCAACATCTTACACCAGTCAATCACACTATGCCATCAGCTGGTTGCAAACGCACTCGCTCGAAGTCTGATCAGACCGGGCCTCTACTACAGACGCGTCGTTTGACACGCAATAGGGGCAGGACTGCAGTGACAAACATCGCGGCCAAAAACAGCGAATTCACGATCGAGTCGCGACCGCCTCACAATTCTCAAGCTTGCTTTACTGACCTCCCAGCGGAATTGAGGCTTGAAATCTACTCTCATCTCCGCGACATAATCAGGATTCACGTCCATTGCCGGCAAAAGCGAAAACTTGATATATTTACTTGGACTCCATGTCGCTCATCGAGCACGATATCGCCGCTGCTATGTGCCAATCCGAAGTGGTCTGGTGTGCGCTCAGAGGACGAGCGCTGCACTTATAGGCTCGGCTCTTTGGCGGTGCTGAGAGGTGCTTGGGCTCTCGCAGCATCGAACAAGATGATCCGTAACGAGGCGCAGGATATGTTCTTTCGCGACAGTGTTGTCTCTGTCCAAGCCCAAGATTTGGAAGTTTGGCTAGATCATCTCGCTATGAAGAATCCTCGCCATTTAAACAGACTGCAGCGTGTTTGTCTGGCCGGGCCTAATGAATGGCGATCTCTGAGTAGGATACAATTCGAGACACTCCACAATCGAGCTCCAAACCTGTGAAGCCTCGGTGTGCAGTGTCAAAGCCCAGTCTGGCAACGGTTCCGCAACCATGCGCAGACTGGACCCATGCTCGATTACAAGAGATGGCACGAATGGAGCATAGTAGATTTTGTGCGCGATTTTGATCCTGCAGTTACGATTGCTCTCGAGACGACGGTCTCGAAACGGCCGCACCCCTTTTCGGAGCCCAATGGGGTTGAGCAACAGATTAAAATCCGAATAGTTCGTACAGGCAAAAGCATCGAGAACGCGTCTGATTGTAGCTGGACGGAGGAAGACACGGAAATCGATGTGGCTCAATCAGACCAACTTGTTCCGTGTAGAGATGACGAGAAATGGCGGCAGTGGTGGGCCAAGAAGGGCAGAGGACCGATGCACTGGACCGTAGTATCGCCGCATAGGCAGTTCTGAGGCAATTCTGCTTGTATCACTAGCTTTCAAAGGACTTTATTTACACAGGCCGGAACAGTGCAACCTGGATAGTTACAAGCTCTTCTGACCTGGGCTGTGTCCTACGCCTAGACGAGTTAGTGAAGGAAATATACACCAAAAAGCGCCGTCTTATGTGAGACGGCTGCGATGCTTTACACAGTAGATTACCAGAGAGCATCATGCCCACGCTGTTGGAGCGCCTCGCTGTTTGAGGAAGCGACGTGGGATTCTGGCACGTGGAGCACTGCCAGTCGCCCGCCGAGGCGTTTAATTGCATGCACATGCAGCGTTGCTTCTGCAGCACAACTGGCCGCGGAGTGCATGCGTAGCCCTATCGAATGCGGTAATGATTCGAGACCGGCTCAGGTTGGCTGGCGCGGATGCGGATGTGAGGAACGAACGGGTAGCACAACGGGGCTTCAAGGCACTCGAGGAGACTGGATGGCGTTCGCAAGGCCGGCAGTCATCAGCGGTGAGCACACGCTCCGGCTGACATGCCAGACAGCTCCTATTCGCAGTGTTTGAGCATTTGAGCATTGCTTTGTTTCCGATGATGCGCTGGCAGCTCGGTTCCTGGCTCGCAGACGGGTGCTGAGATTCTCGGGCTTGACGCAGCCGGACGGGCCGTCATCCAAATCGCCAACCTTGGAAGCGCAGCAGCCTACGATGATGACACTTCAACCCATCACCCACGGCCAGATCACAATCCTTTGCCAATGCGACTGACGGCCACACGCTACAGTTCTACAGCAAATTTCGGCTGCTGCGGCGTCGTCATCCAACGACTGTGCGCCGCGTTGCCTTCTAACTGGGTTTGAGGCGTGAGCAGGCATTGACCTCACCGCCCACGAGCACAGCACAAGGGGAGCGCACTGCACGCTACAACGCAGCATGCAACAAGGCACGGTCCAGGCCTACTACAACGCATCACCATGACTGCCAACGACACGGGCTTCGAGTCCATGACGGGCGCGCTGGAGAGGCGACGAGCCCACCATGACGCCCACGCCAACGCCCACGTCCTCGCACCAGGCTCCAGCACCACCGCCCACCACGTCAACGGCCAGAGACAAGACGGCCCCCACTGCTGCTGGCCCTGAGAGCGCGTCTACTGCGCCTATGAAGCACCAGACGACCCTCGCCGGCGCGCGCTCGCGCAACGCATCAGGCACGCCATCGCCCAAGTCACCACTGTCCTCGCGAGATGCATCGCCCGCGCGCCCCCATCAACGCGCTGCCCCCGCCGCAGCTGCAAACCCCAGAGCTGGCCTCCGTTCACGCAAGAACAGCATCAACGCCAGCCCGAGCCGCGGACCCAGGCCCAGCGGGCTCCAAGATCTCGCCCTCAGCCACTCCCATCCCCCGCGCGCAATCCGCGTCAAGCATTCCTCAGCTCCCTCAAGTGTCGTCGTCTGCATCGTCCGCAGACACCATCAAGGCGCCCCGGCCCATGAAGCCAACGCCTGCTACCATCTCGGGCGACGGCACGCCTCACTGGCCCATCTCGCCCCGTCTGAAGTCACCACCGCCCACGGATGGCCGCTCCGACTCTCGCTCTCGCGCCAACTCCATTCGCAACCAGTTCAGGAAGCCTGAGACACAGTCGACGCCCGCCATCGTTGTCCAGAGCTCGTCGCCAGGGCCCGCTACCCGCATCCTCGTTAGGGACGACGCGGTCGCAAGTGACTCGGACGAGCCTGCGATGAGCGTCAAGGCTCCCTCGCGAGGTGCCAGCGGCGCTGCCCCGAAGCTTGAAACAGTGCAGGAGTCGAGCATTGCCGACTACTCCGGGCTTTGACGGCATCGGGGTCGACAGGTACGGTTATCCCCGCAATAGACCCACTTTCTGTCATGACTACGCACTTGCAGCTTCCAGCCGACGGAAAATCCATGCCAACCATGCACTTTGCTAGCTCTCAGCTAACCGTTATCTCAGCTTTGTCTCGTCGTCGTCGACCACCTCCCACAAAACCTCTGATGAAGAGCGAAATGACGTCAGCTCTTCCAAAGTCACCGAAGACCTCAGCTCCAAGAACAACAACACCACCACCAGCAGTCAAACTGGCAGTGGCAGCGACAGCGGCAGCAAAGCAGCCAAGAAGGGCAAGATGCAAGAGCAGCGCTCCGCGTCAGCACAAAGACCACATCACATCTCCGCGAAGCCGTCGCTGTCGTCTCTTTCGACGCGTTCTGCCACCCAACCGCCCCTGCGCAACATGACCGTCGAGACCGAGACGGTGCCTTCTGTCGCGCAATCCACCATTGGCAACCAAGAGCGCTCTGCCTCGGGTCGCGTCGACGGAAGCCTGCGCCTGAAACCGAGCAACGAAACCATACGCCCCAAGAAGGAAAGGAAACCTGCGAAGCGGAAAGCGCCGTCGATCAACGCGGGCACTGGTAGGTCGCCTCACATTCCATATCACTATTTCGTTGCGAGCAGGCCAGATGTCGGCTCTCGCTCTAGCACTGTATCCTCATTCGGCAGTCCGACTTCGTATCGCTCGTACGACGATCGTTCTGTGTCGACACTGTCACCGCCGGGTGGTGGTGAGATGCGGATGCTCGAACAACGCCCCTCTCTCCGCTATTTCTATTCAAGCACTAACTCAAGTTTTCGCAAAGCTTCCTCCAAAGCCGACGTTTTCGAGCAGAAGGTTGCAAGTGCCGTCGATGAAGCAGACTCTTCTGACTCGGACGCAACCTTCATCTACGAGTCGAACCCACAACCCGAACAACAGCCACACCGCAGCCGACACCACCACTCGCGAACCCCAAGCATGACCTCGTTGGCCAGCCTTGCCGACCCACGCTTAGCGATACGCGACTCACACAAGAATCCAAACAAGAAAAGCAGCATGAAATTTACAAACTCTTACAATAACCCCGGTGCTGATCCTGACGCGGCCGACCGAGGAGATGGCACAGTACGCATAGGGTCTGGTCGAGCGACGGGAGGTAGTCACCATCACCACATTGGAAGACATGGTCAAGGTCGTGGCGGGCTGGGACACTTACTTGTGGACAGCGATTCGTTCATGGCACAATCCTCGCGCACACGAGGGCCATCTTCCAGGCAGGCATCGCAGCCTAACAGTCCACGACTCCACTCAATTGCTCCCAGTAATGGCCACAGCAACGGAAGCAAGAAACACGGCGAATACTCGACTTATGATATGGACGCCGAGCACGCAGCCGATGATGAAAGGACGCCGCTCATATCATCCCGAGGCAGTCAACGTATACGGACGCCTCGCCGTAGGAACAGCTTCACAATCCGCGTAGAACGACGCCATCAGCGGGGGAGCGGCTGGTGTCGTCGCTTTGCTGGTTGCCTAGTCCTATCTATACTCCTTATGTTTGTCATCTTCAGCTCGGTCGGTTTGGTGTTCGCCACCACGAAGCCATTGACAAGCGTCATTGTCCAAGGCGTGCAGAACGTGATCGCGAGCCAGGACGAGATTATGCTAGATCTCATTGTCGATGCCGTCAACCCCAACATTATCGGTGTCACTGTTGCCGACATGGACGTCATCATATTCGCAAAGAGCAAGCACGTAGGATCCGACAAGTGGTGGAGACATCACGGGGAGGACCAGCAAAACAACCAAGAAGACTGGAAGCCGGTTGACGATGACTTCACGTCCGCGGGCATTGACGAAGGCACGGATCCAATTGAAGGCGAACCCAGGACTATGTCTCTTGCGGACGTATCCTACACTTTGATTCGCCTCTGACCTACGGAAGGCTGGCTCTTTTTTCGCGCGGAAGCGAACTACGTCTCATTGGTGAAATTCGTCTTTCGCATCCTGGTAACAAGACCGAAGTTGGAGGGCCTGACCGATGGGAGGAGGTCTTACAGTATCCCTTTGAGCTCATCGTGCGAGGCAACTTCAAGTATCAGCTCCCGCTGAGCACACGCTCGCACACGGGTTCCAGTCACCGCGTCATACTACTACGACCCAGATGCTGAGAAGAAGGAAGCTCAAGCTATTAGACCCTCGGGGGAGAGCAAGAGAGTGAGGAAGCAACCACCCCCTTGTACTACCAAAGGCATTGGGGAACGGTACGATCGAAGAGCCTTCGCCGCCCATCCGCAATAGCCATGTCACATTGCACAACATGATTAAACACTTCCGGAGAGGGCCCGCACCCATGTGCGGCCCCGCAAAAGAATGGACAAAAGCAATTCCGATACCCCATTACATACGACTTTACGACCCATAGACACCCGATCCTGAACGGCACGCGCCCGTTTTTGACACTTTTCGGCTCCACAGCCGTCACGAATTTCATTTACTCTTCAAGCGTTGCTCTGCCTTTGTGGCGCCCATTGTACAAGTACGCATCTGAGGCAAGCAGCGCAGCGACACAACGTCTGTATCATGATAGTTTGAGTTTTAATCCGTAGGAGTCAGCCTCCCTCCTCGCACACCGTTTCTTCGTTTTTGACAACTTGGCTTCGCAACTTTTGGAGGTGGGCCTGTCTTTGGCCCGACGACGCTCATTGTACTTGGATCTATTATCTTCTATGTTTATTATCTTAGCTATGTTGCATCAGTTGGCCCTGGCAGCGTTGAGCGATTGCATTGTAAGCGAGACTAAGGGGAATTTCCAACTGCGGTTTGGATCACGAAAGTGGTCTGCTTTACATATAATGTGCATGTTTTGCTGTCGTTGAGCTAGGTGAAGAAGTCAACACGACGGTTTGCAGGCTCAAGCTTGGGTAGTACGAGAGTAAGAGAAGTACATGGGTGTCCAGAAGAGGCAATGCTTTCTCCGCAGATGTACAAAACCCTTGTCAGTTGCTCCACACTTGTGTAAGGCGGGACAAAAGCTTGTACAACCCACAGCAACTCCAGGAGGCTTCAAAGCTCCCGTAGTATACGTGTTGCATTTCAATTGTGGCGTTATCATGTGACATGGATACGAATGGTGTCTAACAAGCAAGGTCGCGTTCAGGAATTAGTGTTGATGCATGTAGGTAGCCCCCTCGATGAATGAATGGCATGATAGAATCCGCTGTTCATTATTTACTCGAAATAGTTAGGATACTGAATCGACACATGTTCCCCCCGTGGGGCAATGATGGCACATTTCATCGCTTCTCAAACTCCGGCCGTGTTTGTGTACCTGCTTTTCCCGGCCTCGCCTCCCCATGGACGCCAGACGCTGAGGAAATGCTGTACATGGAAAAAACGTAGAACTCGATCGCGACTACGTCAGATCCCGACCAACGCCGCGCCAGTATGTACAAGAAAGGACAGAGTTAAGACAGACAGAGAAGATAGGAAGAAGGGAAGGGGGTATGCTGTGCTGGTAAAGTGCTCGCGCTGCAGTAGCGCGAGAAGAAGATGGCGTGGGAGATGGAAATCAGTATCTTCACCTATCAATTGGCGTTAGTCGCATTCTTCAAAACACGTGGTGTAGCTGCACAACGGCGAGCACAGGGCGGACTCACCGATATCCCCCTCTCCTACTCCCCCGTCTCGCGCGATACTCGTCGTGTTCCTCAATAACCTCGACCACGTCGTCGTTCGGCACGCGATGTCTCTCCTCCACAATAATGCTCCTCGGCCGCGGCGGGCCCCTCCTCTCCTCGACGATAATCTGCGACCGTCCCCCAGACCTCCTCGGACTCCTGCTGACCTCGCGTACTTCTGTGCGGCGACTAGCCGTCGAGCGCCGGGCGCCGTGTGAATTGCGGCGCGGCCTGCGAATGACGATTTCCTCCTGCCCCGCCATGGCTGTCCTATTTCCTCCGAAGCCGGGTCCGCCTTGGGTGAGGGTGTAGAGCAGCCATACGATGAGTAAGAAGCCCGCGACACTGCCTAGGACGATACCTGCGACGGTGCCGGGCGCGGGGCCATTTGTGTTGTAGTAGGTGGGTATTATGCCCTGCTGGATCATCTGCTGGCGCTTTGCGACGGGCTGGTTCTGCGGCGCATTGAAGACGTAGTCCATCGCAGGCTGAGGCGGATACGGCCGGGAGTTCCGGGGCGCGAGGCTGTCAATGTGTGCGGCAATGGCCTCGTAGGGATCTCGCACGGCAGGCATTGCGAAATATCGCTGGTCGAGCGCTGGTGTGTGGTGGATTGGATGTTGTTTTGCGTCAAGGCAGGCGCGCGGTCGCTTGGGGAAACAGCGGTTCCTGAATGTTTTGGGGGTGGACGGGCAGAAGAGCCGGCGCTAGCTGAGGGGGAGGGAATTGCGCGCAGCCAAATTCATGCGATGCAGAAGGAATTGTTGTGTATTTGCTGCAGGTGTACGTTTGGCAGCGATATGAAGACAAGGTGCGAAAAGAGCGGAAAGGCTTGCGAAGGCTTGGTGGGATGCAGACCACGTTGCGCCCGTGGGCGACGATGCCATGATGCAATGGTTGGTCGTTGGGAGGTTGGGGCCAATAATTGGGGGGCTGTCCTCCGAAGCCGACAACGCGACTTCATTACTTCACATCTCGCTAATCACCACACTTCCGATCATCAGGATTATGTACTCGATCCTACCCTAAAGTTCGCTTCATGCTGTAGACTAGACATTCGTTCCCCCTTCCCGTTCTCGACAAACTCAAAAGGCAAGCATTCGTGGTAGTGTGTCCGCGGAGGTTGCCAGGATGCAGCTATAGCAACACGAATGTTATGTCGCAGCGCCTAACCACTAACTTCCAAGTTTCTTCCGTCCTGCCAAAATGGGCTCATCCTTGTCGCGGGATTCAATCTTTGCAGTGTGCTTTATTGGGACATGCCCGACGGACCACTTACTGTTGCCCTCAGGCGCTGAGGCGCTGTGCAGAAGTCATACAACGCCCTGTCGCGCCTGCACGTGAGCCGCCGTTCCTAGATCGACCTCGGTATCCTGGTCACCAAATCAACAAACGCGTCGGAAGTGAAACAACAGCTTCTCTCACAGACCGACGATCCTTGAACAGTACTGATAGATTGACGGCCGCCATGCACTGAGCGAAACCTTCATTAGAATGTGACTATCTTTCCTGTAGACCAGGACCAACTCATCTTACAGCTCCTCGTGATCCTCCTTGTACAACTTGGACCGCCACTTGCACATCCAGGCACCCTGTGACTGATCACGCGTCTCAAACTGAACATCGTCCATTCTTTCATGTGCAGCCCTTGCCATGTAACCCATACCCGCATAGACCGATGTGTCCGCCCGCCTCTCTTTCACCAAGTCGGATCCCAAGTTCTCCGCGAGAAAGTCCAGAAGCTCCGCATTGTCCGCCTGTTCACCATACATGAACAGTTGACGCGGACGCTCAACGCTTGGTGGCAAACTGGCCAACGATTCTTTGATTTCCTTCTTCAGCGAGTCCATCTGGCCATCAATGCTGATCCTCGGTCCATGGACAGGATCTTCCAGGTGTGACACTATGCCATCCTCTTCGATTGTATACAGCCCGAAGCTGTACCAGTGCGCATCGTACTCAAGCACCAAAACCGTCCAAGGCTCCTCGTCGAATGCAGGAGCTTGATCCGACTCAAGGTCGTACAAGACTTCCTTCGCTCTCCGAACTGTTGGCATTACTTGCCGGAGTCCAGACAGTTCGAGAGCTTGCTCAGCAATGCGGGCTTGAGGACTGGTCGGGTCGTCGAGAACGAGTGAAGCGAAGCAGATGTTGGTCCCGAGATGCGACTCTACAGACAGTTTGAGTGAAGATATCAAGGCCTTGGTACTGATGAGATCTGGGCTGCGACAGATGTCAACATTAAGCCCCAGCGCTGATGGTAGACGATCGAGTGTTGGTGCGAACCATTTACACAAGGAACTCTCATCAGCGGGTGCAGTGGTGTTGACTCTCATGAAAGCCTGGTATTCAGCCGACCCTTGTACTTGGGCAATGGGGATTGTGGTTCCGTTCTTCAGGTGGATTACCGCAGTCCTGTTGATGATGTTAGGAGAGCTTCTTGAAGCAGAGGACGTCACCTACCCATAGTCAGGCGTCAATCCAAATGCAACACCTGGGGCGCGCGGTCGAGGTGGGTGATGAGCGGCTACCCTCACGACTGCAGCGACAAGACATGCTGCGTACTTGAGCAGCATGTTTGGTCGCGAAAGCTTGAACCCGATCAAAAGAGTAATAAGATGCAGCTGTTATGGATACCAAGTTGATGCACTATCTAGACTAAAAATTCTAGGAGGATGTACCTGAAGGATTCATTTTCCCTTCGAAGCACACCGCAATGGTTATATCTGGCATTGCCGCAATGGCTGTAGCCTTGTTCCTGCCAAGATGTAACACGTCGCTTCCGCAGCCTATCAGGCAAGAAGCGTGGAAGAGGCGTAGTTGGTGCCAAGCAACGAAAATAGAAATAGCGCACAGGCAAGGCTCAACTTACACTCCGTGGATGGCCTGGAATGCCAATTTTTGGTCGCAAGATCGCTGACCAACATATTTGCACGCCTTACCGGGGCTTTTGAGAGATGAGATCTTGCTCAATTCCCGGGCTTGGCAAGTACTTCTGCTACCCATGCATGCTATCACAACCTTTGCGTTCGGCTTGAGGTGGGTCATAGCATTCCAAGATACGCGTGGCGACAATGCATATGGCCACCTGTATACACAGCTATCGACGACAAAAATCCACTCGCTGCAAACTACTACCCCGAGTACAATTCTGGAACAGGAATATGGGCGAGTATCCGCCGGGCGTAAGGCTGTGACCGCACGGGCTCAACTCCAATACGAGCTTTCGGACCCAACCAGCATAGATGTATACAGCGAAGACTCACGATGGGGGCTGTAACAGTCAGATTTAGGTAGTTTCTAAATCCAAAATCTGACCACCAACAGTCTGAGATCCGGCCTAGCATCAACCCCTGGTCTTGGACAACCTGAAGCTGCTGAGGCTACACAGGTGTATGGGTCGTAGGAACTAAAAGTATAAAGTATCTATGTAGTTCTTTGATCAAGTGGCATCATCAGCACATTCGCTCCTCCTTCTCCTACCATAATCGCATTTTCAGCACTCTTCGTCATGCATGTCTCCTCTACTTTTCCAGCATTGCTGTCTTTTGGGCTTCTAGCCTCCGGTCTCGTCGTCCGCGATATCGCAGAGGATGTCGACGCGGAAACCCTGAACCCCAAGACTATCCCACAAACCATCCGCCGCCTAGGGCGAGGCGAGAACAAATTCAAGAAGCAGTGGAAAACAGCTCCAGCATCGTGCACCGATTTGGTACATCCATCCGAGCAATGTATCAAGGACATGCAGGCTCAGCCGCATACCAACGATGTCATTGCATTCTCGGGTGGCGAGCTGAAGCTGGACAACAATCACAAGTGCTCTGATACACAGTTTGGCCAATTCCAAACTGCGGCTTGGGACGCGCTTCAGTTGGGGTCTTATATGGGAGCACCTGATCCGAAGAACTACAAAGATGCTGTGACATGGAGTAAGTGTAGGCTTTTGATGTGCGGCTGCCACAATTACTGATCTTTGTCTTTGTAGGAACATGGATGGGCCCAAACTACCCTGACTACTCTAAAAGAATAGTTGGTATGTTTTATCGACCTCTCTCTCTGAATACAACATGCTTACTAGTCTGAAGACAACTTTAATCGGGTTGTTGATTTCGAAGGAAGGAAGAAGTTTGATATCTATGTCACTTGCTCTGATCCCAAAAACTACTGCAACATCCAAAAAGATGGCAAGAACATTGGTGGGTATGCTTATGCCGTCAAGGGGTGGTTTGGCTACATGGTGAGTTGATGTATTTTTGAGTATCAATTCGGGCAGACACTGACTCTTGACTAGTACTACTACATAGCTGCATGTGCACCATTCTTCACAATGGATGACTTGGACACGAAGATCAATCAGATTGAAAAAGATCTGCGCAACGGCAACCTTAATTCTGCCACCAGAGCTGTCTGGCAGAAGAACATAGGCCAGGTATTCCTGCATGAGATGATGCATCTCGATGTCGTAGGTCAGCCACACAGTAAGTTGAACACCTGGACTATGCATTAGAGCATCTAGAATAGAAGAACTAGCACTGACGCTTCTATAGTCAACGACGAACACGTCGATCCCGACTCCGCTCAAAACTGGGCCTACGGCCCCAACCGTACCCACATGCTCGCCCGCCGCGCCCTCAACCAAGGTGGTGGCGCCGCCCGCGCCAGCACAAACGCCGACAGCTACGCGTGGCTCGCCAACAGTAAGCTCTTCTACGACATCACAAACTACTTCCCCGCGCCGGACAACTACAAAGACAAGACACGCAGCTCGCCCGCCGACACGCCCAACATGGAACTCGACGCCTGGATGCTCGACTTCGGCGCCATTACGGAGAAGACCACTGACGCCGAGCTCGAGGAGCGCAAGAATAAGATCCTAGCGAGCATGGGTGGCGCAAGTGAGGAAAACAAGCCACTTCCCAAGGGTAAATCCCTCTCCATCGCCATGGTCACACAAGTAAACTCGCACTCGGGCGGCGCCAGCCTCGACGCCCGCTGGCACTTCTACACCACGCCGCTCAACCGCGCAGTCGCGTGCGACGACAAGTCGCCTGAAGTCAAGGAACTCACGCCCCAGGGGCCTTCGGATCCGAAATCCAATTTCGGCGGCAATCACAAGGAGCTCGTGTGGCCGGGTGGCTCGTTCAAGCTGGATATCGAAGGCGCGCAATGCGAGTATAAGAGCGATGGGTCGAATGCGGGGAATTTGTATTGTCCGGGAAGGGTGGTGGGGTGTAAGGAGGATAGATTGAAGGCGACGGATCAGGGGTTGCCGCAGTGCGGGAGTTCAAGGGTGAAGTTTCATCCAGCTGTGTTTTGTGATTTTTAGATATGGTTGTGGGGGAGTTGAGTAGCGGGTCATTTGCATAGCGATTGGTGATTGGTTTGGGTAGTGCATAGCGATGGAGTTTGATAGATTATTGGGATTTGGTATTAGATATTTCCAGTTCTATAGAGTGCGCGAGGTCATGACCGAGGATGACTCCCCTGCTTGTCATAGTACAAAGACGACAGTTCTTTTTCCACTTCTACTACCTGTCCTTTTCCACTTCCGCCTCAAATCTCGCCGAGCTCCGCGATTACACGACTCTATGTCTTCTTCGAGATCTGACCTTGTTGTTATTGAGAGTTCATTGGACCACCCAGGGTACACTTACCAGTTGTCTCTTTTGATGCGTGACTGCTTCGACGTGCTAGACAGAAGCGTACTAAGAGACCAATGCATGGTATAATGACTACAACCAGGACACCTAGTAGCCCGAATAATGCTTCTTTAGACCATGTTGAGTTGCTCGGCGGGAGACTGTCAGCCTTCACTGAGCTAGCTTCTATGGTCGTTGTTAGCACGTCACTCTTCAGCGCGAGGTGTGCAACATACCGCTCATTGCTGCTATTGTATGGCTACAAAAGGATCTCTAGGATTCTCCTCATGTGAGCCCTGGGGTATAGTGAAACCCGCGAGGGCAGGCACGGATCACGACCGTAGTGTGATCACCTGCAGTTTGGGAACGGGACTATCTAAATTACGGTTTTCGCAAGATGATGAATGTTTGGCCAACATGAAAGCGAAGACGGAACGAAAGAAGTGTGTATAATGACCATTTGGCAATACCTCAAATTCCGAGGGCGCCGTACCTGATACTTATACTTCACATACAGAATGATGTACCCAGAGTGAAGGCCCCTACCTGCACAGCCAGACAAGCTCGGATGTAAGCTAAGGATCGGTACGATCCTACGGCGAGATGCATCACACCAACTACATGACGTGGATGTAACTTTCTATTGGTTCATTTTCTCGAGTGTGGTCTGAGCTTATGCGAAAATCGAAGTACTCATGGACTGTGCTTAAAACCGGCTGTGCGTGCGGCTGGGCTCGTGTTTATTCTGCTTGGCGTTGCCTGGCTGGTCGCTGCGGTCAACGACGGTAGTACGTCAACAAGGAAGTTCTGCAGGTTGCTCATGGATGTCTGCAGTGGCCGATGCTGTCAATGCGTCAGCGTTGGGTTCTGCACGTGGTTCAAGGATGTGTAAAACCCGTCCGTAGCATCAAGTCGAAAACGAAGGAAGATCGAGTAAATTAAGTAGGCTCTTGCGCAGACGCATATATTTTACTCAGTGCTTTTGTCTCGCTGTGCTGAATGTAAGCATCCGCGTTGCCTCGCTATGTACGTAAATAGTCGCCTCATCATCTGACCCCGCATTGTTGCTCTTGCAGCACCTTGAAGCGAGGTCTTTGTGGTGAGGTTGCCGAAAGGCTGAAAAATGACTAGATTTTTCGGCCGGATTAATGGCACTGAAGATGCCAGGAAAGCTGGTACGGAAATCCTACAAGTATGCAGCTATACTAATTTGCCCGCATTAAGGTGTAAGGCGTTGCATGGTATAATATTATGCTCACTTTCAGGTCATACCAGAAGCCTGCATGCCGTCGTTCGTCACTTAGTGGACATTAACATGCTTGCTCTAGGAAATAGTGCGCAGCTTCACGTATGCGAAACCTTGAAGTGGGCTTAGCGTATGCAAAGTCCTTCGATGAGTGGAGAAGGATGCAGGCTAGATCTTGAAAGGCCGTTCTCACTGCTCAGCTTTCGATTTTGTGGAGAACATACATGCATATGGAATGTAAGTAAATTTCCCTCGATGCAGTAACCAAATTTGCCTCATTTGGTTCACCGGTATGACGGCAGCCGCAGTTTGAGCTGAGACGCGGCCAACACTGGGTAGCTGGATTTCGAGCCCAATCAATGTCCAGCACCATCTATCACTTAACAAACAATCTGATGGCTGTGCTTCCAAACCACTGGCCGGCCTATCTCGGAGCATTTAAGATCCGGAAGGAAGAGAGTGAAAGGTATGGCGGTTGTTCGAAAGCCTTGAGAAACTTTACTCACAAAAGATTATAAAATTAGACCACACCAAGATTGTCCTTAAGAGCTAATTCCAAGATATGTAAGAAGGAACAAAACATATACAACTGCATGCTAAAATTAAAAAAACAATTAAAAACCACTAAGTTAGCAGAAAATGGAACTACGTTGCTACCAAACCAGCACAGAGGTGAAGAACAATGTCACCGTGATACACCTCGTTGCAGGCCTTAGTCGCCTCCCCCTCTCGTGATCTATCGAATGTGTATATATCCTTACATACTTGCTTACCATCACAAATTAAGTGTGGACATGTTGCGTTTGGGGCATTCGAAAACGTCACATTGAGGCCACCCTCATATCCCGGACAGTATTTGACCTTGAGCGTGTGATCTTCATTAGTAGCCTTAGCATCTGTGAGCTGGGACACATCGCGATACCCATCGATATGCGCCACACCTGTGGCTGTAGATACGGCTATAGCCCCTGATGTGGAACTTGTTGGGATGTAGACCTTGTATTCTTGCGTGTAGACAAGTGGATTGCCGCAATCCAACAGCGAAATATCATAGTCCAGGCGTCGATACGAATCTCCGCGGAGTGGGTTTCGCACGAGTGCGTATTCGAATTGCAGAATATTGGTGAAGTTATGCTCATCGGCTGAGATCTTGATCGATATGCCCTGACCACCAAGCTTGTCCTCGGGCCAGCAGTATGAAGGTTTCGTACTATTTACGTATATCGCGCAAGTGGTGCGATAGGGTTCGGTATACGTTTCTCCAGCTTTGATAGGATGTATGTCTTCCTCTGGTTTAGTGCCCCAGCTGGTTGAGTCGTTGTTTGCATCCCTAAAGCCTCCCAATCTGTGTGACCCAACAGATGACAAAAACATCGGTATTTTGCAGTGATTTACGACTACGGCGTTGCCATAGTTTTGACCTTCTTCACCTCCCCAGAAGAAAACTTCGGTATGGTTCAGGAGCGAGGGTGTCGGACTACCAGTTCTTTGGGATTGAGCAGCACTTGCAGTCACAGCATTTTGGGCTGTAGAACTTGATGCTGTCGCCAGTGTTGTGGGTGTGTAGGAAACGGAAAGGCGTGTAGCAGACGGAATCGATGGCGGCGGAGTTGCGGAAGTTAGGACCGCGGTTGAGAAGAGCGGGAAACTCGAGACAGTCAATGTCGGTACCACTGCACCAGAAGCAGATTCACCAGCCCCACTGACGATCGAGAAGCGTGACAGCCATAAAGCGGAGAGGACGGAGAGACTATGGCCTACCCAAAGATACATGTTATGAAGTTCAGCGCTTATAGGTATGCTTTTAGAGTAGTGGACAGATGATTTGAAAAAGACTTGTTCTGATATCTGCGAGAATGGTTCCAGGAATTCAGAATAAAAGAGTGTAAGTGTATAGAAGCTGGGAAGTTTGAAGAAACAGATATAGCCCTGAAAGCCATGTATGACTTTTGGGGCGTTCAAACATGACGCGGACGAACGACTCAAAGCACGACGCTGACTGAACGAAGTTCGAATTTCGCCTCGAAGGCTAATAATGTAACACATAGTAGATATGATATCTTACTCTGCGGTTCTCACGCGGATTACTCTGCCACATGCATCTCATCTGGACGAGAGGTCAAAGCTGTACGCAAGAGAGTTGTTCATATTCAAAGGTATTGTGTTCTGTCCAGGTCTATACGTCCCATGTTACTTGTTGAGTCTCTCGAAGTGCGAACGGCCCTTTGCTTGCATGGCTTGTCACAAAGTCGGACCACATCCCTTCAAGATCGATGATCGGATGGAGAAAACCAACTGGGTTTGCTATGCGGAATAGTCAAAGTGCTCGTCTGACAATCTAAGATGCCGCAATGTTTGCCGTAAGACATGAAGTGGTGGGGGAACGTTGGCGAGCCGGAGCACCAAGGAAAACGATTCCGTCAGTTGCCTGAGTCCGCCTCATCTGACCAATAAAGACTCACCACTACCCCAGCTTTCAGCACGTGAGCTCGCTTCTCCGCGCGCATTTCCTCCACATTCCGCAGGGACGGCTCACTTCCGCCCAGATGGTCGAACATCCGACGCAACCCACCATGAGCAAGCCGAGTGCCGCGACAATGTTTCAATTCACGCTGTTGTCGCAACGCTCGTTCTTCCGCGATTCTTGGGTGTCTGTGGGATTTAGTTCTTCTGATTGAGCTTCTCGTATACCGTCTTTGAAGAGGGATCACTACACACAACAGCCGCCGAGATGCCGTCGATATCCCACACGTTCCGCACAGCGCGCACCTTTTCGCGAAGCACAACGAAGGTGGATATACTTCAGTGCTATACTTTGAGTAAAAACTGACGTTCATAGACATATCTCAATCTCTCACGAAGCTTCTCCTCGTCACTCCGCCGCAATGAGATCAACAAAGTGTTCCCCAGCGCTGAAGCCGCAATCGCGGACATGCAATCTGACAGCACCCTCTTGTGCGGTGGCTTCGGTCTCTCAGGTGTACCAGACACCTTGATCAATTCAGTCAAATCCAACCCATCCATCACCGGCCTGACCGCCGTATCCAACAACGCCGGTATCGTTGGCGGTGGTCTCGGTCTCCTGCTCGAGAGCAAACAAGTCAAGAAGATGATCGCATCCTACGTCGGCGAGAACAAAGTCCTCGAGCAAATGTACCTCACTGGCGAACTCGAGCTCGAACTCACCCCGCAAGGCACCCTCGCCGAACGATGTCGCGCCGGCGGCGCAGGCATACCCGCCTTCTACACCCCCGCCGCGTTCGGCACCGTCGTGCAAACCGGCGAGCTCGCCCTTAGGCACAACAGCGACGGATCTGTCGCGCAATACTCGACACCGCGAGACGTGAAGGTCTTCGCTGGCAAGAGCTACGTCATGGAAGAAAGCATCAAGGGCGACTACGCCTTCATCAAAGCCTACAAAGCCGACCGGCTAGGAAACGTACAATTCCGCTTCAGCGCGCAGAACTTCAACGGCGCCATGGCGCGCAATGCGAAAGTCACAATCGTCGAGGCCGAACACATTGTCGACGTCGGGAGTATCGAGCCCAACGCAGTCCACGTCCCGGGCATCTACGTCGACCGCGTAATCCAATCCACCACCCCAAAGAACATTGAGAAAATCGTAAACGCAAAAGACCCCAACGAAGCCGTTAGCGATCTAGGCAAGGGCGACGCGGCATCCAAGCGCGAACGCATCGTGCGGCGCGCAGCCAAGGAGTTCAAAAACGGCATGTATGCCAACCTTGGAATCGGAATGCCTATGCTCGCACCTTCCTTTGTCCCAGCATCCGTAGAAGTCCAATTGCAATCGGAAAACGGCATCCTCGGTCTCGGCCCGTATCCCGCTGCCGGCCTCGAAGACCCGGACCTCATCAACGCAGGCAAAGAGACCGTCACTCTACTCCCCGGCGCGTCGTGCTTCGGGAGCGAAGAGTCGTTCGGCATGATCCGCGCGGGCAAGATCGACCTGACAATCCTCGGCGCGATGCAAGTGTCCGCGCGGGGCGATTTAGCGAACTGGATGTTGCCGGGCAAAGTCAAGGGGTTCGGGGGCGCGATGGATTTGGTGAGTAACCCCGAGAAGACAAAGGTGGTGGTTACAATGGAGCATACGGATAAAAAGGGGCGGCCGAAGATTCTTAAACAGTGCGAGTTTCCGTTGACGGGCAAGGCGTGTGTGAGTCGGATTATTACGGATTTGGTAAGTCTTGACAGCGTTGTGTGGAGGTGAAGGACTATGTGGCTAACTGTGGATTAGTGCGTGTTTGATGTCGATTTCACTGAGGGGCTGACGCTGATTGAACTTGCGGATGGCGTTACGGTGGATGAGGTACGGTCGAAGACGGGCGCTGAGTTCAAGGAGGCGGCGGAGATTAAGCCCATGTTGTGAGTGGTTTTTGAATGGCGACATGTTTTTCTGTTGCATAGGTCCATGACTAGGCGTTCAAAATATGACTGTTCACATCCGCACGTATGAATCATTGGATCAAGGCTATTTGACTAGTAACGTGAAATTGTTTATACAAGCACGTAGTGCGAATGTCTATCCAATCTAAACAACACGAGAAAAATGATCGCCCATCAGACAGTACGTATCCAAACGTCAATGCCCCACGGGATCCTCTTGAAGCCTACACCTTTCTACTTCTTAATCCCATCCCTACTACCCGCACCATCTGTGTCAGGGTCATAATCACCACTCGGTATCGGAGTCGGATTCGCCTCTTCGAGCGGCTTACCCGCAACCACCTCAATATCCTCGTCATCCCCATCAATACCCTGCTCCCTCCTCCTCTGCTGCCTCTCGAGCCACTCATCATCGCTTTCCTCATCATCCTCACCCACGCCCTGATAGCCACCCTCGCCACCGTGTTCCGCATCCTTGATGAAGTTGTCGATGATCCAGTATTGTAGTGCGTTCATGATGAGCGGGAAAATGAACATGACAAAAGTGATTTGAACGGCTGTGTTGCCCTCGGTCCAGCGCAGGGCCCAGTCGCCGACCCATGCAATCCAGGGGAGGAAGGCAAAGATGGCGAGGACGCAGAGCTTCATGAGGAGCAGGCCGAGGAAGTAGATGACGGATTGCTTGAGCCACCAGGTGGCGCGGGGAGGATGGCCATAGTTTCCTGAGCGAATGGACTCGGGTGGGTTGGCGAGAGGTGTGAGGAGGGCGCCCCGGTGGAGGACCTTGAGGAGGAGTACGAGGATGGGGATACCGATTGTAGTCTAAACATATTAGCAAACGCCGAGTAGTATGTGTGTGAGCGTAACTTACGTCGATGGCCAAGTTGAGCAGATAGAATGAGCATGGGTTGGGTTGATCTCCATCGTCACTCTCCGCAAGGTTCGTCTTCGCTGCCACATCAAACTTCCCGGAGGACAGCATGGACATGAGGACATTTGCCAGATGCAGCAGAACCGAGCCAAAGACCTGCTTCGACGCATCGAAGAACCAGATCTTGACCGGTCGACGCGGGTGTTCTCTCCACCTCTTCACTGCCAGCGACGAGACTGCAAGCAACCCAAGCGCACCTTGTACCAGCAAAGCAAAGTCTCCGAGCAAATTGCACTCTCCATCCCCCTTCTCTTCATCCATAGGACTGCTCTGCGCAACAGAGCCCTGCGTCGACTCCGCGACCGGCACCGCATTTGTCGCCGGCGCAACCACCACATGCGACGGGCCAGGCTTATCAGTCGCTACCGGCGTCGTACTAGGCGAAGGTTCAACCTCGGGCTTCACACCCACAATCTCAACCAACTCCGTCTCAAAAACTGCCTCGACATTAGCCCTCATCCCCATCCATAGCCAACAAAACACTCACTCAGCGTGGCGTCCCCCGGAATCGGCCCACTCCCAAACTTCCCATACCCCAAGCCGGGCGGAATCGTCAGCGTCCTCGCCTCCCCAGGACACATGTCCAACAGCCCCTGGTCCCAGCCTTTAATCACCTGCCCGGCGCCGAGCTTGAATGTAAACGGCACGCCGCGGTCGAAGCTCGAGTCGAACTGGCTGCCGTCGGACTGCAGCGTGCCGCGGTAGTTCATGGAGAGCTTGTCGCCATTGCGGGATTTGCGCGTGCAGGTGGCGGGCCGCGTGGTTTCGATGCCGAGTTCTGCGGCGAGGGTGAGAGCGGGGAGAAGGAGGAGGGAATGGAGGAGCCGCATGGCGGCGGTGGTAGAAAGGGTTGGGTAAATGAGCGAAGGAAGTGGTGTAAACGAAGAAGGCGATGGGGTTGCGGAGGCTCGGGGGTGTACTGTAGTGGGAAACGCACGGCACTGATACGAAACGAGGCTGTGCGCGGCGCCTCGATGAGACGAGTCGGAGATATAATCAGCACAAATGTCTCGCCAGGCTGTGGGGAGAGGTGGCAGTTGCCTGGCACGGGCAGGAGGACATGCGCACTTGACGTCTGCGGTCCAGCTTAGATCGCCGCTTGGTGGTTGTCTAGCCCGCGTGCACTATTGTTCTCCCCACGACGGATGATTGGTCAAGTATAGTGCATCCCTGAGCACTCGGGCTACTGTCTGTCAGCCAAACTTCACAACGTCTGATCTGCACTGCACATGCAAATGCAAGCTGGTACTAGAAATATGAATGCTTTATATACTAATGAAGGGTATATGTCCCACTTCTAACCCAGGTCCCTGAAAACGCCACTGATGCCACAATGTGCCCCGATGCGATGCTGCGAAAGCTCACAGAAAAAAATGCCCAAATGTATATGGCTTTTTGCTTAGTCCAAGTCCTCCGGTCTCTTGATCGGGCTTGCTCTCGACGGGCTGTCAATCGCCGCTGCTCCTCCCAAACCAGGCGCGAGCTGCAAACTACTCCTGATCATGCTCCTCGTCCCTGTAGGAGGCTGCGCAATGCTTCCTCTGCGATCGCGGTCCGGATCCACCATATTGACCGGCGCATAATTCTCCTGGTTCTGCAGATGCGCATTCATCCGCGCTTCTTCTCTCATCTTTTTAATCTTCATGTAATTGTATGCTGCAATGCTTCCAATAGTAACAACAAGACCGCTAATGTTGACGGGCGTGAGGGGGTCGTCGAAAACGAGGTTTGCTGTGCCGATGGTGACGACTTCTTTGAAAATGCCGCATATGCTAAGTGTGACGACCGAGGTGCGCTTCAGCAGAGCGAACTCGGATGATGTCATGAGAAAGGCGAGGACACCGGGGAAAATGAGGATGCCGATGCCGAGGCCTGTGCCCTTCATTTCGAAGAGACGAGCGAGGCCCTCTCTGAGCGCGGGGAAGCCTTCAACAGGTACCGCGAGAACGATCAAGCTGGCGAACATGACGGGCGCAAGGAAGAAAATCGAAGAAAATGGGTTCGCGGTCGCTGGGTTGCGCAGGAGGAGGATTTGGGTCAGCGACCATCTGAAGCCAGACGAGCAAGCCGAGGCCATGACGAGGATGAAGCCGAGCGCGTGGAAGGCCGTTTCGCCGGCGACCATCATGATCACACCGACAGTCATTATGGATATGATAAATACAAGGCGCCATGAGGGCTGCTCGAGGCGAAAGAGGAACGCAAATATAAGGACGAAGCCGAGTGCAGACGACTTGCACATTGCTAGTGATGTTAGCTATGCTCCAGAGTTTGTGAAGACCATGACGTACTGAAGAAGGTCAACGAGATGAACTTCAAGCTCGTATTGCCCAGCCCAATGTCCATGCCCGTCGCTGCACCACACGGCCCGATTCTGCTAAAGTAGAACCACTTGGTCATGAGCGGCTTCTTGGGGTCTACAGGCTCGACACGGGCGCCCGGTGCGTGGGGGTTGAGGGAGTCGTGCCGCGGTCGGAGGGAGGGTATGCAAAACAGGACGAGTGACGCAAGCGAGAACTGGACAATCATGTGCAGACATGTGGTAAAGAGTGGAAAGGGGAAGATGTTGGTCGCCTCGCCGCCGTCCTTGGCCTCCTTGAACATCCACTTGTTGTAAACGGATATCGAGATGGAGAAGAGGTACCTGTGCTGTTAGCCACCACCTCACGTGCGGTGTTGCAAAGTGACGCACCATAGTGCTATCAACACGCCGTTGATCAGCATTGACCTGAGCAGGTTCTGGTCCGCCAGCTTCTTCTCCTCCTTGGTGTACGTGTCTGTTGTCGGCACGATGCGCTGGTCCAGCATTGTGTTCCGCCTCTTTCTCCGCCGTCTCCTTCGCCTGTCCCTCTTGGTCAGCCCCGTCTCCTCATCGTCCTCAAGTCCGTCGGCACTCATGTCGTCGAGCTCAAAGTCGGTGCTGTCGCTTCTTGAATCCGAGTCTGAGCGGTCTGCATCCGACGAGCACTCCTCTTCGCCTTCTTCGGCTATGTGCTCCGACGGCCGTCTCCTGTGTTTCTTCTGTTCTGTCTTGGGCGGCACCGAGGCACCGGCGAGCGATGAGGATCTTCTGCGGGCGTGGTTCAGTGCGGCCGGCTCGTTCTCCATAATCGATGGCACTTTGGGGTGGATGAGCTTGGCAATGTTTCCAGGGCGGGCGACGGGGGCACCGTCCTCGCTGTCTATGTCGGACAGGGAGCTGTCTGAAGGGAGCGATGGCAGTGTGCGCAACGGGAACTCATTCCCGGGACTCAGGAGCGGTGCAGGCGGCGCGTTGTTCTGTGCTGCTAGCCAGCGCGAAATAGCGGAGTTGCTAGGTGTACCGTCCGCTGAAGTCATGCTGGATGTGCCAGGTCCACCTGATGCGCTTTGTATGGTTGGATCTGCGACCGCCAGAAGAAGCAAGGTTTCTGCGGAGCCCAAACTAGTATCAGGGGTTTCCGCGGCGGGAGGATGCGCCTTGCGAAAGGCTTCATTAATCATGGACGAATTGCTGCAGGTACCGGCTGCAATCAAAGAAACCCCTTGAGCCGCAGAGATCCGATCTAATGTCGCGGGCTGACGGTTCCATGCACTCTGCGACATGCCACACCAAGCGCGCTCCTCTGTCCTCTGCTAGGGTGCAACACGCCCTGACGTCGGCAAGGGGCTAGATTGCGCTCGCGTGCGAGATTAAGCGGGGAAGTTAGCCTGGACATGGTAGGGCTGGATTCGACAATGATGCTGTCATGCACAAGCGTGATCAATGTTTAGACGTGCTTCTCGGCAGACTTGCCGTGTATTTTCAGGGTTGGATGATAATGCGGCAGTGAACATAGCTATGCAACTACTAAGAAATCTATGCCAGTGATGCAGACGCAGAGCGATGGGGTATGCTAAACAACGATCAATCCTGATCTCAGACCTGAACCCGTATCCAGAACTCCGATTCAATTCAGCCTCACGTCGCGTAGAAACACTGTGTCAGAAGGGTGCCACTCCACCCTAGGAGCCGCAACAGGCCGTGGCCTTCTCGACGACTCAGCAGAGTGCTATACCGCCGGTGGAGGAACAGTAGGCTGCGCAGGCAGCTGTTCAATCTGCCGTATCAAGAAACTCTTCTCGTCAATGAACTGTTCGTCTTCTGTGCGATCTTCGAGGAAGGCGGGCAGGAAGCGCAGGAGTTTCTCGCGGTTGCCAATCAAAATCTTTTGCACCGCATGCGACTTGTTGGGGTTCGCAACGAATACCTGGTCGTGTTAGATTACTAGAATACGTCTTGGTAATATCTCATACCTTGAAGACATGGAACCCTTCGTAGTTGATCATCTTTCGGTCGTCCCTCAGCAGCCTCATGATGATCTTGAGGTGGTCGCCCGAATCCACGTATTGAGTCATGACGTTGTAATTCGCCCGGTCGAGCAAGATCTCGCCCAGCAGCTTGATCGACTGGCGCTTCGTGACGTAGCTTTCCGACTGTATCAATATCGAGTTGTACTTGGCGAAGAACGTGTCGAAGTTTGTCTGTAGGAACGTTGCTACAAGAGTCTTATGCTTGGTAAGGATTTCCTGCTCAAGTCAGCGTGACCACTTTGCTCTGAGGTTGGCCGTACCCTAAATGTATTGAATGCGTCTGCGCTGACTTCGAAAGCACCCTTATCTATCCAGTCGAAGAACTTCCAAAGCACACCGTTGCCAGACGACGGCAGGTCAGGATTGACGTTGGCCAGATCGAGTGGGCTGCCGTCCTCAGTGGGCTCGTCGTACAGAAGTAGCGCACAAATGGCGTCGTACTTGAGTGCTTCACGAAGCACCCCTCCGCACGGCATGGCGCTCTCCCGTCTATCATATCCTCTGCACAAAGCAATTATGATCTCTGGCCGAAATGTGACTATGTGGTGCAGAACCTCGGGCTCGTTCTGTCCGGGCCGCTTGTATCGGAACGCAGTGGAGAAGATGACCTGGGCGTCTTTTCGCGACTCGAATGGCAGCTTGTGGATGTTGATAGCGAGGACGTAGAGAAGATCCTCGTTCATGATCGCGCCCAGCTGCTCTAGCACCGACTCGGGGGAGACTTCCGTATCTTGGACACTTGTCAGCGCGCGTGCTCCAGTGGTTGAAGACAGCATATATACGGCTGCAGAGACAAGAAAATCCAAGTACTGACCTGGTGTGCCTTGAAGTCGAATCTTCATCTGCTGCAAGTCCATTGCAAGTGCCTCTTCTATCTGCTGGTGGTTAGCCACGAATCCCCATGCGTGGCCATTGAAAGCTGCGCACCTTTGGGTTCGGCTTCTCCTCCTGCGCAAGCCGTACTGTGAGTTCTTTCGTCTCATGCGCGAGCTCCTGCGGGCTCTTCTGCCGGTTCCGACCCAGACCAAAAAAGGAAGCCATGCTGAGCGGAAATGCGGAGGTGCGGACGTCAGCAGGGGAAACGGGCGACGATGTTGTGAGGGGCTGTGGTTTGCTGGCAGGGCCCGAACGCTCCTACTTGGACGGTGCCAATATGCGATTCATTGGGGGTGGATGACGCTGGAGCTAAGTGAGGATATGTTAGTATATGGGGCGCGGTGTTTGTGTTTGTGGGGTGCTGTGCTATGGCAATGGTGCAGGCCGCCCGTGGTTGGTGATGGGTGCCCTGCAGCGGAAACGCTAGCTTTCCCGGCGGGACGCTGCAGGTGCAATGACGACTTCCGAGGTCTCACTCACAACTAAACTCTGCGCAGTCTTACATGTCCATTAATCGCGCCTAGCTGGCAAGCTGTACCAGACTGCATCCATGACCAGGCCTCGCCTATGCCTCCGAAGTCTACATATAGATATGGAATTACCCAGTCATCTCCACATCACGAAGTGAAGTACACATGCTCAAGAACCTTGAAAGACATGTCAGCATACACTTTGCTGTTCTTAAAGCATTCTTACCTTTTCCGCGGCCATCCTAGCCCCGCTCTCGTACTTGACGACGCTGCTAACCAGATCACGTTCAGCCTCTGATACGCTCGGTAGCAACGCAGACCATTCCTGCGCCGGATACTCGTAGAACTGCACCTTGCCCCAGTCTCTGAATCCAGCTGCCTCCTACTCAAATCAGCGACAGTCTCAAGATTGAACAAACTGCGACCACATACCGGCCAGACGTCCAAATTGGGCGTCCCAAGCTTCTTAAACATGCTTTGTATAAGCGCCAAGTCACTTCCCAACTCTCCGGAGTCGAAAAGAGTAGCATGGTTCGGGTCCAGTACTTCGGCCACGGTGCAGCCGGCCGCCCACAGATCCAAGTTGCAGCCATAGCTCGTGTTACCGAACAACAGTTCGGGTGGCCTGTAGCATGTTGTACCAACATCCGTGATCTTGGAATCCGCTGGTTCCGCGCCCACTACACCGGGTGCCCACGCGATGCCGAAATCGGACAAGTAGGCGGGCCCGTCCAGCGATTTCAAAAGGATGTTGGAAGGTTTTATGTCGCGGTGGATGATGCCTTGGCCATGGATATGGGCTAGGCCTGAAAAGAGATCCTTGAGACAGTTCTTCATCTGTGGACCTGATAGCTTCTTGTCTTGTAGCAGCTCATTCACGCTGTACCGCATGAATGGCATAACGAGAATGAAATGACTGCTGTTTTCGCGAAAGGTCTCTAGAAGTGGTATGACGTTGTCAGATGCAGCTACCGACAGTATCTTGGCCTCGCGCTTCGAGTCATGAGGTGCTTCCATGGTGGATGGTGTAGTGACCTTGAGAGCGACTACTTTGTTCTTCGCTTCTGGCGGGAAATACCCCCCGTCATCTAGAGCGGGTGCTTTATAGACTGCAGAAAAGAGACCCTCGCGGTAATAGGTAGCATTCTGATACTTCCCAATCGTTCTTCCGCCTGGTGTTGGCACGTACTCTTCATCCTGTAGAGGTGATGGGTAAGGTCGCTTCAGATGTAGTATATTCCTAAGGTACGAACCTCTTCATTGGGAAAGTCCAATATAGGTTTTGATAGACTTGCCACTTTTGCTTCACATAGCTTCGCATAGTCCTCCTTGGATGTGGTCAGTCACTGCAGATCATTGGAACATAAGATCGTCGTACTAGCGATTGGGCTTCGTCGTATATTTTGGTTTCCGCTATCGTTGCTTCCATGCGAGCATCGCCTATTTGCATCAAAGGATTGGATGTGAGGAGTGCAGATGAGCTGTGAGCAGGGTTAGACAAGAACAATGTCTGCGAAACAAGAAAGGGTAGCCTGATTGGTCTGGATCACTCACATTTGGGTGACAGCCATCATGCGCGTGGAGAAGGCCAGGTCTCCTCGCCAGTTCGAAGCCATGTTGCAGCGATGGAGTGGTCGTGGGCGAGATCACGTTGAGAAATACAAAGACCTGAGGCCAATGGAAGCGGTGAATGGCCCACGCGTGAACAACTTGACTTGCCTGCGACGACTAAGACATTTCCTAGCGACATTCGTGGTTATGCCCAACTTCCAAGATGCAGTGGATGCGCATTGGGCTCATGTGACTAGCAAATGTTCACCGAATGTATCTAGCCCAACTTTATGCTTGGACATGCCTGACGGCCCTGTGTTGGTAAAGTCGATCAGCAGGAGCGCGATGCGGTAGCCGAAGCCATGCAGCTATCCACAATCTGCACAAGGACCCCCATGCCCTGCTCGTTCACTGGAAACACTCGCCGTGATTATTCACGCGACACTAAGAGTGCTCTCCGTCACCAAGGTTACGTCAGATCCCGGTCAAGCCGCGCCGGCATCGATCTAAACCCGAAGGAGATCCCAAGCCACGACTGACAGCGAGACCCGACAGCTTCACGACACCTCGACAAGCTCGCCAGACTTTATTTCTATGTAATTGTACCCAGCAGTCCTATCGTGGCTGTGCGCCTTGACCTCGTGATCGCGCCATGGAGCTTCAACGCAAAGAATACCCAGCATTGCTGGTGAGCTGGTCCCAAGCCTTCCCACCCGCATCCGCTCACGCAGTGAATAGACGACCCTCACCCCCGCGCAAGCCGTGACGGTTCTCAATGACCGCATGAACCATGTCGACCGACTGAACAACCACATAGCCGACTGGCTGCAAGTGCGTCATCTCCGGGATCGGGTTGAAATGGGCACGTACTCACCATGATGCAGGAACGGCGCCGCGTGGAAGAGCAGTACATCCAAGGGTTGCGAAAGCTCGCGAACAGACACCCGCCGGACGAGTCGTCTGATCTGGGGTATAGCTTCTCAGACACGCGCACGCGCATCCGCTGACGTAGCCCAGCATCTTCACAACACCATGGCAGAAGATAGTCGGCGCAACCGAGGCCGTGGCCCAGTCGCACGAGTACCTTGCGCGCAAGATCGAAGCCGACGTCGAGCGACCGCTGCGCGACTACTCCCGGGGCAGCCGCGAGATACAGGCCATGGGCAACATCTCCGGCAACCTGGCGGCCACGGCAAAGGAGATTGACACAGCGCAAAAGAAAACTGCCAAGCTGAGGGACAAGGGCGCAAAGGCCAAGGCGTCTGCTGTTGGCGATGCCGTGCAGGAAGTCGAGAAGGCCGAGTTGTCGTGGGACTCGTCTGCGCCCTATGTCTTCGAGCAGTTGCAGGCTATCGACGAAAGCAGGCTGAACCACCTGCGCGATGTGCTCACCCAGTTCCAGACACACGAAGTTGACCAGGTGGAGCGCAACCGCATTACTGCCGAAGAGACACTCAATGCCTTACTAAACATTGAAACCGCCGATGAGATACAGACGTGGGCATTGCGCATGCGGAGCGGCGAGGTGCCGTCGGTCGCGCGGAAGATCAGCAACACAGGGACCCCGTCCCGAAGTCTTGCACCGCCCCAAACAACACCAACTCAAGGCCAATCAGACGACAATAGGAGCCAAAAAAGTGGCTCAGGTACGTGACTGGTGCCCGCAAAGGCAGACCCGGCTGACAGTCGTAGTGAAAGAGAAACCCAGCTCGAACCCTCTGAAGCGCTTCGGGACTGTGCTTGGTCGTCGAAGACAGAGCACGCATCCATATGGCCGTGCGTCGTCGCCCGAGCGAAAGTCCTCAACGAATATTGGCTCTGCATTTGGTGGCTTTGGAAAGGGCAAATCGAAGGATCGCGATGCTCCAGGGTCTTCAGATCGCCCTATATCACCTCTCAGAAGTCTGCCAGAGACGCCCGGATCGCCCGAGCCACCAAAATCTTCCAATCACAGCCGACTGCCCAGTGCAGACATACCAAACGGAACAGCTACTGAAGTATCTCACGAGACGAGCGCACCCATTGCGACTAACGGGACAGTACACGAGTCGATCCCGGAGCTCATAGAGCCACTGCAACCTCCTCAGATCGAAGAACCGAAGCCAGAGGTGTGTAATTCGATACGAACGCATTAATATAATACTGACATGCACAGCCTGAGAAGGATGCTGAGGGCTTTTCGGTCCCGCCATCAGTCATCGATGCTATCACTGAAGCCGAGCGCGAGGCGGGGTTGTAAGTAAATCTTCGTCCTCGTTCAGACACTTCGCTAACGAGCTTTCAGTTCTCAATCTGAGAGCAGTACAACGCCTCAATTCAAGCTGGACATTAGGAATGCACCAATCCAGGAAGAAGACGGTGATGCCGACGCCGCTATGGCCAACATGGTCAACACTCTACGTGCCGTAAGAATAGCCCCGAAAGCGGGAAAGCGCGATCTAACAATACTACAGCAAGCCGCACCGCCAAAGCGCTCATCGACCCTCCGAGGTCGTCGAGATGTGCGCAACTCAATCTTTGTTCCCAATCCTGCTGCTCCAGAGTTGCAGAGTATAGGCGAGGCGCCTCCACTGCCGTCAGCTGGTTCTGGCTCTGGCTCCACTTCTACAACATTTCCTACCCCGGCCCTACCTGCGCAACCCGCCTCTCCAGCCTTTAAACCACCCCACAGATCGCTTCTTACTGACGACCACGCGGCGTCCGACACACAATCCATCCGCTCGGGCCGATCGCTGAGCAGCTCCGCTAGCACTACGATTAAACATCCGGACCTGCATGAGCCTGGTCTGAATGCGTCATTGGTTGAAACGGTCAGTGCGTGGTTTGAGCAGGGCAAAGTCACCAAAGCTATGGTCATTGGCCAGGTTGCGCTTGCGTACAACCCCATCGACCTGTCTTCTGGACCATTTGGCACAGAAAGTGTGCGCTTGGAAAACTTCCCCGTGTTGGAGAAGGTCGCTCCGAATCCTGCTTTCATAGAGCAGGCACATGACAGTCCGGGAAACTATACCGTAGATCTGTCCAAGATCATGAAGACTTCGGTTGCGTTCCACTACCAGTTGCATATTGAGAATGAGAACGTAGCAGCCCTTGCACCGCTCATCCTGGCGCCGCTGTGGAAGACAGAAGCAAGTCAGGCATCGGCTATTCTGCATTATTCTCTCAACCCCAAGTTCAACCTAGGCGGCGCAACAAGTGTCACCATTCGCAATTTGGTGCTGGTCGTCCGCCTAGAACCTGGGTCCAAAGCTACGTCCTGCCAGTCGAAGCCCTCTGGGACCTTTTCGCGAGAGAAAGGTCTGATATATTGGCGACTGGGCGACGTTACATTTTCCAAAGATGAGCCCACGCAGACGATCCGCGTGCGTTTCATCACGGAAGGTGAAGCAAAGCCTGGCAACGTTGAGGCCCGCTGGGAAATAAGCGGTGACCAGACTTTGACTCTTGGAAGCGGCCTCGGTGTCAGTATGAGCGCGCCTTTGAACGAGACGAAGCAGGACGGTGAAGCAGATCCATTCGCAGACATTGACGAGAACGCACCGCCAGCCAGTCCAGCGACTGGTTGGAAACCTGTTGCAACTGTCAAGCGGATCACGAGTGGCACTTATTTGGGCGTGTAATATTTTGAGGACGGGCGGTCAGTTTAGCTGAGTTTTGCGGGTGTAGAATCGATGTAGTCGCCTAGATAGCATGGGGATCCTAGCGTTTCATATCCTACGTAGCAGATTTGGGTCTGTGCTTCTTGTAGATAGCTTAATTTTGAGTCAGCGTAGAGTCTATCGCCCACACATGATCCTTTTGCAATTGCAGCCTCATGTTTTGCAGGTCATGGACCTTGGATGAAGAGACTTCACCGTTAAAGCGAAGGCCGGTCTAGCCGACGTTGTCTCGGTACACAACGGTGCTTCACAGTGCGCCGAAGTAGGCCTCACCGCGGGGCGAAACCTCGGTACATGCCATTGCTAAATATGTACAAGTAACAATGACGGCTTGTATACCTACTGCAGCACATAGATGCGTCCGGTCTAGACTGTGGTTCTCAACGCTTACAATTATTCAAAATGTTTAGATCCGAGGGTCCAGGCTGGATCTTGGCTCGACAATCTACAAGTGTTTCGACAGCAGGGCAACGTGCAGAAAATAGCATAGCATGCAGCTGCATCGATGCATCGACGATGGTATTGCGGGAGTGCCTCGCTTGATTGCGGCCAGGAATTGGTGCGACAGGCAGGCATTGGGAGAGTTGCAGTTCTGACAAGTGAAGCCATGCCAGAAAAGGCAGGGATGGCAATGCGCACCTTCCCAGTCGACCTGCGATTGAACCAATTAGGAGACGAGCTACAGCCTCCCACGGAGAGATGCGCTCGTCTCGTGGCCTGGCTAGCAGCTGCAGCGACAATTTGGAAGCGGGAGGTGAATGTGCCATGGCATTGTGGACGTCTGACGTGCTGTCGGACAAGTGACCATGGTCTCCTCATTTTGGTGCAAGGTCTCACCGACACCAGCCTCTAGAAGCTCCGGGAGATAGCCGAGTGACTGACCCTGGATCATCGCGAAATGACGTAACGTCCTTTTGGGGCATGCAGGACTAATGGACTAATCAGCCAGATGACAGCGAGACGCCTCTGGCCCATTTTGACGTCTGCTGGAGCGCAAGGACTGCCACCGGCGCCCGCTAAGGACAAACTGCCCGCCAGCGCGAATCACGAAACCATCATCTCAGCTGTTTTGGACATTATCTGCCTAGCGCGACATCTACAATCTGGCTGCACCCCTTCCCGCTGCGGATCCAGTCTGTTCCTGCCCTGCACGGTGCTAGCAGAGGCGGCTTCCTTGGACACATCGAACCTTCCCTCCCAAGCACCCAGCCCTGGAGTGCGTGTATTCTCCTGGTAATCAATCGGCCAAGCGCGGCAGTGCTCATTTCGACAGCCTCAAGATCGTGTGCAGCGCCTTCCGCAGACGTTGCAGCCCTCGCACACTGTTCGACGCTGAAATCGCCTCCAACGACGTCATCTCCCACGCACTGTCTTACGCCCGCCCGTCCATGCTTCACAACATCGGCCCGCTGTGAAGTACCCCGTCCCCCCAACGTCCCGCAACTGTACTCATGACGACGACCCGATGAGAGCATGCAGAAATGACCCAGACACCGAAGCCCTCATCCACGACACCGAGGGACCCCATTGACACGGCAGCTTCCTCGACACCACGCCCGCCGCTGCAGCGAGTCGCAGCGAGCAACGCCTTCTACTCGTCGCAGACATCCATCGCCTCTTCGCACGACGCCGAACCTTTGACAGACCAAGATGACGAGACCTCGGCCACAGAGAGCACAGATATGAGTGAGGACGACCAGGCTGCACATGGCCGAGGTGGTGCAGCGACAGCAGACCGGCAGGATGCATCGCCCGACGAGATGGAGGTGGAGCGTCTGCGCGCACTCCAGCTGCAGATGCTGCAGAAACAGCAGCAGCGCGCGCGCCAGCGTGGCCTGCCCAGTGGCATTGTGCCCAGTGTTGCGGGTGCCCGGAGACCGTCGCCCATCAAAGAGGAGCCCATGGCCACCATGTCGCCCACGCTGGAAGGAGCTTTCAACAGCCCGAGCCCACTTCCCACGGCGCAGACCACTTCGACCGAATCGACAGAGTCTGCGCGAACAATCCGTGGAAGCGTACCCCCGACACCTTCAGGACATGCCCTAAGAACGCCCTCCTATCCTTTCCCCACTGTCCCGGGCACTCCTCGGTGGGCTTCAACATTCCACCAGCCATTCACTAACCTTTCGCCGACCGTGTCCGCTATTCATGCGAGGGACTTCATGGCGCCGTCGGAAAGAATAGCTTCAGAGACCAGTACCCCTGCCGCCTCGATGACTCCTTTCGCGCCTGGCCCAAGAACACACCATATCACAGAAGCCGAAGATCCTCGCTACCCAAGTCCCAACCTCTACGATCTGGTTCTGCGGCTGAACGCCGAACCGGGCCTGCCTGCCTGGTGGACCACCGTTACTGCAATCATGCGTGAACACTACGGCGCAAATCGAGCGACATTGGCAGTACCAGCGGATGCCTCAGATATTGAGAATGTGCCCTGGGGTCAGAAGACTACTTACACTGCGACCGCAGAAGATGGCAGTCCTCGTGCAGCCATGTACCAAGACCTTTCGCAGCACATCCGAAAGGGCTCAGTCGAGCAAACTTTAGGCTTTCAACCTGGTGATGCGCCAGATATGCCACCCACACCATTCATACCAGAGAGAAGACCAAAGCTCTTCTCTCGTCATTCTTTCGCCGGACATGAACGCCAGAAACAACAAGCGTCACCAGAAAGCCCGACCCCATCCATGTTGAGTCGTCCGCACGGCCCACTGAGAGCCGTTAGTCACGCACCTCCACGACCCGAACACCCGCTGAGACAGGTGTCGCATGCAAGTTTTGACGGCACATCAAATCCTTACCCAAGCACATTCCCGTCAAGAGACCCCACGTTCAGTGATCCGGACTTTTCTAGTGTAGGCGACTCATCGCCACCCACTGCTGTGTTCACTGTGTTACGTGCTCTCGACCATGAACCAGACGCTCTGATTGATAACGCAGGTGTAAATCGCGTGTTGGAACGAGGTCGTTTAGTGACACTAACCAGAGATTATTCTGCATCGCGGTCAACGTCAAGTGAGGATGTCTCAGACAAACAGCAAAAGTCATCAGAACCCAAAGGGACAGCCACAGGGCAAGAACAGGCCAAAGGGGCACCAGTTCATCGGCGCAACACCCTTTCAGCGGCCGACGCCCGCTTGAATACGCATTATGAGGAGTACGAACAATACCCAAGTTCTCCCTGGGCACAGTCTCCTGCTCCATCTCCCGCAATACAGAACGACCCCGAGGACAACCCCTTCTTCTCGACAGGAAAGCTAGACGAGGAAACCTTCAATCCATCACGCACACCACAAGACTACACACAGTATGGTGCAGTTGAAGCGATTGGTGTTGATAGAGCCAGCACTGTGACTCATGTACCTCTTGTCCATCCCACATTGTCGCAGGCCATGCATCCAAATGACGCCAACACGCCTTCGCAGACTCCTTCCATGTCTCGCAGGCAATCATCTCAATCTATCCCAAGCAGCTCACAGCTCTCAGACGATCACATCCGCCGAGCACCGATTGCCATCCTTTCAATATTGTCGGCAATCGTTCCTTACCCTCGCAACCTTACAAATTCCCTGAAGCATCTTGGACCTCACCTCGCAACGTCTTTCTCCAATGCCTGGCAATTTACCAACACCCAGATGCAAGTGGCCTCCATCAGGCAGCGGCAGACAACAGGTAGCACTGCTGGTAGCATTTCTTTAGGCGCGGATCAGCATAGCCTGGACGATCTTCTTCACCTGAATCTCGAAAATATCTCGACCTCAGCAGCTGGAAGTGTCACAAGCCCATCCGATTATTCTGGACGCTCAAGACATAGCCCTGGCGGGTCAATCGCAGGAACCCCTGGATGGGATGCTTCCTCTCTAGGATTTTCGAACAAGCATTCTTTTAGTAGCACGCCTGGTCACATCACTGGTAGTGAAGCTGTTGAGAGCTATTTTGATGCAAGAAAGAAGACAAGTCGCGCGCCCGCTCCAACGTCTGCCACTGCGCAAGAGCAGTACAGTCAAAAGTCGGAGAAGCGGCATTCAAAGCGTGTCACTGTCAATCCGATTGCCGAGAAGAGTGAAGATGATGTGCTTACTCCACGCAATGACATGACTGCGAAAGAGGAGGGTTCAGCTCAGCAACCTCGTCAACCAACCGGGCCTTCAGATCGCGGCCATTCGCTCCTACACTCTTATGGAGCCGACTTCACGTCCTCGTTTCAGTCACTACCGGCGGCAACCACTCCGGGTGGACGTCCACCCCCGACTCCGGGGCATGTAAGGAGAGGATCTATAACCGAGACTTTTGATATGCCACCGCCATCAGAGTCTCTTCTGCGCACAATCATCGATTCCCTACCTGTGCAAATCTTCACGGCTGCTCCCAGCACGGGCGCGATCACATGGGTCAACTCCAAGTTTCTCATCTACCGTGGCCAAGACTCTCGCCAGGTGCTCCAGGATCCTTGGGATTCGATCCACCCAGAAGATCGCAGCTCGTACCTCGAGCAATGGAACAAATCCTTACGCACTGGCCAACAACTTCAGCAAAAAGTCCGACTGCAAAGATTTGATCAATGTTATCGGTGGTTCTACGTGCGTGTTGCGCCATTAAGGAACAAGCGTCAGCAGATTGTTCATTGGATCGGTACCAATATGGACTTCCACGAGCAGCACACGGCCGAGCTCAATTCGGCCAAGCAACAGGAAACAGCCGCATCCGAAGCCAAATATAGAGCACTGGCTAATTCTAGCCCCCAAATTGTTTTCGTGGTGTCTAACAAGCGAGGCATGACCTTCTGTAACTCACAGTGGATCACCTTCTCTGGCCAGTCCGAGAGTCAGGCGCTAGTCAGCGGGTTTCTGGAGCACGTACACCCCGACGACGTTATCAAGTGCAAATTGCCGGAACTCAGTGAGGATGGCGCTGTTAATGTGCCAACTTCTATGCCTCCGGAACATGGACGAACGGGATCGTCGTCATCCTCCTCTGACGGTTCTTCAGAGACTGAGAGAACAGTCACAAGCCCCATAGGCCAATCACCTGATCGAATGGACATGCCTCAGGCGAAATTATCCAAGCTAGCAAGCACTGGCATCCTTCGGGTCACGAAGGATGCTCATGGTCGCTCGTCGTATTCTACCGAAGTTCGGTTGCGCAACAAAGACGGCGAGTACAGATGGCACTTGGTGCGGATACTTCTCGAAAAGTCTCTAGCGGAAGACAGCGAAGAGGAGACATGGTATGGCACGGCCACCGATATCAACGACCATAAACTGTTGGAACAGACGCTGAAAGAGACTATGGACGCCAAATCCAAGTTCTTGAGCAACATGTCTCACGAGATAAGAACTCCACTAAACGGTATCTCTGGCATGGTCAACTTTCTGTTGGACAGTATCCTCAATGCTGAGCAGCTTGAGCACGTCAATATCATCAAGTCTAGCACGGACAGTTTGTTGAATCTTATCAACGATATCCTTGACTTGTCAAAGGTTGAAGCTGGTATGATCAAACTGTCAATGGAATGGTTGCACCTACCATCATTGATAGAAGAGGTCAACGATTTGAGCATGGGCCTTGCTATTCAGAAAGGACTTGAGCTGAATTACCTGGTGGACGAGGGCGTGCCCTCTATGGTCAAAGGTGACAAATTCCGCATACGTCAAGTGCTCCTCAACGTCGTTGGCAACGCCATCAAATTTACATCCAGCGGCGAGATCTTTGTGCGATGCAAAGTACAATCGCCCGAGCGTTCAGGTCCTCTGGGAGACAATGAAACTGTGGTCAGATTCGAAGTCATTGACACTGGTCGTGGTTTTACCGAACAGGAAGCGAAATTTCTCTTCAAAAGATTCAGCCAAATCGATGCCAGCAGTACTCGACAGCACGGCGGCACAGGTCTCGGGTTGGCAATCTCGATGCAATTTGTTGAGCTACATGGAGGCAAGATGGACGCCCGCAGTGTACCTAACAAAGGGTCTACGTTCTTTTTCACGATCAAATTCGGACTCCCAACCGAAGAGGATCATCCACCGCCTGCTGTATCAACACCCGGAACACCAGCGATGGAGCCCGTTAAAGTAATTGCACCTGTCACGCCACTCACAGTGCAGCCATCGCCTCTACAAAGAATTGTGCATCCCCAGGTCGCAGCCACAGCGCAGCTCAGGCGAGTATCCAGCGTATCATCTGACCGGAGTGAATCCGTCAAATCTCCAGCGTCTAGCCATGCAGCCTCGGAGCGATCACGTGACTCGCCAGCTCCATCTCTCTCGTCTGGCAGTTCCGACCACTCTTTGACCAGTGCGGCACTCACTGGGAAGTCAAGTCTGCGCTCCGAGAGATCGTCAGCTTCTTCGTTCTTCCAGCAGTCAAGTTCTACCTCGGAATCCAGTATCAATCTCGCACTCCCACCAAAACGGTCCGACAGTGATCGAGACAACTCAACAACCTCGGTTGACTCCACGAGCACCATACGACCTGAAGCACATCGCAGTCTCTCGCCTCTGGGAAGCGCCTTGCAACCGCCAATGTACTCCATCTTGGTTATTTGTCCGCTGCTCCATAGTAGAGAAGCTACAATACGCCATATCAAAAACACGCTCCCAGAGGGCATACCGCATCAGGTGGCTGGGCAAGCGAGCATTATTGAGGCGCAAAAGATGATCGGCGGCGATAATCCAGTCCTTTTCACGCACGTTGTCCTCGTCCTCCATGATACTGCCGAGGTACACGCAATTATGGATCAGGTCTTCAGCTCCATAAACTATGGCAACACTTCGGTTGTGGTAGTTTCGGATCCATCGCAGAAGAAAGAACTAATCAAAGAGGCTCCAGTCTATGACTATGAACAATTGCACATCGACCGACGACTGCAGTTCATCTACCGTCCTCTGAAACCCTCTAAATTTGCAGTCATATTTGATCCCCAAAAAGAACGCGAATCAAGTACGGACCGCAATCAAGATAGCGCCCAGCAGGTTGTTGTCAGCCAGAAGTTGGTGTTTGAGGAGCTCAAGCGACGCGTAGGTGGTAAAGGTCACAAAGTTTTACTTGTTGAGGACAACAAGATCAACCAGACAGTATGCTATTCTCGTCAGCATAACAAGAGCTTTGCTAATACAGACAGGTGGTTCTCAAATTCCTCGCGAAAATCGATGTCGAGACTGAAACAGTCATGGACGGTGTTCAGTGTACTGACACCGTTTTCGCAAAACCACCAGGCCACTACTCCATCATTCTGGTACGTTTATACGCTTTCGATGTCTATAGTCATACTAACTGAACCACAGTGCGATCTGCACATGCCGAACAAGGACGGCTACCAGGCATGCAAAGAAATCCGAAAATGGGAGAAGAAGCACGGATACCGACGCACTCCCATCATTGCCCTCTCCGCGAACGTTCTTGGGGATGTTTATGCCAAATGCGCGGAAGCGGGCTTCAACTCGTATGTGACGAAGCCCGTTGAGTTCAAACAGCTCTCCATCGTCATGACGAAATTCTTGGACCCCGCCGACCCCTCCAAACCTCCCGAATTCATGAAGTCGAAGAAATAGACACGGCCGCATACCTTATACGATTCATCACTAAGTAACATATTTTGATCTCGGCACAACTTGCATCAGCGATACGGCGCTATCGGGCATTGCACGCGATTCCTGGCGCGGTATAATGACAACCTGGGCGATATGGAAACCCATACCCGAACAGGTGCACCTTCCGAATGCCGCCTTTCCTCGCGTTCAGCGCGCTTTTACTTGATTTACCTTTGTTTGCATCTGGACGGTGTGGGATGACTGGACTTTGGAAATCAGCAGCATTTACTCGGTGTATGATTGCCTACGGGCGCATGGACGGCGTTTTCCTCGGTGGTTTTGTCTTTTACTTGCTCGTAATGGTGGGCAGAATCGACTGGTAGAGGAAGAGACGGAACCGGAATGCGCGCTGGATACACGGGGCGTGGATATGAAGACACGCAGTCTTGTATTATAGCGACACATCGGACGGGAAGGAGAATCAAAGGATACATTTAGCGAATATTAATTGTGATACCCCCACGCTTCTCTGAAGTATGTCTCTTCGCGAATGTGGGGCTGGCAACGGTCGAGATGCTTTCCACGAATGACAGATGCTTCATTGCTCGATCCAAGGACAGTATCGTGACCCTGTCTCCGCACTGCTGATGCATGCTCAACCTCGCGTCCGGTCAGCTTATTCCCCATTGGCCCGGGTCCAACATGCATCTCTGCACGTCCTACACTCGCGTACCCGCTAATTGGCCACACTCACGCAGCATCCCTGTATGTGTCGTCATCGGCACCCATCTTCGCTCATCGAGAATGACACCGCAGGCAGACACACAACACCCGTCAAAGTTCCGAGGTTTTATCAAATCAATAACGACACCACTTTTCCCCGCCTTTCCTGCTCTTTAGTCCTTCATGCCCGACGACCCCATCGACACATATCACCGCGCGCAGACTCACAGGACAGCTCGACTTTTAAGCATGGCGTCGGCCACTGGGATTCCAGCTACTGTTGCGAGGGGCCAGAGTGAGGAGGAGCCGCTTTTGGGAGGGCGGGGCGATGCAAGTCAGGCTGAGGGTCAGCGGGTGTGGAACAATTTGTGGATCGGTATGTGAAGTTTTGGTGGGAATGTTCGCATGTTGTGTGAGACTGACGGAAGTGAATAGGCACAGCTCCCATTGCTCAAGCCGGAATCTGGATCCTCGCTGCGATTGTCTGGGGCGCGATTTTCAGCAAGAAGTTGATCTTCTTCTCGGCGCATCCGGTGCGTTCCCTCATCATACCTCATTTTTGCTCAATTCTGACAAAATGCGTGTAGCTCCTCAACTCCGCAGGCTTCCTCCTCTCCATCCAGGCCGCCCTCATCCTCCAACCCACGCACACCCCCTCTCAAAAACGCACAGGCACACTCGTCCACTTCCTCCTCCACGTCCTCGGCGCATCCGCCCTCACCGCAGGCCTTATCGTCATCGAAATGAACAAAGCCGGCCCGGGCCACGAACACTTCGAGTCCCCGCACGCACGGCTCGGCCTAGCATTTTACGTCCTCATCTACATCCAGGCGCTGGTCGGATTTACGCAGTACTACGTGCCGCAGCTATATGGCGGCGTAGACAATGCCAAAGCGATTTACAAGTACCACAGGGTTGCGGGTTATGTTATTGCGATACTGGGGTTGGCGACGATTTGCGCGTCGAGCTGGACGACGTACAGTTTGAATGTAGCCCATATTCAGCATTGGGCGGTTATTGTGGCGAGTGTGCTGGTGCTGGCGGGGGTGGTGCCGAGGATTAGGTTGAGTAAGTTTGGGATCAAGAGGGCGGAGGGTCAGGTTAGGTTGTAGGGATCAGGTGCATAAAAAGAAGACATAAATCATGTGTGGTATGAGATTGGATATACATGCAACGCCCTAGTTGCATGTCCTGGCGCAAGTTGCATGAAAATGTTCAAGGTCACTGAAAACTTTTGTACTATTTTTGAGATCAAATTGGGTATCTCCATCTTCTCTCAATGCTAAACTAAGCCCCCCAATGCAGAAGTGGTATCAATCGCTAATGTAAATGCTAACAAAACTTCCTCCCATTTCCTCTCATAGGAGCATCACAACCGCACCAACAGCAACACCCACCATCGCCCCCGCCGTCCTTACCGCCCCTCCGCCCGTCGACACCGCACTCGCGCTGGCAGGCGCCTCCCCAGCTAACGTTGTCGTCGCCCTCAATCCGCCCACCGTACTCTTCGCACCCTGCACAATCCTACTCGCATCGCGCGACGTACTCGCAGCCGCCATGACCGGCACACTCGTCTCCGTCGCGCCACAGACCCAATGGCTCAAACTGCCCGCGAACATGTTGACGCAGAACGGGGCGTCGGACGCACTGCACGCCATGGCGCCGGGATCGTCGAAGCACGACTTATCGTCAAGACAGGAGGCCAGCGACGCCGAGTTGACGCAGCGGGTTATCGGGGCGCAGGACGAGGATGCGCAGCATCCGAACCAGTTTGCGGAAGATGAGGAGAGGCATGTTGATGCTGCGGTGCAGGAGAGGGGGAATCCTGCACATGCGTTAGTTTGTTTGGCTTCGGGGACTGGGTTCGGCACTGCGGAGTGATCATCCTCGGTATCAACCCCGGTCCTGTTGGACTGTGGGGATCGTGGGACAGGCATAGGCATGGGCATGGGCTGATCGTTATGAATCACGCTGTAAGGGGCTGTGTTGGGAAGGATGTGTTCGGCGTAATTTTACGCGGGACGGCCGGACATACATACCTCCATCGCCATTGAGGAACCCGCAGACTGCAGGATTCGAAGAGGGTTTTTGTCGGCGGAAGAGCTCGGGGAGTGCGGGTGTGGGTTTGGGTGTGAAGCCGTTGAGGGCGGCATATACGAGATCGGTGACCGGTGTGGGTAGGGGTCCGTCGAATGCGATGCCATATACCGATGCGCTGAATGCAAGGAGAGTTGCGAACTTCATATTGAAGTTTGTGAATGTGTGTGATTTCGAAGCCGAAATATGAAAATGCTGATGCTGATGCTGATGTTTGTCGGAACTTGTGACTTTGTGCGTTTCTTCCCTTGCTCTTGAACCACAGAAGCAAACCCTCGAATATGTATTATAAGTCTCAAAGAATGCGGCGTCGAACCAAAAGAAAACGAAGAAGCAACGAAAAGAAGAACGGCTGATCGAGACTAAAAGGAACCACTCCGCGTATAAGTCACCAGTCAAACCTCTCGGGGACCTCGCACGTTTTGTGCCTCAGCCTATACCCACTACTATTCCAGCCCATGTCGACATATTGGGTGAAGTGCACGATATTTTGAGAGACTTAGCGCAAGAACCAGGCGTCCTGACCAGGGCCGGCGTGGCTTAGGTGCGCGATGTGACTTGTCGTTGAAGACCAAGCCCGCGCGAAGTTCAGGCCAGCCATTACGGCCGTTTGGCGCTGCGGTGGCTTGCCAATAGTACTCCCGGAAGTAGCCGCGCTTGGTGTTTGGTTTGAAGATGTGCGCGTCGATCAGGGTCGCGTCGGGTGTACCTGGCAGGGCTCAGGGGTACAATGATCGTCAGTTGCGGAATGCGAAACATCAACAGTGAGGTCTTGTTTGCGACTGCGCAATTATCGTATGTTCTTCAGTGATGTTATTCGGTGTGTTGTTAGAAGAACAGGTGCCCTCCACGTGGTCGTTGTTATGGTAGAAGGGTTAGTGGATAGATTGATCTGGACCGGGCGGTGGAGTGGTGAGCTGAAGACGAGAAGCCACGGAAGCATTACGTACGGCTAGCCCGAGGTCTTGGCGAAGCATAACGGGCGTAAATGCGCAGAAAAGGATCCTTAGGTACATGCACGATGCGATGGATACGATGGAAATTGTGGGGAGACAGAAGGCTAGACAGACTCGGCAATCTTGTATACTGAGAATCAAGAGGGTACGAGATGGCTGGAACCACGTGCTGCAACGGCAAACCCATCAGTCACCAACCTCAAAGCGCTAGCGAACAATAGCGAGAACATCAATGAAGCTCGGCTAGTTCCTTTCGAAGCGAAATCGATCGCCGTCCCGTAAACACGTGCTTGTGCTCGACATCAGCATGAGCCTTGGAGGAATGGTGCTTAGACGAGCAAGATATCCTGGTCTTTTATGCCCATGGCATCTACTTCCACGAGCATCATTCCATCCACGTACGCGTCTCCGATGACCTGGTAGGCTCCATCATCTCGATCCGTCATTCGTCTCAAGACATGGGGTGTGGAGGCAGAGTTGAAGACGCAGAGTATGTCGCCTGGCTGTACGCCTTTGATGGTGAAGCCGAAACGTCCATGTTTAGTATTGAACAGCTGTCTATCGCCCAGCCTTCCTAACTTGGCCAGAATGGGTTGATAGGGTGAGCTCATCCTTACACGTGCAGAGCATCTTGGTCCGATCTCTGGGGGCACTTCTTCTATTCCAGCTGCTTTTCTGTCGTGTCGACATGTTAGTCTCCTTCACGACTTGATATTACACACGTACCTTCTTATTGACTCCAAGATCCAGTTACATGCTTCAGCTACGTGTAGCATTGTACCGCGGAAGATACGACACATTGTCATGGTGATTGGCTTGTTTGACTCATCCAAGAAGTTGTCAGCAAATAAAGTCTTCCAATAAGTCTTCTCCGAGACACGCCAGGTTTCAATCTCATCTCCATCATCTTCATGGTCGTACTTTTCCAAGATTTTCTGAGCGATGGTTTCGTGCCATTGGGCAACAGTCATGATCCACCTTGCACCCTCTCCCTCTTCGCCTGTTTTCTCTAAGTTTCGTACGCACGGTGCATGGGTAATCATAATCTCGTCCACAAATTTCCCTCGAATCATCAGTTCACCGACACGAGATCCTGCTGTGACAACAGTAGGCTGTGCACTGGCACAATATTGAGCAGTATTGTGCCCAAACATCGTAATTCTCGCAGGCACACAGACAAACTTGGTCATCCTTCCTTGATGATGAAAGTCAGGCACCCAAGAAGGAAGCCCATTGAGCTTGTGGAATGAGAATGCCATATTGAAGACTCGCCACCAGAACTGCGTTTTGTTTGGATCGTTGTTGAGCAGAAGATATGTCGCGAATCGAGTGTACAAAGTCGGGACCGACGTGTAAGCGTGAAAGTCAATCGCAAGACTAGCTAACTCTTCTTCTCTGATGAGTCCTAGCATGCCGTAAACTCGGTCTTGTTCCAAGAAGCAAGCATGCTCTCCTGTCATCAGAAGAGTCACACGAAGGAGTAGGGATACGGAGTCCAGTGACAATGACGCTCTGCTTCCTTGTGCTAGCTCTCTGATGTGGAAAACCGTGGAGTTATCGAACCCCATGTGTCCAGGCTTGACTGGATTGCCGTTGATATCAGAAATCTTCCAATAAGAGACTCTGTCATTCTCCACTGCAGATTCGAGCGACGCAGCGTCAATCTTGTCCGCCCCGCAAAGGAACACTATATCAGAAGCCAATGCCACTTCTTGTATGATCCAAACCCTTGAGTACCATGAATTGCGCAAAAGGTGAAGGATTGCTTGCCATAACTCAGGTTCGAGGTCGCGCAATGGCAGCGCGACTTTCTCTTCTCTCGACGTATACGTTGATGCTTTACGCCGCGTTGCTTCTTCCACAATGTACGGAAGCAAGCTAATAGCATTTGAGATGTGCGATTGCACTTCAGCAGGCGCGCAGCCAAGCCAGACCCATACTCGCTTTGCTCTTCGATACAGTTGGCCCATAAGCTTGATCTGGACAGCCTTCTCATCGTCGTCGTTTTGATTGATGCACACAGCGTCCACCCATATCGGCCGATGCGTCAGTTCTCCCATACGGTGCGCTAAGAACGGCAAGGCTGAGTATAGATTATGATGCACTCGCATGGATTTTCCGTTGCAAACAATCGGGTAGGTCTCGAGCTGTGAACCCCAGGTATAAGACAGAGCGTCGAATTCGAGGGCCACGGATTCAAGACTGACTGTATCGAGAATCCAGGCAGTACTCTTGTTGTGGGTATCTGGTCTAAGTAGGCGAATCTCTGCAGGGCCTAGGTTTGTGTACTCGTATGGAGTTAATGTTGCATCCATAGCTGTTGAGTTATGGGTCGATCTACTAGATGTTCGATTGCCGAAGAGATGACACTCACACAGGCCAAAGAATTGTACAAAGTGATCGCGACAATCAGTCAGATTTGACACGAATGTAAAATATCCACTGCAGAAGCTCTCGTCCAATGGTGTTGCCGGATGATAGCCAGCCAGACTGGGGTAGAATCCTAGACCTCGCTTCCGCGGAGAGATGAGAGGCTACTGCTTATTGTCAGTCACAATAGCCAGAGAGATATGATCAAGGGTTGAGGAGACTACAGCGGTTTAAGGAGCTAGGAAATGTACCGATACGCAAAAGTAGGTCCTATCAGTGCAGCCTGACCAGCTAACCAGCATTGGTAGCCACGCTGTGGCCCTGCTAAAATTGAACCTGACACGGATCTTAAAGCTCTTTATTTGACTGCCGCGCACCAAAAGAATAGGGTAGCCAGTGCTACAACCGTAAACGTGAGTTGATCAAGTATATTTTGAATCTTGAATAATGCACTTGCCAGGGTGCTGTAGACGCGAAGTTGGAACAACATCTTCAATTCCCTCCCCTTCTCGACCTATGTCCATTGCATATCAAACAAGCATATTGCCCAACTTAATCACCATGCCCAAGACGAAATCCGACCTCTCTTCTTCAAGCTCTTGTCAATCTTCGTCGTTAACTCCTCCAATTCCTCTACAATGGCGTCATGTTTGGCGGTTTGCGCCTGCAGATTATTCTGTAAGATGTCTGTATCCGACAAATCAAGGGCGTTGTTCGGTCGACACAGTTGAGGCACTATACTTAGCCTATCCTCGTCTTTTTCCGAGACGAAATGGGGATACTGCTGATGCAGCTGTATCAATATCACTTGCAACTGGTCATTCCGCTGATAGAGTGTCCGTATGGCTGCAATGAGCGATGCATCGGATGCAGCTTCTAGTAAGACTGGATCATGGTAGCAGTCGTCTGTAGTAAAGAAACACTTGAGTAGCAGTTCCTCTTCATTGTGCCTATGATTCAAAGTCCGTTCAAGTGTGAAATCTGCACTTCATGTGGTCTCGGTGTTGGGCGTATGTGGAACTGTGATTGGCAGGACTGCTGCGTTGAAAGGCATCTTAGACATATGTCAGTGAAGGAATGTATTGTGGATGCTGGCCTTGATTCCACGAGCTATGATCTGAACGAGGTCATGTTACCAGAAAAAGTAAAAAGACACAAATATGGTGCAAAGTGAGACACAAGGAAAACATACTGAGTCACTTCGCGAAAGGAGTGCATGTAAAACAGTGCTGCCATTGCTCTGTATGAGACATGTTGTGGGAAGCAAACATGTGAAGTAAGTATGGTGCTCAGTAAGATTTGCATCTGTTATATCTTGGCTACTCACAATACCATGTAGACTTGAGGACACCTGCACATCCTTAGCTCATACAACATGTGCATGTTAGTGTTCTGCTCCACCCTCTGAACTTCACTGTAATAGAGCTGCAAATCATTGGAACTATTGCCCTGAAGGTTTCTTCTTCAAAATCATATAACCCCATCGTAATAAAACTAATCATGCTAGGGGCCACTTCGCTCCCAAGATAGCCGTCTTCTATCTCCAGTGCTCCCGCTCCCCTGGTACACCCCCGTTCCAACCACCATTCCTCCTCCCAAGCCCCCTTGGGTAATGAGAATTCTGTCCACCTGGCATCCTGCCGTTGTCCGGAAACCCCGATCCTCGATGACCGGGCATAGGGCTCACTGACCTATACTCATTGAGGTAGTAGCCTGGACGAGGATGTTCTTGCATATTTCTGGGCGGCGAAGGGCCGCGGCTTTGGTAGTAGGAGCTGTGTTGTAGGGAATGTTGTTGTGCATCTTTTGTAGTTGGGTCTGTTGATAGACTGTGGTGTTATGGTAAAGCTGGATACTTGTGGAGTTTGAAAGTCTGTAGCGCGATGTAGAAGATCCTTTGTATTGTGTTGGATCGAGTAGCATTGTGCTACGTCGTGTTGGAAGAGAATGTGTTGTGCTGGAATGACGAGTGTGACAATTTAACTTTCGCAGAGACACAAACATCACAAAGACGACCACGACAAAGATCGAAATACGTGTAGTCGACTCTCTTTGATGTTCATTGCTAGATCTATTCTTACGTTTGTTTGCTGTTAGATTGTATTTATCTGTTCTTTCTAACAATAACTTTGAATATCTGGATTGCTTCAGGAAACCACGCAAGCATAACACAAGCGTGTCATCTGATAAGACATGTCAAGTACGTAGTAGATAAAACGACGAGCAAAATGAAGTTCACCTAGTCGACGTTCTCAGAAAGGAGCAAAAAAAGGTCAAAAACATACAACAGTCGGAATTCGCTAATGGTCACCCACTTAACTACTACTCGACCGGTACGATGCTTGTGTAAGGCTGAGCGGACGGGAAGCCCAATTGTCATCGTCCTATGGTCGTATGTGAAGGAAATGGCTAGCTGTTAGGCTCATGTTGTTGCAATGTGCAACTTGTTAGCGCTTCTGGCTTTCCTGAAGGCACAATACAGCCAATTCCTGACTGCCCAAAAACCTCCATGTCAACGTCCTGCAGTTGTATGTGATGAACTTCTGAATTTTGATGGAAAATGATCAGGAGTTACTAGAGGAAACATCTAGTGCTCACCTACAAGCACAGTGCTATCCTCAACCCTGTCTTCCTCACTTCCACTTCCACCCAGCAATCCGTCTCCCTCCTTCTCCTCAGCCATAGACGGCTGCACAACCTGCCGTCCTTTCCAGTTCTTCATCATACTGTCCAAGCGCTTCCGCAATCCATACTGCATCCACAGCGGCAGACTCCTCAGCCTTGGCGCAATCAACCAAGCCGTCTCCGGCAGAGTCATGTGCTTTGATTTCCCGCCCAGAACGGCCTTCACAATCTCCTCAGCCACTGTCTCGGGGTATAAGAACTTGCTGTCGAAGCCTTCGAACAGCGCGGTGCGTGTGTAGCCCTGGCACATCAAGACCGTGCGGACCTTGGGTGCCTTGTAGTGTGTGACCAGCTCGCTCGCGAGGCCTTCGTGGAAGGCTATGGCAGAGGCTTTGGACGCGGCGTAGTCGACCATTGACGGGGCTGTGACAAAACCAGCTAGACTGGCTACTGTGCAGATGAGGCCGTGGTTCTTGCTGACCATGTCTGGCAGGAATTGTTGGGCGAGGTAGTAGTGTGCAAAGGCATTGACCTTGAATGTGAGGTTGATGTCCTTCTCCGTGCTCTCGAGGATTGTCTTGCCACGTACGACACCAGCGTTGTTGATTAGGACGGTCGGGTTGCCGAGGGTGGAACGGATCTGCGAGCAGGCGGAGGCGATGGAGTCGGGAGAGGAGAGATCGCAGTGGAAGAAGCGAACAGAAGGTGGTGCTGAGGTTTGTTAGTGATTTCCTCCTAGTACGCATCAAGGTAGTTCTTACCCTCGTATGTGAGCTCCTGTATATCTAGCACAGCAACCTTGATGCCCCTCTCAGCAAGCAAATGCACCACGACCTTGCCAATGCCATCACTGCCACCCGTCACAACAACAATCTCCTTGTTCCAGTCGTAAGTGTCATTGCTCCAGTTGTTCGTCACCGCGCTGTCGAGCCACCCGCTGAGACTGTTCAACAGACCGAGTCCGACAAGGGTCCTTAGATGTTTGAATGCGGCACCGTGCTCGGCTGCGAGTATGTTTCCACGCGTAGTAAAGCGACCCAGTAGGATGAGGGGGAGTGTCAAGGCTGGGTTAAGCACTGTCAACTTGAGTAGTCGACCAATCGTGTCGCCAGTGATGCCTGTTCATAAACTCAGCATGTAAATTAGGTTGTGTCTATCCTGGGATGTAGTGCTTACCTTCACGCGAGAGGCTCCATTCGCTTCGGATAGGCATGTTGGCGATCAAAAGACACTAAGAATTAGGAATCGAAGTCGTGCATTCAAGGAAGGTTTGGACAAACTACAAGGCTGCCAGTAGGCAATACCTAGCCTCACATCTCAAGCGTCGCTCTTTATGAGCAGAGTGCCTTCACCCTGGCACTTGGCACCTCGAGGCTGCTTCCGAAAAATGCGGGGCTGCAGCACGCGCTAGCCGAGGTCGCGCCGTACGGGAGCTTGCACGCGTCGGCCAAGAAGCACATGGCAATGTGCTCGGTCATTGAGATCATCGGTTATCGAGCTCTGCCTTTAGTTATGACTCAAGTTCGTCAAGGGTGCCAATTTTTGAGATGAACTAATAATAATTGTCGCTATGATCGTCTTGAAGACATAGATATACAGATCAAAGAAAATAAAAATGCTCAAGCCTTTTGCCACGTGTCCAACACCAAGCCATACTTCAAAACGCCAAATCAGACCCATAACATAGGAAATCGTGTCGTGAGGTATCTCGTAAAAGACGCCGGTGGAAATACCCGTCTAGTAATACTAACAGTGAAAACAACCAAATGCAATGCAAGCGTCCTAAATGACATTACCACTTCCAGTCTCATAGTCCATGATCGAGCTCTCCGGCACCACGCTCGTCATGCGACTTGCTCTTGAATCTGGGCGGTCGATGCTCATCGCTCCACTGAGCATCCTTACGACCTTTTTGTCTCTTGGTCTTTGGACCAAGACTTGCGCAGGACAGACCACGATCTCGTCCTCGCCTTCTCCGAAATCGTCGCCCTTCTTGACAACAAGTGGGAAGAGCACAATCTTGACAATTGCTCCACGTCCTTCTAATTCGTCGTTGGAGGTCTCGCGCCCGGACCGCTCGTTCATGAGGGAAGCATTGAAGGTTACTTTGGCAACTAGGTCGCCGTTGGTGTCGTACTCCGGTTGAAGTGGTGGGAGCATGATGTATTCTGCGCGCTGAGTGCGCATCTCAATCGATAGCTCGACTGCTAGGCGCATCACATTGCGTAGTGATTCCTGAATTTGTCGCTGTAGATGAGAGGGTGGCGACAACAGGGTAGAGAGCGTGCTGTAGATCTCGTGCACAACAGCTTCGGTATCTTGGGCACGCTGTTGGATGAAAGCTTCTCTCTTTGATAGAAGTGTGAGTGTGATAGCTCGCCATTGGGCTACGGCGCGTGGTGGTCCTGACAAGAATATTAGTTGAAGTTCTGAATTCGATGCAGTCAATGTACTCACCAACTTCCGATAAAGTCTTCTCCAGCGACTTGAGTTTCTGTCGCTGTTCTCTGTCCATACCAAATAGGTATCTTGTGAAGACGTACTCCCAGATCATGGTCATCACTACAGACATGAACACATCTCGCCGCTTGACGCGATCAGCCAATAGGCTGTCGACATCTGATCCATCGAGGATGGCATTGTCAAGGCGAGTGTCAATCTTTTGCCTAGTTGCCGTGTCGAGCCTTGTGTCTGCGGCGATCTCTGACGAGAGTTTGCAAGGGCGCGTATCCGAGAATTTGGAGAATCGCAACACCCATTGCTGGACGTGCTGACAGAGTTGTTGGCATGCGCTGTCAAAGTAGTCCTCATCTCGGATCGTCAGGAAACTCTCGCTGGGCTTCTTCGCAGATAGAATCTGCTTCTGTAGTGTCTTGATTTGCTCTTTGGCTTCTGTGAGATCCGTGTTCAGACGGTCGATCTCAGCGTTGCGCTCGTCAAGTGCGATGCCAATCTCGTCGCGTACTGCATCTTCCACTCCTCTGGTCAACTGTTGATGTTGAGTGCGGAGCTGTTCGAGCTCGCGTTGGGTGGTCTGCCATTGCTGATGGACCAATTGACCCTCGGATTGAAGTTGTGCATATCGCTCATTAGTGTCATTGGCGAGATTGCGATTGGCCTCTGTCAAGGTGTCGTATCAGCTCTCTTAGCCTTGCAATCTCCTCTTGGAGCCTTTGGAGAGTATCCTTGAGCTGTGCAATGTCGATATCTCTTTGGTGAATCTCTCGATCACGTGCTTCAGCGGCCTCTGCGACAAGCTGCTCGTCGATTTGGCGTTGATGGTAGGTAGCTTGAAGGGTCTCCTCTGCTCGTGCTTTTGCATTTTCGAGCGAAGAGTTTTGTGCAGCAAGTTCATCAAGTTGTGTTTGTAAGTCGATCAATTGCATACTTTGTCGCTTGCGCACGCTCGGTGGTCGCGTTGGCCGCGACGGTGACATTGGCGAGCGCGGAACTTCGCCCCACGCCTCCTGAACTCTGTTAGCGTCATGTGCGACAACCGTCTGATCTACGTTTGGGGACTTACAAAAGTTTCGGCGGCCATACTGGCCCGACGACCCTTGCCTGTACCTCTGACGGGATCGTATTTAGATGCGTCTGCGATGCCCGCGATGGCTGCAACGGCGCCCGTCGCGAGTGCCAGACCTGAGAGGTTGGGGTCCGTCTCGTTAGCGTCTTGCGCACTGGCCTCGCCAAGACGGGATACAGCCCTCAGGTCACCTGATGCGCTCCTGTCTACTCGTCGTAAGGATTGTGTAGAGCGGTTGCTTGCAGAGCTGAGGGGCCGCTGCTCCTGGTCTGGAGATCTAAATTTTGAGATGTTGCTCATGGATCGCTGGCTGAGTGCGCTTGCTGAGCGTTGTTCAGACATTTGCTGCTTGATTGGATCATAGCTTGGAGATGAGCGTGGCATCCTACGTGCAGGGCTGAGCGTCATCGTTCGATCTACGTTGTCGTGTACTTGACTCCATGGCGATTCTATCGATGCTGAGGCCCTTCCAGTGCTGTCAGACGCTGCTGGTACCCCCCTTCGGCTCAATGGGGTCGGAGTGACGGGAGGCGGTGATTTCAGTCGTTCTGAAAAGGGCTTTGGGCTCTCAGTCCGACGAGCTGACTTCGTCCCTCGGTCTGGCGCTCCGACATCGTTGATAGCTCGGCCTTTCTTGTGCAAGGGAGAGTCATCAGGAGGACTTGTTTCTGTGATGGTGTGGAGCTGATTGTTACTGGGCGTGCGGCCATGCTTTGACAGTGGCGTGACTAGCGACGAAGACTGTCCAGTACTCTTTTCCTTGGGATCACCAAAGATTGACTGATATGGCTCCTTGTGCTCGATCTCCTTGGTAGGCGACACTTGCTCGTCACGAGAACCTGCGTGTGGCTTCTTACTCTTGCTCGGTCTGGTCGTTTCGCCCATCTCTTTGGTCGTTGAAGGTACTGCTCTGCGGCTCTCATGAGCAGGCGTCACTGTTTCAACAGTGGGTGATGTGCCATATGCTCGTGTTGACGGTGACGAGTCAAACAGGTACGAAGTACGCTCCTTCGTTGCGTATTCTTGTGGAGAAGGTGTTGTGGCTCCAGCAGATGCTGGATACTCTGGCAGCGTAGGACTGTTCTCCACGTCCTGTGAGTTCCGAATCGCTCTCTCGCGGGGCGTCTTTGGTTCCTTTGATCTACGCTTCTTTTCCCGAGAGGATGTCGTTTCTTGATGGACTGGTTCCCCTGGCATGACTGGGCTATGACCAGCGTCATGGTAGCCACTGTCGCGAGTGCTTTCCTGGAATGGCGCAGGTCTTGCTTGAACTGGCAGTTCATCTACCTCTACAGCACTATCGCGTACCCCAGCAAATGACCAAGTAGGCTCGGCAGATGGACTGAGACCCCGATCTCTCGGTTCTACGTCTAGGGCGCTCGTCTTTCGTCGTGAGGATCGTTCATTGCTGGCAGAATCTTCTGTCTTGGTTGATGTTGCCTGCCTGAGTTCGGGAGTGGCTTCTCGAAGATGGGTTCGCTTTTCGTATGGCTGGTCCTCCTCGAACGTCACTGGATGGGATCGTCGTTTATGCGTCTCGGTGGCAAGATCTTGTGTTCTGTCAACTGAGCTGTTGTGGTGCTGCACTTCTTGCATCTCACTCCTCGGCTCACTCTTTTCTTTCCCTTTCCTGCTTTTCTTTTCTTTCTTTTTTGATGATCCAGCCAACTCCTCAACCTCTTCCGTTTCTTTCCGTCCTACCATTGGCGACTTCTCTATATCGCGGCTCCCTGCATCTCTTGGTATCGGCACTTGAGGGAACGGATACTCATCGAACTCCTTGCCCGTTGCTCGCTTTGGTGCCTGCTCTTTTGGCACACCTTGATCGACCGGTGCGACATTGATAGGCGCCTGCGACAGAGGGTTTGCGAGCTTACTTTCGCTGGCAGTGGAGTCAACTGCTAGAGTCTCAACAACAGGAGGCTCTCTTGTGAGAGCTTCAACCGCCGGAGTCTCACCAACTGCATACTCAACACTGTCCTGCGTTCGTGATGCTTGTTTCTTGTCTTTCTTTACCTTCTTGTCCTTCTTTGGTTCAAAAGGCCAGGCGCTATCATGCTCCGTAGGTAGCTCTTTCGATTGCGCGTCGAGTGACTGTGGTTCTACGCTTCTGCTTACTCCCCCGGTAGGCTCGTTTGAAAGTGTAGTGGGCACAGCTTCTGCAGGTGACTCAGGCAGAGAAGTGCGCTTCTTCTTTCCACTCGACTTCTTGTTCATCTTGAGCTTCGAACCTAGCTCGTCGGGATCGGCTTCCTCAAGAGCGCGTGGAGACGTGTTTGACTTCGAAAATGTGGGATCGTTGAGCACATCTAGAGGATCAAAAGAGATGTCGTCTGTAGCTGCAATGGCGACTTCGATGGGTGGAAGGGTGCTAGACTCAGATTCCTTGGTGGGACGTAACTTGGGTGACGAAGTAGGTGTAGTCCATCCTTGGGAAGCAAATTTTGATGCACCGGCGCTGTTGAGTGCGGCAGCGACATCATCATCAGTCGTTATGTCGTGAGTGCCGTGGGGTGATGTCGATTTATGGAAGGTAGAGTCGTTGACGACGTACGTGTCATCAAAGCCAGAGATCTTTAGGCCGGCCGCGACGGTGCCAGCGAAGTCGATGTCTTTCTTGGGTGACCGAGAACCAAGGCGCGCATCCGAAGTGACTCGCGAAACGGTCCTCTTTTCTGAAGTCGGTAGCTGTATTGGCGTAACCGACCTGGACTGCGTTTCGTACTGCTTGGCAAGGTCCTTGACACTTCCAGTGGTCCCCTTTCGTAGCTCTCGTTGACCTGAAGACCCTTCTTGTGATGCACCCTGCTCAAACAATGCAGCCAGTTTTTGTGCTCTTGATGGCTTCTTAGCCAATGTTGGTGCTTCAGCGGTATCGAGGCTCGTGGTGGATGACGATGGTTCTGCGTCTCGGATCAGTGCAACTCTCGTTGATTGATCATCGACCACCCTCGCTGGAGCGGTGACTGTCTCAGTGCGTTCAGAGACAGCCTCCTTCGGAAGCTCAGGTTTGCGTTCGGTGCCAAGAGGCGCAGTTGACTCTGCTTCGAAGGCTGGAGTCGTCTTCTTGGTCTTGCGCTTCTCCTCCTTCTCTGGCTTCGAAGCAGGCTCAATCTCAGGCTCGGCCACCTCGACGACTTGTTGACTCAGGTGTCCCTCAACTGGAGCCCGTGAGATGTCAGGCAGGACATCGGACTCGGCCGTGGGCTTAGACTTGCGCTTCTCTTTCTTGCTCTTCTTGGAAGGCAAAGCCGATTCGTCTTCAGCAGCAATTTCGGGAGCAACTGCTGGCGTCGGTTCCGGGTCAGCAGCAGACTCTACAGCCGATTGCTGCAGAACCGATGTATCTTCGACGGGCATGTGCATAGTATCTGCCGCCTCCTTCTCAGTTGCCTTGACATCGACTACGGGGATCTCTTGATTCATCACATCAGGTTGCTGTGACTCGATGGGTAGCTCCTCCGTACGGAGCACGTTTTCAGCCGCGACCTCTGGGATTTGTTCAGTCTTGGTGGACTCATCGATTGATGCGCTCTTCTTGTCCTTCTTCTTATCTTTCTTGCTAAGCTTGCGGGAGACGGATGGTCGCTCTCCTTCAGCGATGGACTCGGCCTCTGGTGGCACGTCAGGCTGAGCTTCAGGTGCTTTGATGACAGAAGCAGCTAAGTCAGTGTGCTGTGTTTCTGTCCGGGCGAGTGGCACAATCGTTTCAATCTCTCGTGTCAAAGTATCGTTTACACGGCTCGCCTCCTTTTTCATCGTAGCAGCCTCTTCGCTAGGGTAAACAGGCTCTTCCAGGGATGTTGGTTGTGTTTGCTCGACTGGCACAACCGGTGCATCTGGCTGTATAGCTGGCTCAGCTGTCGTGGTTTCAGTGAAGATCTTCGCTTCTTCACGTGACTGATCGATGAGCGGTTGTTGGGTTTCAATAACAGGAACAACCTGTTCAGGAAGTGTCTTAGCCACCTCTTCGACCTCAGATACACTCTGCTTAGCCTTCTTCTTGTCCTTCTTGCTTAGCTTGCGCGATGGGATTTCGGCCATGCGTGGCTCTTCGACAATTTCCTTCGTCTCAACCACAGCTTCAGGTTCAGCTGCAGGAGTCGTCGGTTCGGTGTCGAGCGAAGCACCCTTGGCTTTCTTTCCCTTCTTCTTGTCTTTCTTGCTAAGCTTGCCGACAACATCGGAGAATGACGTTGGGTCGGATGAAGTAGGTTCGTCGAGTTGTTCTTGTGTAGCAAGAGCTTGGTCGAGTGCTTCAGAACGGAGCTTGAATTCGGCGACGTCATCTTGTACAGCCTTCAGGTCTGGTGATGAGATCGTTGGCGGTTGGGAGAGTTCTTCCTTCTCATCTTGTCGCTCCTTGACTTGTGTCACTTGGTCCAGTGCCGGCTCGACAATTTCTCTCGTTGACTCTGAATCTGCTTGCGTTGTTTGGAAAGAAGGTGGTGGTGGGGATCGTTCGGCTTCGCGCCTTGCTTCTGTGATTATTGGCAGGACTTCGACTTCTTCTTTTGGAGACTCTTGTGCAGTGACGGGCAGCACCTCGTTTTCGGTCGTCGCAATCTCGTTATCAAGCTCACTCGGCACATTCTGTGCCTTCTTGCCCTTTTTTTTACCCTTCTTTGAGGCAGAGCGCGACAAAGATAGTTCGTCAGCTTCAATTGTTTGGCGTTCTTGTTCTTGTGCAATTTCTCGGGCTGGAAGAGGTGTGTCCTGAATAGTTGCGACGGCTGGTGCAGAAGTGACCTCTTGAGGTGGTTGTGTATCGGAGGGGCCTTCACGCACGATTGCCTCTGGTTCGATGGGCCTGGCGTCCCGCAGCTGCTCATGGAGAAACAGTAGATTCTGCAGTCTCTGTGGCAGTAATTTCACTTGGCGCAACCGATGGTTCTGAAACGACTTCGATCGGCGTCGTGATGCCAGAAGTCAAGCTGCTCTTCTTGCCCTTCTTTTTGTCTTTCTTCGACTTCTTTGAAGGTGTAGTCACCTCGGTCTGATCCACGATTGACATAGGATCTTCTAAAGGCTGTGCGCTGGTGGTAGCTTCGTTGACCGTCTCGACGGTTGCTGGTAAAGGCTCGTTCTCTGGCTCGATAAGTTGACTGTGAGGCTCAGTAGTGACATCGGAGGTAGGTAGATCGATTGTTGTGGAGGTGAGTTGCAGCTCCTGGCTGCTTGACTTGGAGGGAGCGGGTACATCGAGCTGTTCTGCTGTCGAAGGTAGGTCCTCAGGAATGCTTTCTACTGTAGGCTCAGCCACAACCATTGCTTCAGGCTGCTGTTGCTCAGAAGGGACGTCGTTGTTCTTTTTGCCCTTCTTGGTCTTCTTAGAGGCCTTACGGCTGGGGACTTCTGTAACCTCGATAGGCTCGATGTCCACGGTCGGCATGGACTCGCTGTTCTCTTCAGCACGAGGCTGCAAATAAATTTCAGGCTCATCTAGCGTAGCCTGTCGTTCAGGTACTTGTTCGATATTGCCTAGGACTTGCGGAAGCAGCGCCTCGACAGCTTCCGAAAGCTCCAATGCAGGGGGGTCTGTGACCTCGTTTGAAGCAGCGAGTAATGAGTCCAAATCACGTACGACAGCTGTCTCTTGGGAAGGTTCGATCAAGGACTTAGCATCGTCACGAGCCTGCTCATTGGGGCTAGATTCGGCGACGTCACCAGCTTCGGCGTTGTCGAGAGACAGAGATTGTTTCTTGCTCTTCTTGTCTTTCTTGGCTTTATTTCCCTTCACTGGCGTAGACGCCGTCTCTCCCTGTGTGATTTCGGTCGAAATTTGATCTTGCATAGGCGCTGCGACAGGACTATCAGCCGTAGGCACAGTTTTCTCTGCATGTTCGACTGGGTGAATAGGCTCCGCAGTGAGCGCTGGTACTTCTGGCTCTGCAATGATGGGCACTTGTCGAGGCTCTTCGGTGATCATAAGCTCAATCTCTGGCGCCTGTGCTCCTTCAACCATGCTCTCAGTTGGCACTTCTCTCTCAGCTATTGGCTCCGCTTCCACGTCCATGGCAATGGAGCTCTTCCGAGCCTTCTTCTCTTTCTTGCTGAGCTTGCGAGTGAGGACAGGCTTCTCCTCCACGATCACCTCTCCCCTGGTTTCCGAAGGTACTTTATCGGCCAGAACAAGGGGCTCTGGAACTGGCGCTTGGAATCCGACCTCGGCGACTTCAGAGCCTGGGGCTTGCTGCACATCTTCGGAGACTGTGCGTGTTTCTGTGGCCATGGGGTCACTCAACTCAATTGCTGGCGTCTGAGGTTCCGACTTTTTGCCCTTGTTCTTTTTCTTTTTCTTGGACGGAGTGGAAGTCGTGTCCTCAGTTACAAGTTCAGGTGCGATGGCTAGATCCTCCGATACTGCAAGACCGTTGTCTTCAGCCTTAACATCGATTGGTGCTTCGAGCTCGGGTTCGGGAGCGAGAACGGGCTCGATTGTTGCAGGTGTGTCGTCTTTCGCATCGGGCACATCAAGAGCTTGAACGGTCGATTCTTGAACATCGCGGTTGGTTGCAATGGGCTCTTCAACAGGTGGTGGGACATCCTCAGGTGCAACCTGTGGCACGCCTTTGGCAATTGAGGCCGATGTGTCCGATTTCTTTGCCTTCTTCTTAGATTTCTTCGAAGATGTTGGTGCAATGTCTTCTTCAAGGTGTGGCGTTGGATCTGGCTGTAGTTCTGGCTCGACAGTTGCATGTGAAATATCTGCTTCTTGAATTTCGACGTCTCGTGTAACTTCCACATCATAGCGTGGTTCAGATGTGGTAGTATCAACACTTTCGACAAGCATCGGCGTATCCTGCGACTCCTGTGTAGTCTCCTGCTGTGGCACCACAGTATCATCGATGGTTGGCGTGGCGGTACCAGACATGTTCGACTTCTTTTTGGTCTTCTTGGGAGTCGGAGCTGGTGCCTGCTCATCAATTGTCGTAACAAGATCTGTCAAATGCGATACCACAGGGGTGTCACGCTGTTCGATGCGGGATTGCTCTTCCAGGATGGGCTGTGTTTGTGCTGTAGATGGCTGGACGTCTTCCATGATGTCATCCTTGACATTGGTTGCTGGCTCTGGTTGAATTCCGAGATCGCGAGAGAGCTCAGGTTCTGAGGCAGGAACATCTTCGTTAATAGGCGTGGCTGTTCCTGATTTCTTGGCCTTCTTCTTGCTCTTCTTCTTTGATGCTTCGGGGGTTAGACCTTTATCCAGAGGCTCGACTTCTACTGTAGGTGCAGAATCCTGAGCAGGTCGCTCGACGCCACGAGTATCTGTGGCGACAAAACCCTCTTGAGTAACAGCAACAGGAGGTTCATCAACAAGAGACTTGTTCGCATCAGTGGTAGCGATAGTGAGCTCTTGTGTTATGTCCGCTGGGATGGCAGGTCCGTCTTCAGCGACAGTAGCTTCGGCGAATGCCTCTTCGCTCTTCTGCGCTTCTTCTTTCGTAGCTGATGAAGGCAGCGCTGGCTCATCGATCAAAGGCGCTGGTACAGCGACAACCGGAGAGATCGACTCTTGTTCGACCTCGCGAGGCTGTTCTACAACAAGCTCCTTGCGAGATATGGCTGCCGGTACCTCTTCGATCGGTTCCGTGACACTATCGGCGTTGTCGGCAGTGTGTTCTTGAACCTGTTCAGGTTGCACGATGGCAACCTCCTCAGTGACTGGAGTTGCAGCGCCTGATGCCTTCTTCGCTTTCTTCGCTTTTTTCTTGTCTTTCTTCGACGAAGGAGTTGGTGCCTCTTCTTCAATAGGAGCTTCGGCTGGAAGTTCAGGTGCAGGGAGAGGTGCTACCTCTGTGATATCAGTCTCTGCGATGTCCAGCGCACGTTCACTTTCGAGATTTTGTTCGTTGGTGTCTTCGGCTTTCACAGCGTCGGTTTCCGTGACTTGAAGCGGCTGAGCTTCAACATCATCCTGTATTGTCTTTTCCGGTGTGGCAGTACTTTCGATAGTTTCCGCTGTCTTACTCGGGAGTTCGGAGATAGGTTCAACGATTGTAGCAACGTCCTCAGCCTTCTTTGCTTTCTTGCCCTTTTTCTCGTCTTTCTTGGGAGCCGTGTAACTCCAATCCTCCTCTGCTGGCTGGACCGGCATGTCAGTAGCTGGCGCGTGTTCTGGAGCATCAGTGGCCACTTCAGTTTCTACAGTTGGCGCTTCGTCGCATGGTGGAGTCTCGATAGCTTTGCCGAGGGCTGTAGGTATTGTCTCAGCCAGCGCTTCGTTTGTTTGTTCGACGACTGGCTCTGCCTCCATGACTTGCGAAGGGATGACTGCCTCAACTTGTCCCATTGCTGGCTCCTCGACTTTCTGTTCGACCTCAGGAACATCCTCAACCATTGGCGTGTCAATACCAGACGACTTCTTGGACTTCTTGGCCTTCTTCTTGTCTTTCTTAGAAAGCTTGACGTCCGTGTCTGCAATAGGCCCCACAGCCTCCTCCGGGACACTAGCTGTTGGCTGCTGAACCTCTTCTTCTTGTTGTGAAGGGATATCAGCAACTCGGTCGACCACGACGGCCGAGGCCTCTTCTTGCGAAATTGCAATTGTCTTGTCAGAAGCACTCGGTTTGATGTTTTCCTTTACAAGCGCTGGCGCTTCCTCCACCACTGGCGCGGCTTTAATGACGGCGGGTTGATCAACAATCTGCTCAGGCGCTTGAACCGGAGGTTCTTCAACCTTCTCTGGCTGCGCCTCTGGCAGTGTTTCATCAGCTGGTGTGGCAGTCCCGGATTGTTTCTTGGCCTTTTTGTTCTTTTTCTTGTCTTTCTTCGAAGGCGTGGCGATTACTTCATCATCAACGGCGGTCGAAGGCTCGCTGGGGGTTCCGACTTCGATCGACTTCTCCTGGGATAGATCTGCACTGATGTCCCGAGGTGTGTCGGTCACTATCGGCTGTGCCGGAATGACTTCAGAGATCTCTTGTGACTTCTCCTCGGCCTTGACAGGCACATTCTTATCGACAAGTGGAGCTGCTTCCAGAGATGTTTCTTCAGTATTGCTTGTAAGTGGCTCCTCAGCTGCGTCCGGAACATCAGGTACAGCTTCAACCGGTGTCGCTGTCCCAGACTTCTTCTTATCCTTTTTCGCCTTCTTCTTGTCTTTCTTTGCAGCAGCTGAACTTTCTGGATCAAGCACAGGTTCCGTTGATACTGGAGTGGGTTCCTTGGACTGTTCATCTACAGGATCTAGAGCTCTTTCGGAGGGTTCTAACGGCTTGTCCATGACGACCTCAGATATGGTAGGTGCTGATGCGCCAGGCTCGACGATATCCTTGGGCAAAGCAATTTCTTCGTTAGGCTTTGCGGTATTGTCGATGCTGACAACGGACTCAAGTTGCGCAGTGGCGACCAGTTCATCCACCTTGACCTCCTTGGAAGATTCTCCAGTTGGTTCGGTAGCAATAGTCTCAGGCGTCGATTTAGCCAAGGGTGTTCGCTTGCGTGGGAGAATTGGTTTGTCTTCGGCTGCTTTTTGCTCGAACAAGGCGGCTAGCTTATGCTTCTTGACTTTCTTTTGCTCAGGCTCGGATGGCATTGTCGTAGTCTTCTCTTCTGGTGCTGCCTTGACCTCTTCAACGGGCTGCTGATCATGCAGCTGGGCTTCGGTAGTGTCGACCTGAGCAATAGGCTGCTCTATAACGACCACCTCGGGGTCCAGGGTAGCCACTTCTGCCACGGATCGGACTTGCTCATTTCCAGAAGGCTCAATTGGCGTGGTGTCAGCAACATCAACTGCGGAGGAAGCCTCGGGTAAAGGATCTTCAACAACGGAAGCTCGCTTCTTGCCTTTCTTATCTGTTTTCGTTTTCTTGGTTTTCTCTTCATCCACAGCTTCCACCACAGGCTCTTCCTGCTTCTCAACATCCACATCCAACTTGTTTTCCATCTCTTTCTCATCAACCACTCGTGCACTCTCATCTTGCACACTCTCGCCGCCATTTTCAACAAACGCAATATCACGAACATGGGGATATGAGGTCGGTATCCCCGAGAGAAGTAAAGGTGTCTCCGAAGGTATAGAAGGGGGTGGAGACGACTGAGTATCAGAAACATTGGCTTCCTCAGGCGTCTCAAGCGCTAAAAAAGGCACGGTTTCGCTCTTTGATTCTTTTTGTTGCTTTTTGGCTTTCTTCTTGTCCTTCTTGGAGGGTTTCGTCGGCTCTTCGACGGGCTCGATGAACGTAGCCGCTGCAGGCGCCTCTTCGGTCGCTTGGTCAGGCGGAGGGGTATCGTGTGCTGCTGGTGGCTCCTCGGTAGTCGGCTGCTCAGTCGCTGCAGAAGTAGAAGGCTGGTCATCAATTCCGAGCTCCTTGGTAACTTCCTCGACAGGCGTTGCCGGGAGAGAAGTTTGGTCTTCAATACCAGATGCACGCTTGGACTTCTTCGCTTTCTTCTTATCTTTCTTCGAAAGCGTAGCATCGGCGATCTCTTCCACAGCGGGAGTGGGCTCGATAGGGGCTTCGACGATGGGCTTAGTCTGTGGCTCTTCCACTGGCGTCGCTGTCACCGATTGGCCTTCGGCAGACTTCTGTACTCTAGCGATTTCATGGGCGTCTGGAACAACGGGCCGTTTAAACGAAGGAGCAAGTTCCCTAGAAACTTCCTCTATAGGTGTCGCGGGCTGTGACAGCTCCCCTTCTATGACAGACGAGGCTTTTGACTTCTTCGCCTTCTTCTTGTCCTTCTTTGACTTGACAACAGGTTCTTCGACAGCTTCGACAGGCTCTTGAACAATAGACGAAGCTTCAGGTTGCTCTGCAATCACAGTCGACTCGTCGACAACGGGAGCTACAATTGGCTCTTTTAGATCGGCAGTCTCAGCCATGGGCTGCACATCCTCAATCCTAAGCTCCTTTGTCAATTCCTCCGCAGGAGTCACAGGCTGTGATGGCTCGCTCTCAGCGACAGACGCGCGCTTGGCTTTCTTCAGCTTCTTCTTCTGTGCCTTGGAAAGATTGGCCCACTCGGCGGGTTCGGCTTCGTCATCCTTGGTTTGCTCGACGGGTGCAGCGGCAGTCTCAGAGACTGCCTCGCTTGACAATGGCTCCGTCGGCGGGAAGGCTTGGGATGGTTCCTTGCTCTCATCGAAGGTCGCGGGGAGAAGAGCCTCCTGGTCTAGAGATGGCTGAGAAATCTCCTCCTTGACGATAGGGGAAACTATGACCGGTTCTTCGGTGATCACGGGTGCGACAGGTTGCTGTTCTTCTACGCTGACGTCCTTGGTCTGTTCAGGTACTTGCTCGACGGGTGCTGAGGGCTCAGAAAGCTCAGGTTCGGCGATAGATCCGCGCTTAGACTTCTTCGTTTTCTTCTTGTCCTTCTTTAACGTAGACGCTGAAGGAGCATCCTCTTGGACAATATCCTTGGGTGTTTCCTCAGTGGCGGTGAATGGCATATCGATCTGGCTTACTTCGGGAACAGCAACGATAGGCTCTTCGACGACAGGTGGCGTGGTGAGTGGTTGATCTTCCGCTAAGACATCCTTGGTTTGCTCGGGCACTTGCTCGGTCGACTCTGGTGCGGCCGACTCTGTGAGGGCAACCGCAGGCTGAGGTCCAACCGGGGCTACAATGACAGATTCATTGACATCCGATGCAGTGTTAGCTGGCCGATCTTCTGCCTTCGCGTCAACCACCTCCGGGGTTGACGCTTCGATAGGAATGGAAGGCTCAGAAGGCTCGGTCTCCGCAATGGATCCACGTTTTGCCTTCTTCGACTTTTTCTTGTCCTTTTTCGAACTTGTCGCAGTTGCTTCGGCATCGACTGCCTTCTGAAGATCATCCGCAGGTGGCGCGACTAGCACAGGCTCTTCCGTTGCTGGCGTTTCTAAAATTTGCTCCTCAACAGCCGGTGCTGATTGAGGTTCTTGAACATCAAGCAGATCCTGTGCATTTTCTTCAACTGAAGTTTCGATCGGAGTCGTAGTTCCGCTCTCAGCTACAGAGCCACGCTTGGCCTTCTTGGCCTTGTTCTTATCCTTCTTGGAGACAGATGTGGGTGCTTCCTCTTCGACAGGAGCAGCGGTTGGCTCTTCGGCTGGAGTCTGTGGTAGGCTAGACTCCTCGACCGCAGGAGCCACAGGTGCTGAATCTCCAACAGGAAGACCCCTGGAGATGAGTTCTTCGACCGGTGTGACCGCAGGTGTCGCTTCTTCAGTTGCGGCAGAGGTAGGAGCTACAGGCGCTTCCACAGGCAACTCAAGCTCTTTTTTCTCTTCAGATGGGGTAGCAACCTCAGACTCTGGCTCCGCGATGGAGACACGCTTAGCCTTCTTCGCCTTCTTCTTTTCCTTCTTCGAGATGGCCGATGATTCTTCCTCTGGAGTCTGTTGAGCTTGTTGGTCCTCCTCAGCGGTAGCAGGTACAAGCGGTGCTTCTACGTCAGCCAGCACAACCTTTTGCTCTTCAATAGTCTCTATAATGACAGGCTGTACTTCGATCGAGCTGCTTACGGCCTCATCTTGTGCTGGCTCCGGGAGTTGCGCAACAGGAAGTGGCTGGTCCTCGAGAGACACCTCTTTCTCCTCGGTAGGTGTAGCCGGAGTCGATTCGGGCTCAGCAATAGAGACGCGCTTGCTCTTCTTTGCCTTCTTCTTGTCTTTCTTCGAGAGAGATGATTGCTCGGGTTCCGCAGACTGTTCAGGCTGTTGGGGTTCTTCCGCGAGAACAGGCTCAACAGACGGCTGCTGCTCCTCTTGCTTGACTTTAGTTACAACGCTTGTATTCTCCTCAGGCATGGGCGTGGCGGTAGCAGGTTCTAGACCCACTGCAGTGTTGACAGCATCCTCTTTCGATTCCGCAACGACTGCCGGGATGGCAAATGTTTCCTTGTCAAGGGGCGCGCGCTCGAGCTCCTGTGTCGGCGTCTCTAGAGGCGTTGAAGGCTCGCTCTCAGTGACGGACTTGCGTTTGTCTTTCTTCGCCTTCTTCTTGCCTTTCTTGGATGAAGTGGCGTCTTCCTCAACTACTAACGTTGGCTCGGGCTCAACAGTCTTCTTCTCCATCTGTTCGGTGGAAGCGCCTTCGCTGTCAGCAGGTGCTATAGTCTCCCCAATGCTGGTGGGCTCAGCAAGATTGCTGTCGTCGAGTGTCGTTGGAACCACGTCTTCCTGTTGAGTTGTTGAGACGGGCATTGATTTTGGCGACACCGGCTCGGAAATGGTTGCAATCTCAGGCTGAGGCTGAGGCACTTCTGTGGCATGTTCTTCGCTTCCAAGTTCCCTCGTGACCTCCTCAACAGGTGCTGCCGGAGCGGGAGGTGTGTCCTCGACGATAGAGACGCGCTTGCCTTTCTTGGCCTTTTTCTTGTCTTTCTTAGACAGTGGTGCATCGGTTGTCGACTCGCCTACCGGCTCTGCGGGCTGATCAGCCACAGTGACAGACGGGTCGTTGTCTCGAGAAAGTTCCTCGGTAGGCTGGATCGGCTCAATCAAGGTCTGTTCCACGTCTTGGGTTTCGGTAGGCTTAGCGGTTTCAATCTCCGGAAGAGCGACTTCTTCAGTTGTGGTCGTCGACTCTACAGGCGCAGGACTAGCTTGGGCCTCAGGTGTCTCAGTTGTAGCAGCAATGAATGATTCTACTTCGGTGACAGGAGTCTGAGGCTCAGAGATCGACTTGCTCTTCTTACTCTTCTTCTTCTTGGTTTTCTTCGAGGTGGAAGTAGCATCGTCATTCTCTGGCTCCTCGATTTGCGGTTCCGAGCGTTCTGTTGATAGAGGAACCTCAGGGAGAGCTTCAAATTCGGCACTGGGAGTCTCCATTGGTACCTCGAAGTCTACTGGCTCAGATAATTGGCCCATCTCTGTGGCAAGTTCACGCTCAATGGGCTCCTCGGTGAGTGGAGTCGGAAGAGTATCATCGGCAAGTGAAATGGACTCTACAGGAGCATCAGCTACAAGAGGCTCTGGAGGGTGTACAGTCTCTTCGACTTGCGCAGCTTCCGGTGATGGTTCAACAATGGGTGCATCTTTGACGGCTTCGGTAACAGTCTCAGGCTCTTTCTCCTCATCAGCCGTCGCCTTCTTGCCCTTCTTCTTCTTAGCTTTCTTCGGGGTAGATTCAACCACTGCCTCTTCTGCGGCGGGCTCCAGGGGCATGGGAGGCTCGACTGCATCTTTGCTCGCTCTTTCGGTGGGAACATCAGTGTTCTCCGCTTTCGAGACAGTTCGAGACAAGGACTCGTCAACGGTGGGCACTGTTGTCGCTTCGGGAATTAGCTCATCAATGGGAGGCTGTGCTACTTCATCACTGCTCTTCTCAACAGCTACTGGCTCGGAGGGAGCTTCAAACTGCACAGAAGGCTCCTCGGTGGTAGGAGTGCTTGGCTCGGTGATGTCGGTCGACTTGGCTTTCTTGGCCTTCTTCTTTTTGGATTTCTTCGAAGCAAGCTCAGCACCTTCAGCCTCTACAGCTGGCTCAATGGTTGTCTCTACAGTCGGCTCGACGGTTGGCTCGATGTGTGGCCCAACAGTTGGCTCAACAGTTGGTTCAGGAGCGGATGAGACAGCGGTGTCTTGTACGGGCTTTTCCACTGCCGATGGCGTACCATCGTCAACTACAGCGGAGACTGGAGCAGGCATTGCTTCCTTATTGCTTGGAGCTTGTTCCTGGACTTCCAGAATGGCATCGCTCTTCTCAGTCGGGGCAGGCTCCAAAAAGTCCTTGACTAAGACAGGCGGCTCTTCGCTGTTCGGCGTGCTAGGTTCAGTATCAAACGACTTGCCCTTCTTGGCCTTCTTCTTCTTGCTCTTCTTCGAAGCGGCTGCCTCTTCTTCAATGACTGGCTCCTCGACATTGCGAGTCGACTCAGCGAGAACAGGTGTAGGCTTATCTTCTGTTTCCTTGACCACCTCGACTGGCCCAGCGACAACCTCCTTGGGAGTTTCAAGCGGAAGAGGTGTTTCTTGTGGCTCTTCGAGCAATGGAACGGGTTCAGCCTCAATAGCTTTTTCCACTACCGGCGGCTCGATGACGGTTTCGGATTCGACTGTTTCCTTGGGTAGGTCCGCTGCGCTTGGCTCGATGTCAACAGACTTTCCTTTCTTGCCCTTCTTTTTCTTCGCCTTCTTTGATTCGGTTGCAGCCTCTCCAACCACATCTGTAGCCGGTGCTTGGATTGGCTCCTCGGAGATGATAGCAGGTAAATCTCTGGCATGCTCAGGCTCTGTCAATGCTTCGATTGGCCTCTCCTCGGCAACAGTGGCAACTTCAGGCGTCGGGATCGGCTGTGTTACTCCTTCAAGTGGTTGCTCTGGTTTCGCAACGTCAGTCTCGACAGTTGGCTCCGGCTGGACGGACTCGATGGATGCCTCTAGCTCCCGCTGTACTTCGGTCACTGGAGTGCTAGGCTCGCTCTCGTCGACTGCCTTATTCTTCTTGGCCTTCTTCTTTTTCTTGTCTTTCTTCGAAGGTGTCGAGGTAAGATCATCAGCCTCGGCTGTGTCGGTAGGCTGGATAACAACTGGTGTTGGTACCGACTCTTCGATCGGTGCGGGCTCTGGTACAGTTGAATTGTCAGTGGTGAGGTCGGTAATGTCTCTGCTAACTGGCTCTGATGGGATATCGGGCCGTGGCGCCGCTGAAGTGTCCTCGGTGGATAAAGCGATCTCCTTTGTGTCGGCCTGTACTGGAGTCTCAGGTTCTACTGGGGGTTGCACCGTTGTCTCCTCGACGGGAGCATCAAGCTCACCATCCAATTCATCAGGAAGTCCGATGTTCTCAGGCTGCACAGAGGGCTCGACAAGTTTATCGATTGTGGTAGGGACTTCAGGCAGAACGGTCTCCTCGACTGGCGTCTCGGTACCCTTCGCCTTCTTTCCCTTCTTTTTCTTCTTTTCTTTCTTCGATACAAGGGTAGCCTCTCCAGCCTCAGCACTCGGCTCGGTAGTCGCGGAGATGTCCTCTCGGGGTTGTTGCTCAACTGGAGTCGGTTCCACTTCAAGTGACTTTGTTTGTTCTAGAGGTGGTGCAACGACAGACGTAGTTGGCTCGGAAAGTTGGGTGGGTTCAGTAGGCTCTTTTGACATTTCCACAACGTCACGAGACGGCTCTGCAAGCTCGGCAGTCGATGTTGAGGGCTCGACGATAGGCTCAGCCTGGACCTCAGGCGTCTGCGTACCACTCTTCGCCTTGCTCTTTTTGCCCTTCTTCTTGGGTGTGGCAGCCAACTCCTCTTCTGTGACTGAAGGTGCTGTCTCAGGAATGTCGCGTTCGGCAGAAGCAGGTTCAACTAGAGTTCGAACAGACTCTGTGCGCTCGATTGGCTGGATAGTAACGTCCTGAACCGCGATTTCGAGCTTGGGTTGTGTAGATACTGGTGCTTCTTCGGCAGGCTCGACAATGGGCTCGGCGAGCTCGTCTTTCTCTGTTACAGTTTCCATTGGTAGCGGTACGTCGATACCAGCATCGGGCTTGACCTCAGACGGTGCGGTAGACGAGAAATCAAGAGATCGCTCGACGACAGGCGTGCTCGTCTCGCTGTCTTCTACAGTGGAGAGTTGGACGCTTTCCCGCTTCGCTTTCTTGGCCTTCTTGTTCTTCTTCTTACTTGACGATTGCGCAGCATCTTCCTCGGCTGGTGTTGAGGGCACGGTGTCTGCAGGGGCAGCTTCTTGTGGTAGTTCCACGGTTTTTCCAGCGTTCTCGACCTGTGGCTCAGGTACAACATCCTTTTCAGTGGGTTTGGCGTTTTCTGGCAAGGTGACATCTACAGGCACGATATTTCGCTGGGTGTCCCGCAAAAGCACTGCCGCGTCATCCGCAGCTGGCGGAGCTGTGACCAAATCCTCGGAGCGTTGCTGAACTTGTTGATCGTGCACACCCACATCAGGAGCTTGAGAGGGTCCTGCCGTTGTGTTTGGCGGCTCCGATGCGGCAGATTCGGGCTCGGGGGCCACGACGCTCTCTCGCTTCTTCTTGTCCTTCTTAACCTTCTTCTTCTTAGACATAGACGACTCGGTGGGCTCAACTGGCGCAATTACTTCGGCAGCAAGAATGCTCTCTGGCCCCGGAGTAATGGCTTCAGCAGACTTGGTGGACGGCTGTGGGAAGGTGAAATGAGGCTTGCCATTATCAGTGAAGAAAGGAGTGGGCGGCGTGAAGTCTCTTGGTGTCAGTTCTCTTGACACGTACTCGCTAGCCACTGGCAGTTCCGAAGGAGTCTCAACCTGTGCCTTTTCAGTCGCGATGATATCTGATGGCGCCTGCGATACTTCCTCAACTTTCTTGACGGATGGCTGGGGAAACGTGAAGTGCGGCTTTCCGTTGTCGGTGAAGAAAGCAGTAGGTGGTGGTGCAGTGGCGTATGTTTGCTTTGCTTCCTGGTACACCTCTGAGGTAGGTTCTGATGATGCAGCCAGTACCGCATCAAGTCCCTTCTTAACAATAACATCTTCAGTCAGTTCCCGAGCCGAGTCCTCAGTGACCTTGGTTAAAGGTTGTGGGAAGGTGAAGTGCGGCTTGCCACCATCAGCAAAATATGCGGTTTGGGGGACAACAAAAGTTGGTGCAGTGGTCGCCTCCGGCATTGGTACCTCATCGCTGACGACTGCAACCTCTTGAGCTGGTTCAGGTTTCGCCGTCTTGACTTCAGTCTCAATTTCAGGCTGCTTCGACTCCGAAGGGGCGACAAGCACGGGCGGCACTTCTGTCTCCTTCTTCTTCTTCATCTCCACAACTGGTGCGGCTGCGGGGGCGGGCGCCGGAGATGTAGCCCTCTTCTTGCCCCAGCCAAGCGCGCCCCAAAGACCGCTTCCCCATCCTGATGTGGGTCGTTCAGGTTCGGCTGCTGGTGTCTCAGTCGCGGCAAACTTGGGCTGTTCAAGCTCTTTGACGTCAGAAGGTGCAGCAGACTCGGACTGTTCCAGCACCTTCACCTCAACTGCAGGTATGTCCGCCACAGGCGCAGCGGGTTCGACGACAGAAGGGACTGGTGTCGTTTCCTTCTGTACCTCAACTGCTGCGCTCAGATTCCGGTGCAGCATCCTGATCATCTTTCTCCAAGAAGTCCATGACATCAACCTTCTTCTCTTCTTGACTAGCGCTAGGGAAAGAAGGCTCGAGAATTTCGCGTTCCATTGTCTCTTTCTGTGTCTCGGGTTCTGGAATAATCTTATCCTCCTGTGCGGGTTCGATCGGGAGACTTGGAGGTTCAGCCTCAGCCTGTTGGCTTCCACGCTTGCCCTTCTTGTTTTTCTTCTTCTTGCCCTTTGGTGTAGATGAGGCGACATCCTCTGCAATGGTCTGCACAGGTTCTTGCTCGGGCTTGATGTCGGCAAGAGCCTTCTCGAGATCTGCGGGGGAGGCAGCGCTCGTTGAGGTGGGCTCATCTGAAGATTTGTCGCCTGAGCCGAAGGTAGCACGTAGTACGTCAACAGGCTGAGCTGCTTGTGGCGCTGTACTCTCAAGTATCTTCTCTGTCTGGATTTCCTTCGAAGCGGATGGCCCGGATGTCGACTCACCGACAAGCGTGGCATCGTCCGTGACGATCGACTCGGACTTGTTCTTGGCCCAGTCATCCTCGTTGTCGACAAACGTGGGGACTTGTTTGGGTTCCGAGACCTTTTGAGGTGGCGCAGCAACTGAGGGCTCAGAGACCGACATATCTCTCTGAGCCTTGCCCTTGCCCTTTTTGTCACGGTCGATCTCCATCTCGTCCGGCTCAGATGACACGGGAGCACTCTCAGTCTCGATCTTTCGCTCTTCGGAAAGTCTGCGCCCTCCAGTGAGAACCTCAAAAGGTGATGGAGTCCTGTTTCGGAAGGCAGCAGCTGTGAGGCCGCCAATGGCTGCTCCAAACGCTGCAGTCTGCAATCGCGAAGATGAGTTTGTAGGAGAAGATTTTCCACTTCGGGTAGTCGATACATCGCGCATCTTTGTATCATCGAGAGGTGCACTTGGCGCGAGAGGACTTGCGGGACGCGAAGATGAACGCTTCGCTTTGACATCTTCCAGCGCAGCAGCAAGAACATCGCGGGATGGGCCAACTGAAGCCGCAGGCGTACTCGAAGTGAAATCTGATGCCTTTGGAGTGACTTGGCCAGATCCATCAACCTCTTCAATTTCTCGACCAACAAGCTCAGGGTGCTGTAGTTCGGGTCCTGGTCGTCCGGCAATGAGGTCAGATACGGCGTGCAGCGGGTCAAAGCTGAGATCGTCCGGAGTGACGTTATCACTGGGACGAGGCGACTCCAGAGCAGACTCATACTCGGCATCGGTGTCTGTTGAAGAAGAAGCTCGGGAAGGACTAGCACTCGATGGAAGAGCTGGCAATACCTCATCGATCTCGCCTGACTTGCGGTTTCGCTCCAACAGATACAGTGGGCGGATCTCTCGAGAGGTCCTGAACTCCGCAGAGTGTGCCTTGCTATGGCGGGAGCGAACTGGCGAGGTGCCAGGACTAACCGACCGTTTCTCGGGCTCCAGAGCAAGCTCACGCTGAGTCGAGGGCGACAAAGGAGGCTTCCGGAAACGGATGGGAACAGCAGTAGAAGAGAGTCGCCTAGGTCTGACTTGAGGTGGAGGACGACTCGTCTCAGGCGATCGAAGAGGCGAGCTAGGTCGAGAGAGAGGAAGGGGAGGAAGCTCATCCGGGAAAGCTTCCAGTTGCCATGGCTGCAGACCAGTGAGCCGTGTCAGCAAAGCACGACTATCCTCGAAAGAAAGCTCGGGCGGCGTTCTTGGTCGGTCGATACCTCTGGGGGTAGCCAAGAAGCTGTGCTTATCATTGAGCGTCGGGAGAGGAAATTCGGGCCGATCGCCAGGGATGATGCCACTACCTTGTTGGGCCTCGTCAGGCTCACTTGCGGGCAGTGGAGCTGGAGTAGTGGCTGCGGCCACTGCCCGATCGCCTAAAAAAGATCTGTTCTTGATCTTGTTGTTCATCGGCATGCGAGGGCGAGGAGTATCGAGGGTAAGAGCGATCCTATAAACACAACATCAACATTCATTCTAATTACATGCGAAACAACACGACTATCGCGCATATGAGGAGCGATGTACCTTATCATCATGATCATCCCTCCTGTCGCTCTCTCCTCTCTCAGAGCGACTGCTCCGCTTCTCACGACGGCTGCTGGTTGAGATTGTAGAGCGCATGTCGTCGTCGTCCGAACCGCCGTATGTGGACCCACGGTCTGACCTATGCTTCCTTCTGCGGCGTTTGCCCTCTTCTTCCTCATCCTCCCTTGGCTTGCTGGTTGAGATTGTAGAGCGCATGTCATCGTCGTCCGAACCGCCGTATGTGGACCCACGGTCTGACCTATGCTTCCTTCTGCGGCGTTTGCCCTCATTCGTTCCTCATCCTCCCTTGGCTTCAAAGACTTGCTTGAACTCTCCGCCAAGTTCTCTTTTGACTTGCTAAACAATCCGAACAGCCCGCTTGAACGCTTCTCTTTCTCCTTCTTGGAGCTGCGATCATCATCATAGCGGGACGATGTGGAGATGACGGATGCATTGTCGTCATCATCTCTCTTTGATCTTCGTCGAGAAGACCTATGCTCATCTTGTCGATCGCCTGCCTCAGAAGCGGCAGACGAGCGAGATCGCATCACACTTTCAGGTGATCCGTCTCTTTCCCCTTCCCGCCGTCTGTGCTTGCGTCTTCGCTCGCCACTGACTTCTGAACGGGCTTCAGAAAAAGGTTGATCTCGTGTCCCAGTCATCGTTGGTGTCGTCGGTCTCCCGACGGCGATGGTGTCTCCGCTTGCGTTCTTCGCCATCAAGCTCGTAGGTCCGGTCACGACTCTGTTCGCGACTCTCCAGTTTGTCCGATTTTGATTCATGGTGTCTGCCGTTTCGTTCCTCACGAACCATATCATCTTCATATTTTGTTTTCGATGATCCAGCTGAACGTGTTTCGTCATCACGTCTGCTCTCGGGAGAGCGGACCGTCTGGATGACCGTGCTTTGATCGTCATCCTCATAGTTGCTAGGAGATTTTTGCAGAGACTGTTGCTGTCTTTCTAGCTCTCGTGCCTGTGACTTCGCCCTCTCTCTTTCATCCGAACCTGCTGAAAAGAACTCATCGGAATCTCGGTCGGCGATTTCCTTTCTGGGAGGTTCATCTGGCGCATGGTATCCCGAATCGTTCACATTGCGCGAGCCAAAAGATTCAGGGGCGTTCGTGAAGGCTGACGTGGTGGGTACTTTGGGTGCTTCGACGAACGAGCGTTGGTCGAAGTCTCTTGACGGACCCATGTAATCTTCGTACTTCGTCTCTGTTCTAAGAGGTGAGCCGATAGTGGGCGACCATCTGCCACTGCTGTGCCTTTTCTCTTTCTTCCTGCGAGGCGTCTTGGCGTCCACGAGACCGTCTTCATCGTGAGATGCGCTCGGCCCTGAAACAGGCCGATCGCCATTATCGAGCTGGCGAGTGCCGTTAGACTGTGGCAAAGACGGCTCTCGAGAGTTGTGATTGTCGGAAGAATGCAGGCTTTGTCGAGCATGTTCAAACTCGGAATTAATCCGGTCTTGATCTTGCTTCATCGAGTTACCGAGAAGAGCTGCAAATCCTCCCGCCATGGCTGCGGCAGCAACGTTCTTGCCTATATTCTCAGAGCGAGAGGAACTGCCGCCATTGACTGTTCCTTGCATGGACGAGGTGGCTGTCGAGGGCTCCAGATCCCTTGGGTCGCGCTCGACCTTTGGGCTAGCAAGCGGACTGACGTCGCTCTCCTCCCAGCTGTCTACGCTAGCTCGCTTGGCTGCCTTGGACTTCTTCTTCTTCTCCTTCTTGCTTGATGTAGCTTCGGACGCAGAAGCAGTTTCCTTAACAAAGGAAGTTTCCTTAGCAGAAGCAATTTCTTTAGCTGGCTCGCGTACTGGGATGGGCTCCGGCTCGACTCGTTTCGGGGTGTTCTGTGCTACTACGATGTTGTCAGTGCTCTTAGACTTCTTCTTATCCTTCTTGCTCTTCTTGCTCGACGAGTCCCAGTCCTCCTCGGCGGGCTTGTCGCGAGCATCATTGGTGTCCGCCACCTCGTCAAAACTTCCAGGGACATGCATGGGAGTGGCCTTGGATGTGACTTCACCCTCCACAAAGCCCGGACCATTAGTGGACTTAGGTGGGAGTTTCCGCAGGTCAAGATCGGAGGCAGAATCGTAGGTAGGCGACTGATAGACACTGCTTAAAGAACGGATCGAGGAGACAGCCGATGGGGCAATAGTGGATGGGGCAATGGTAGAAGCCGCAGCGTTGACGTCTGAGAATGGGTTGCTGACGACAGACGCTGCATCACGTTTCCGATCGTCCCAGTCACCCGCGGACATTGCGGCAACGCCAGACGCGAACGCGGCTGCCGCGGCTTTGGCCTTCTTCGACTCCTTCTTCTTGCTCTTCTTTGATGAAGCATCGACTACGTTGTCCCAATCGGACTCTTTCTCATCTCTGATATACTGTGTGCTCGGTGCAATCTCAGGTGGCTGAGTAACTTTGGATACTTGCTCTGGACGATAAGCTTGATACGTAGTTGTCTTCTGGTCAGCCTTTGGTGAGTCCTGTACCACGGTTGCGGTTTGGCGTGCCTGCTGCTTATCCCGAGCGGTCATATCACCGTCAGAGACGAATTGCTCCCGAAATGACTCTGGAGTCGGAACTTCGAAATGGTGGAACTGGTTCTCGCCCCAGCTTACCCTTGACCTGGCTTTGTTCGCATCATCTGGCATCGGCACACGCCTAGGGGTCGGCATCGGCACAGGCTCGATGGCAGGTGATGGAGGACCTCGAACGGAGGGCGCTCTGCTTCCTGGAGGAGTAGGCATAATTAGGTTAAAAGCAGGCACAGCCCATGGTTGTTGTTGGGCTGGCTTCCCATCTCGCGTAGCAACGAAAGAGTACGGCGCCGGGTAAGGAGGCGTTATCGAAGGCTTGGTGGCTGGTTCATCATGGGCTTCAACTATGGTGAAATTGGTAGCGCCCTCGTTAGGATCGATGGGGCGGACCTTGGGCAGGTTGTCGTTTTGCAGAAGCTCTTTGGGCGCGAAGAATTCGGCTTGGCTCACTTGCGGCCCATTGTACCTCTCTTCCCAGTCCCTAAGCACGTCTCGCGCGGACTCCTTCTTGAAAAGGTTGGGGTCGTAGATATCGTCATCGGCATAGTCCTGTTGAAGATTGCTCGGCTTATAAGTCATGACGCTGCTGGGGATGACGCTGCTAGGAGCAACTGGCTTGGTCTTGTTAGGCTCGACTGTGCTGACTCTTGATGGCTCGGAAGTTTTGACGCTGCTTGGCACGACAGTCTGCACCGTTGAAGAAGAGTCGCGGCGGCGTCCTCGTTCCCGCTCACGTTCCCGGTTCTTGTCTTTCTCCTTTTCCTTGGCCTTCTCCTTGCCCTTGTCCTTGTACGAAGAGATCGCCGCGCTTGTGATGGCCGCGGCTGCACCAGCTGCAACTGCGCTTGCAACAGTAGACTTGCGTGCGTCATGTTGCATCACCTCGCGTTCCCGCTCTTCAAGCTCCTTTTCCTTGCGGCGAACATCGGTGGCGACAGAGCTCACAGAGCTTCCAGTCCTTTGTTGTTCAAGCTTCCGTTGGTCTCTGTCAGGACGGTTTCGGCTTGAGTACTCCTGGGCCTCGCGTTCAAGGCGATCAAACTCGGCCTGGTCTCGAAATTCAATATTACGCCTTGAAGCTTCAATACGATCGGAGTCGCGGCGCTCGTTTCGAATGCGTTCGGCTTCAGCTTCACGATCAGCTATGCGTAGAGCTTCTGCACGGTTTTCACGTTCTCGACGATTTTGCTCATCTATCTCGCGAGCTTCACGAGCTTCCCGTGCTCGCATCTCATCTTGCTGGCGACGTCGGTCATCGGAAAGGCGCTCGGTTTCTATTCTGGCGAGACGTTCGGCTTCCATGTAGCTGCGCGCTTCTTCTTGCTGGCGGAGCAATTCGGAACGGCGACGCTCTTCTTCTCGATGCGCCACTTCATCTTGGTGAAGCTGTTCTCTGCGAATTTCTTCCGCGCGGCGGGCTTCATCATCTCGCGCCTGCTGCTCGCGGCGGCGGCGATCTTCCTCATCCCTACGAGCTTCTTCTTCGAGCCTCAACTGTTCACGATGGTGGCGGTCGTCCTCATCGCGACGGTCTTGCTCTTCGCGATGTTCGCGTTCAGCCTTATCAGCCTGCTCCCTAGTCAGACTAAATCGAACATTACTCGGGGAGCTGGTTCGACGATCGTGACTCTTCGCAGCAGCAATCGCAGCACCTCCAGCTGCTGCAGCTATCCCAGCAATGGCTGCGTTCTGCTTCCAGGAGGATGTTTGAATAGGCGACGAGTTGGCGCGGCGAGGGAGAGGAGGATGCATAGATGGTTGAGCAGCCTGAATGGTGATGTTCTGTGACTGGTACTGTGTCGGGAAGGGACCCAGACCTGGCGCCTGGGAGAAGACGGGTGGGCCGACCGGAGCAGAATAACCAGATTGAGATGGCGCCTGTGTAGAGTACATTGCCCCTGGCACCTGATGCATTGGCTGAGGCTGTTGTATGCTAATAGAACCAGGACCAGATGTGATCATAGGCTGAGGTGTTGGAACGGAGCTTATGCGTCTGGCATCGAAAGTTGTTGGATCGTTGGAAGCAACAGGGTATACTGTCTGTAGAGTATAGGCGCTGCTTGATTCACTGTCATGGCGACCCAACTTGGTTCCGATAGCTGCTCCAGTGATGGCGCCCGCAGCGCCTCCTGTAGCAGGGCCGATAAAGGAGGTGTTGGCGATACTATCGTAGAGATTCTCAGAGGATCGTCTCTTCTTCTGCCCACCGAATCCCCATCGCCAGCTCCACTTGTTCGTACCTGAGCCGTTCGAGGCAAGCGATTCCTGACTCTTGCCCTTTCGCCAATCGTAGTCGCCATAGACCAATCCAGCGTTGTCGGAGGAGTCAGAGGTATCGTCGTCAGGCAGATCCTCCCATTCATCATCTCCATAACGGGAGGCTGGTCTGAGTCGATCGCTACTCTTCCGCGAAAGCCTGTTCTCCTTGACCGCCACAACGTCGCCCTGATGGCGTCGGCGAGCCTTGGCCGCCGCGATTGCCGCAGCAGTCGCACCTAAACCTGCTAGTGTGGCCTTGAGACGTTCTTCTGAGTTGCGTCGCTTGGGAGATGATGGGCGTCTCTTTGGCGACGACGGACGTCTCTTCGGTGACGATCGTCGTTTTCTCTGTACGTAGCCTGTACCAAAAGCCATCTCGGAATCAGATGATGACGACGAAGACGCATTGCTAAAGTTGAAGAAGCCCTTAGATTTCTTCTTGCGCGATGCAGTTATGGACTTCTTCCGCTTGATCTTTGGTGGAGGGGCGGTGAAGAAACCACCTAAAAAGCCACCTTGTGTGGATTGATTCTGCGAGATATCAATGACGGAGGCGCCAGAGGTCGAACTTCGCGAAGCTTTGCGCCGCAGCTGCTGTGACTTTCGTCGACGTTCATCATCACTACTGTCTCGCCGATGATACGTGATAGCCTTCCTCGGTGACTTAGACCGACTACGACTCCTCCGGCTTTTATTGACGGCAGCACCTAGCGCAGCGCCTGCCAGACCCACGCCGAGTGCTGTACCGAAACCAGATTTGCGGTCTCGTGAGCGTGAGCGAGAACGCGAGTGTCGACGACCAATTTTGTAGTCCTTCTTGTCGTTGGTCACACCTACGGACATTTGTGACATTCGATCGCGGGAGCGACTGCGGCGGCGAATCTCGGATCCACCGTAGCTGTAATCTTTGCGGTTGCGAGAACGGCTTCGACTACGGCCGGACAGGCCAGATATCCTTGAACGGTTGTCTCGACCTGATTTGATGCTGTAAGTGTCGTCAAAATCATCGCGGCGCGTGCCTAGTACGGCTTTGCCTGCCTTGGCCAAACCAATGCCTCCCAGTCCTGCTGCGACCCATCCAGCAGCATTGCTGTTCGTCTTCTTCCGCCTCTCGTCTCCTGAGGAGAAGGAGCTGTATGATTTTTTCTCCTTCAAGGAATATCGAGACTGCTTCTCAATGCCGCCGGAAGGCCGCGTGTATTCACTAGATCGTCGCATGTTTTCGCTAGATCGCCGGCGGCCGTAGTGATGCTTGCGAGGTGCGTCCAAGACAGAAGACCGTGGATCAAAACAGTACTTGCACACACCAATGTATTCGGTGTATTCCTCCATCTTCTGGACGTCTTCGTAGTCCTTCCACCAGTCAACAAAGCGGGACACAGGCCCAGTATGCTGATGCTGCTGCGCCATGTCGCCATTAGCGTAGTGGGCGGATGAGGAGTGTGTACCATTGTTGTAGTTGCTGCCTGGGAAGGCGCCGGGTATCGAGGTGGAATGATTGTGCAAATGGTCGTGTGAGTGGACATGCGACTGAGCGTGCGAGCCTGAGTGCGAGTTGTGTTGGTGGAGACCATATGCTGCAAGCCCAGCGGCTCCTGCCGTCGCATACAGTCCCACGTTGCTGCTCGATGAATGCTTTTCGGGCTTGCCGGGACGAGGTGGTTTCGGAGGAGGCATTCCCTCCATGGCTTGAGAATAGGTGGGGATGTGGCTGCTGCCGCCAGTGGCCGAGCTTGAAGGTTTCACACTCTGATTATATATGGAGGCGGAATAGCCCGAATTGGCGTTTGTGTAAGAAGTCGACTGGTAGTTGCTGGAAGAGCTGCTGTAAGCACCGGACTGGTGGTTGCTGGATGAGCCGTTGCCCATGGCATATCCCAAAGCTGCTCCACCAGCCAGAGTCGCAGCAGAGCCGAACTTGGAGGGCTTTGCTGGTTTTTGCGGCTTGGAAGAGGGTCGTGGTGGTTTTGCAGGTGCAGAATCTTCCTCGAAGAAGGCACCTGGCATTGAAGATGGTCGAGGTGGCTTCGACGAAGGCTTGCCCGTGTTGCCACCGTAGAAGTCTGCAGCAGCACCAGATCCAGTATCGGCAACGGGATTGGGCTGCGCAGCAGCGGAGGTGAGATGTGGTGTGTCTTGGCCAATAATGACTGACGGCGGCTGTGGCCTCACACCTGGCTGTTGATGAACACTCTGGCCATTATCCTTGTACATTTCGGCAGCCGCGCCAAACTGATTGCCACCAGGCAGAGCACTGGAGGTGAACTGGGCAGGGTATTGTCCAGGGAATTGAGCCTGTACGTGGCTATCAATGCCTGAGTGTGAGGGTGTGTATGTGGTGCTGGCAGTGCGCCCGACATGAGGGGCGCACCTGCCTGGCCTGGGAACTGCGAGAAGCCCTCGCTCCCAATCTGGCCGCTGAAGCTTCGCGTGGGTTGCTTGGGGCTCTCGACAATGTCGCTCTTGTAGCCACCCACCTGCGACAAGCTTCCTGAACGGGACGAACGCGTGGATGGTCGCTTCCAGCCTTTTACGTCCTTGTCTTTGCTCTTTTTCTTGTTCTTGTCCTTGTCGTCGCGCTCTCGGCTGCGCGATCGTTCGCGTTTCATTGTTGATGCCGATGACTCGGCATAGCTGGAGGGCCGGTCCTCGCGCCTGTACGAGTAGCGCTCATCTCGCGGGTCATCGTACAGGTCGTCGCTTCCTCGGGCTCTTGGCATGTCGTCGAAGGCAGTCGCGAAGGATGCAATCGAGGAAGGCGCAGGTTCGCGACGGGACGGCTTTCGGGTGGATGTGGATGAGACAACAGATCTCGTGTCGGCATCTCTGTCGCGCTTGGAACGCGTGGAGTCGCTAGTTCGTTGGCGGCGACTTTCTTCGTCTTTATCTTTTGGGGCGGACGAGCCGCTGTCGCTTTTGCCCGTAAATCTGCTCCACATGGTGCTCGATTGATCGGGGTGGGCGAGGGGGCGGTGGTATTATGTGTATTGCTGGCACTGCGATGGGCGCAAATGAGTTGGGTTCTGAGCGTGGATGTACTGGGGTAGATCGCTGCAGACGATGCCCAAGTTAGATGGAATCGTCACTTCGTCATGTCGTAGTGGGATTAAATGTACAGTAGTGTGATGCAGTGTAGCAAGGAAAGTATGCGCGCAATGCAAAAAGACGCCAGCAGACGCAAGCCCTCTCACCGGCCGTATCAAGAGCGTTGGTGTGGTGAAGGTAGCTGACTTTCCGTCTCGTCCAAACAAGCGACGGAACAACAGCTCATCGACAGGGGGCCAAGTCCCACGCCAGCTGGAGGCTGGGCCAATCAATCACCGAGGTGCCTCCGACGATCTTCGCGTTTGCTATCCTTGTCGAGCTGCATGTCGGATTTTGCGACCATTTCCGCGTTATCTGCCTTGAGTTTTGTGGTCGTCGACATGTTCACAATGGCTGATTGTGACACGTCCCAGTATTTCTGGGGCTTCCTGGGGCCATTCAGGGTCCAAGATCCCAGTCATAGATTTACGGGTGGGCCCGGCCCTTAGATACTTCACGGCATTGTTGTAACTAGAAAAAAGTTTGACGGAATTTATGGTATATTTTGAGTAGTGCCATGCGACAGCTGCGTGGCAAAAACTGGGTTATATGAATCGTTGGAGCATTCCACTGCACAACCCTTACCTAGCATTCCTACAAGGATGTAACCTTGGAGGGTGCCTATCATGAGATCGATAGCCGTCGTCATCCGAATCTTCAGAGCTGTCATCGGACTCCACACTCAATGAATCGTCCGTGATTCTATGGGCATCAGGGTACTCGTCTGAGCCAATCAAATCCACGGCCAACAAAGCCCGGTGCAAATAATGTATCTTGTGCGTGCGCCTCTCGAACTTCAGGGCTCGCAATATCAGATTTGTCACCTCCTGAGATATGATGTTTGGAGGCTGTCGACTGCGGTCAGATACGCTCCGCAGCATTATCTCGGTAGATCTGAGAAATTCCTTCGTCCTGACGATGACGTTACCAGTTGTTTGGCATGTCATCCAGGCCTCGAGGACCTAGCTAAGGCCGGCCTCCAGACAAAAGGGTGTTGCGAATCTGCAAAATCTGGTTGCGGTGATCAGGAGGCAAGGCGGCGATCTGTTCATTCGTGAGAGCAAGGATCTGGGCAAACATGGCCTGTTGTTCCATAGCCGGGGTTTGTGCCTGTGGTGGTTGTTGTACGGGCGGAGGCTGAGCATATGGCTGTGGTACATGTGCTGGCGGTTGTGGAGTAGGAACTTGCTGAGGGTAAGGAGCAGCATAGTTGACGGGGGGCCGAGCGACGGGCGGTGCCTGTTGCTGCATCGGCGGAGCTTGTGCGATCGGGGCTGGAGCTGCGGTGGCCGTCTCAACGAGCGAGCCAAGCGTTCGCGGGTCTACGAGTTCGAGCAGAAGGAGCGACTGAAATATGGCGTATGCGAGCTGCGGCGCTTGTCGTAGAAGCTCTGTGGCCTTCGCTGGGTCTGTCATGACAAGACCCTTCATCTGGGAGAGGATGTCCAGCAGCTGTGGAGTGGGCAGAGTGGAGAGCGTGCGCGAGATGGCATCGGGACACGTAAGGTTCGGTGGCAAGTCAATGCCTGGAGGCAGAGGTGGCAGTGCGCTCGACTGAGGAGCTTGCACTGGCTCTGGCGCCTGTCCGTTCATCGGTGGGTATGCGCCCTGATTCTGGGGAGGGTTCTGAGGCTGGTTTGAGGGCGCGTTGTCGCCTGCACCGTTGTCGTTGGACCAGTCAACTCGTAGTTTCCTGCCCATGATCTCGTGGTCATTCAGGTTGCGCACGGCGGAAGCTGCTGCGTCGGCGTCGGCGAATTCTGCGAAGCCAAAGCCTTTTGGGCGCCCAGTCTCTTTGTCGTAGACTAAGCGGAAGTTGTTGACTTGCCCTACGCGACCGAGTGTCTCAATGATGAGTTCTTCCGTGCCGCCTGCGATTGCTGATTAGCAGTGCGACTTTGTTGGAGACAAGCTCACCTACCATAAGGAATATTTCCGATGAATACAACGCGGCCCGCTTTATCGTTAGGCGCCATGTCGACGGCTGATGCAGTGTCACTGCTGTGGAATGAGAAAAGTAGAAGTCGTGAATGAGCGGTGGTGAGAAGCCAACGGAATGTTCTTTGAAGCTTTGAGGTCGCAAGCAACAATGGACACGGGCTGGGGCACGCGATAAAGCTTGGCGCGTCACCCACGGCATCACGTGGGCACTTATCTTAGTCTCACCACATGGCGCCGGCAAGATTCGCGCCCGCTATGCACATACGACTTTGAGCTGACAATCTCTAGAGGTGCACTTATTAAATGAGCTTATGGGAGCCTGAATGTATACGCAGCCATAGGATACTCTGTCTAAATTTGTTAGAAAATCCTTGAATATATACAGGATACCTTCTTTGCCTCTTCTCGTCACGAAAAGGCCGGGGCAAAACGAATTTGCCGGCCGCCGGGTGCTCATTCTTGAATTATACCGTCTTGACCAGAGTTGTGACATTTCTCTGTGTTTCTTAATGATGGAATTGACTTCTGCCTTAGCAATGGTGTTCACTCCGCGTTACTCATGTGCTCGATGCCCTACAATTTTGGTGCGCAACAAGTCCCATCCTCTCCCACAGTTGCTGTGACAACAGGCTGCTTGTGCTGCTCACTGAGCAATGTGCTCTTGTTGAAGGCCTGATCGCTCGGCGGTACATCCAACGCAGGGTTCTTGTCGAAAAAGTTTACCGGCTTCATGTGGATCTTCAAAATCTCACATGGCATAACCGGGAAATCTTCGATCCGGGGAACGTGATTGATGCCCGCCTGAACATAGAGGACAAAGTCGGTGTCCTTGACGTTCTCGTTTCTCTCTGCCCATGATCGAACTCCTGTGCCTCCTCGAGATTGGTTTGTGTAGAGGCCTCCTGCGTATAGCTCGCCGTCTCGGTGCTTCACGACGTATACGTTGTGGTCTGAGAACTCGGCACGCTTGTAGTTAAAGCTGTCCTTATCCGAGAGGATCTTCTGGAATGGCGGCGCCTGAATCTTGTATGCGACTGGCTTGCCGTTGATCGGGTTCTTTACGTTCGGATTTTGGATCTTGAAAGTGCGGTTGTTTTCACAGGCTTTTAGAGACTGTCAGCAAATGCTAAATTCTACAGCGAGTCACAACCAACCTGTATCATAACCGCCAGATTGGTCAACGATCGTCTCCTGGACATAGTATCCTGTTCCATGAGGGTTAAATTCCGATCGCTCCATTGGAAAAGCTTCGTCATAAACCAAGCGGTTTTCGTAGCCGTCGATCATGGGATCGACACGCAAACTGAAGATGTGCTGGTGGTGCACTGCAAGTACACCAGGGTGTACAACCGTACCCCAGGGTACTTCTATGCCCTCATCTATCGGCTGAGTGCTGAGAATGCCAGTTGCACGGATCTCGTATGTGACCTCTCCCGCTTGGTTGAATACGAAAGCCAGAATGTATTCGTAATTGGAAACTGTGATGATCGACTGAAGGACGAGCTCTCGTGACCGAACGACTGCTGCTCGTCCAGTACGGTAGTTGGTGTGTTTCCAGCCAATACCAGCGTCTTGCTCGTGTATGCAAACGACGTTGGGCATATTGAGAACGCCACCTGTAGGCTTTATTAGCAGTTTGCGACGTGACAATTCCCAAGAAACTCACCCTTATCGTCCGAGAGGACAGCACTAAGATAGTAGATCGAGCCTAAACAATCGCATCCCAATTTCAGGTCGTTCGCCATGATACCTGCTCCGGCATCTCCAAGCTAGTATTCAGTCAGCCACCTTATACTATAAGAGACGGTGGCAAGGATTCACAAACATCGAATGCGCTCTTCCTACAGTATGGCTGACGAGGATCGGCATATGGGATGTTCATGTCGCTCAAACTCAGTCGGTAGAACAGCGGTCGGTCATCGTACCGCACATCGTAAAGCACCATACCCTCACGCTGGTTGAAACCAACCCTGAAGTTCCATTTCTGCCACGACAAGACGCTAGATGTACCTTCCTGTTGAACCTTGAAGCTGGCTCCTTCAGGCTGGATGACGTTGAGAGGCTTAAGGTCGGTTCTGAGTGTTTGTGCTTCCGGGATGTACTCATTAGGTGGCTGAATCTTGTATTTTTCGATTGGCTTGATGGTATTGTCGGCCCCCGTTGGCAAAATGTCCACTCGGATGACCTTCATGGTTGCAGTGCTGACAACGGGGGAGATTGGCAAGGGCATTGCATAGTGGCATGAGTCTGCTTCAGAGGAGTTGTTCGGGTCTCGGAGGTAGAGGAAGCACTGGTACAAGCGTTCCTCATCACCAATGCCATCAGATCCGTAAATCCATGGGTCGCTGATTACAACTGTGCCTTCGGGTAATTCCAATTTTGCGATCTCGGCTTTGACCTTCTCGTCCGCGAGAGCGATCTTCTCGATGGCGACAATCTCCTCACCATCTCCATTGGCGTGAACAAAGGGTCCCAGAAGGACGTTGCGTTCAACGCGACCAGATGTCAAGTTGACAATGGCCTCGTGAAACTTACTCTGGGATGGCATCAGCAAGGAAATTTTGGGCATTCGGTTCCGCGTTTGCATACTGTGTTCCTGATGTAGTAATTTACGAAAGCCTTCCTCGAGACTGAAGGGAGGGGTTTATTGCCATGTTCTGCCTCAAGATATTTCAAGACCTCAGACTTTGATGGCTCCTCTAATGTCACAACTTTGAAGTGCAGGTCCGTATGTGCAGGCCACGAAGCCTTGATGATAGAGGCCGCCGTCTGAAGTTCTGCAGCCGAAAGAGGAGCAAGAGGATGCGCAGGCAAAGTTTTCGCGGTACGCGGCGCGGCGTTGTTAGCCAGTTCCGTCGACATGTTCACGAAATCTGCAAAAGGCTAAAATTGTAACTTCGGGAAGACTTCAAGAGTAGAGACGTAGCTCCTCAAAATGTTTTATAGGCCCTCTAAGATCTCACATTAGTTACCTAATGTGGATTCGAGGATGTCCAACGGTCTACTGCTCTGATAAGAAAGTGGGGCTGTATCTCTGCTCTGTGTGGCCACCGCAAGGACATACTGCTTGGGTGACAATCGCAAGGACCTCCCGATGTGGCAAACGCAAGGACTTACTACTTGTATCCTAGCGGAAGCTTACAACCGTGAAGGTTTGTGTTGTTGGGCAAGTCACGGGACGATACCCCGCCTTCCAAGGTTCCCGAAAACTGTTTGGAGTGTTTGTATAAAGCTGCCATTTGCCGCCGACTGCCGAAGGCGCAATGCCACACGGCGCCTTCCCGTCACCGAAGGAAGGGCCGTCTGACAGCTTCAACAAAGTTCAGAACCATCGCCTTGGCCTTGAGAGGTTATTCTAAACGTCCTGTCTTGGCTATGCGCTCATAGAACATTATTTGTACCTCGCTGGACTTGAGTCCTGTCGCGCGTCTGTGGCTTTTCCATACCTAGGGCATACGTGCTACGTTTTTGCCTCAACGACCACCGCTCAAGATGTTTCATGGATTGCTCAGAGCTATTTACATGAATCAGTGACTGTTTGCGCAAATACGCATTATGTCACCAGCAGGCAACGCTCCCGATGCAGGTACCGCACGCGATTAACTGCGACCGAAAACAACCAGGTTGCAACAGGTAGCAGCTCATCCAACAGCCTGAAGCTACACACATGGTCTTGCCGTCGCAATCAAAGCCTCGGGCTTATGTGCATCGTTTCAGTGATCGTATGCCCCTGTGTACTTCTTGTCGTAGTTGACAACGTGTAGTAGCGAACCTTCCTCGACCGCATTCGCGCCGCAAATACACTTGTGTTCAATAACACAAGCAAGAAATACCGAAAACATGCACTGTCAACGCCGAAACTGTCGGACTGTGTGGGAGGACGAAATGCAAAGCCTGTTTGGTGCACGACTGCATGGTGGTACCACCACCAGACGATGTTTTGAAACGCTCATCTCTTCAGGTGGGCCTCGAGGGTTACACAATCATCACCGCAACCTTTTTCTTCCGGACCAGCTTTTCGTTTCGTCTCACTTATCGTTTGCCACGAGGCGCTTAGATGCAATATGTCGAAAACCCGGTCCTACTTCCCGTACGCTAATAACCTAAACTTGTCGATTCTAGGTTGGCACCGAGCATTCGCAATGTCTCAAGATCTCCTAGGCGACGGCCACTATTCAGATCGGGTATAGAGAAGTGGTGCTCCGTCTTCCTTTCTGTTTCTACGACTCAGTGCTCTGCTCTAGTCGACTTTCATTCAATTTGCGATATTACCCCACATATTAATCTAGTCGAAGCGTGACCAGTTTCCACTATTCGCCAAAACCAATTTCTCCAAGACCCACAACCACCTGCCACCTTGTCGAGCATGGGTAGCTGTAAAACCATTGGTCGGGGACTCTCTCCACCCCAGAAACGACACTCGGCAAAGGTAAACATTTTACTTTGCGATATTGGATGCCCTACCAGAATCCGCGGGTACCCACCAGCATCGTTCCCTTGGTCGCAGCCTCGTTTCCAGACGCCATCTAATTTGCATCCACCGGTAAAGCTTGCACCAAGGACCATTCGGGATCCGGCTCCTTTGCCGGCATGGCTACCCTATGGCGCCAGCACAGTGACGTTGATTTCATCTCGAGGTCGTGCACGACCCAATCAACGGTGAGTTCTCAGTATGTGATCCAATGTTTTAGGCATTGTAATATGGGAGCATCGGCGCCTCGAGGTTGCTGAATCAGGAGGGTGAAGTATATAAGCTCCTGGTTGCGTTTCGTATTCTACACAACAACCTTCAGCAACCTTCTAAGACTACCCAACTTCGATACTCACCAAAATCAATATGAAGACCACTGCTGTCGCCACCGTTGTCCTTGCGGCTCTCGGCCAGGTTGCCCAGGCCCACTGTATGTCGAGGCAACTCTATCCCAACACTTCAGGACTGACAGATGATAGACATTTTCCAGGTGCTCACTGCGAATGGAGCTAAGGGCTCTCTTTTCCAGAACATCAGACCTGTTCCGAACAACAGCCCTGTCACAGTGCTTACCGACAATGCCCTGCGATGCAACGTTAACGGCGCGAGCGGATCATCCACCGGTGTCGTATCCGTCGCTGCTGGCTCTTCGGTTTCCTTCACGGCAGACCAGGCTGTTTACCACCAAGGCCCAGTCGCCTTCTACATGAGCAAAGTTTCCAGCGCCGCATCAGCGGATGGCTCCGGCGACTGGTTCAAGATCAAGGAGATTGGTCCCGACTTCTCCTCTGGACAAGCTAAGTGGGACTTGAGCTGTATGTACGCCATGGTATAGACATGCTCAAAAAATACTAATGTTACATAGCCACCTACTCTGTCACAATTCCTAGCCAGATCCCTGCTGGAGAGTACCTTCTCCGCATCGAGCAGCTCGGTATCCACAACCCTGGATCGCCACCTCAGTTCTATCTGTCTTGCGCACAGCTCAAGGTCACTGGTGGAGGATCTGGCTCCCCGAGCCCCGTCGTCAAGATTCCGGGACACGTCAAATCAACAGACAGCGGGTACACGGCAAACATCTACAGCAACTTCAAGAGCTACGTTGTGCCGGGACCCAAGGTCGCGACATACTAGGTATAGATCTAGTCTTGGCCCCGGAGCTTTCTCTTCTCATCTCGATGTTCTTGAGGACCATCACTTCAGCGGCAGCTTTTAGACATCACTTTTCGAGGCTTATACTTCAACTGTAAATATCACTTCAAGGACAGCGCCCCCACGCACTTTTTGTGTCTTCACATATGCCTTCGACGTTGCTCGCTTGCTGTGATCATGCTCATAACATCACATGCAGGAAGCTCCAATGTGAATGTGTCACTTTATCCAAGCGAATGGCACTTCAAACAACTTACGACCATCAAGGCTGTCTGCTAGCATTTCAACGCGCAGCTTTGAAATTCAGGCAACAGATACCACTGCTTCGATGTCACAAGCATCCTTACTGCTACCAGTACCTTGATATTTTATGTCTTCACGCCTAGATTAACTTAAGCGCTGGCGCTGATCGTTTGCTCTTGCTGAGCGGGTGGCGACCTTCGTGTTGGTTTCTCAAACATCACCACACGCTTCACTTTTCGAGGTCAATGGTCAGTCTCGTTACAGCTGCATTGCGTGAACTCAGGCTGATCGCAACAGCACGTCTCATACCAACACCACGAACTTCACGCATCGCAGCCATGTCGAACGCTTCTCCACCACCAGCACACGACTATAAGTCGCTCTCGCCCAAGTTCTCTTGCATTCTTGCCATCGTACATCTTCTTCATTCTTTCAAAGCCCTTGAGTCTGCACTGCATCCATTCCGGCCTTGCACAAGCTTTTCCAAGTCATAAGACAGATCTCTCGCTCTTCCAACACCCACTCGCTCCCCCTTCCCCAATGTCTGGCGGTCCTTGGCTCGCCAACATCGCCAACAACCCCAACATCAACCGCGACCCTCCTCCACACCCTCACAACGCCCCTCCCGCCGGCGCCCCTCCCCCCCAACAGGGCGGCCCTCACGTCGTCGTCGAACAGCACCACCAACAAGCCCCCATCTACGGCCCGCCAATTGGCGTCGGTATCGGTGCTCCCGCGTTCGCCCCCCCCTTTGGAGTAGGCGTCGGCATAGGTGCGTTCCCACAACCCTTCTTTCCGCACTGCGGCACCATGGATCCCGCCATGTTTGGTATGGCGCACGGCATGCAGGGCCCGCTTGCTCCCATCCGTGCGGGAAACTTTATGCCTGGCGCTGAAGGTGGTATAGGCTTTGGTTTGCATGCCGCAGGCGGCGTGCCGTTTCCGCCGCCGCCGCCTGGTGCGATGGCGGGTGTGGTGCCGCCGTTTATGCCGGCGCAGCCGTTGTGGAATGGTGGGGGATTGGCGTTTGGGAACGTACCGGCTATGGGGATGGGTGGTGGCATGCCTGGGATGATGGGTATGGGCATGCCGGGGATGATGGGCATGGGCATGGGAATGGGTATGGGTATTATGGGTGGAAACACGATGCATACTCGCCCTGCACCCATGGTCCACGACGGCAACATGGGCTTCACTGCGCAACCTGAACAGCAAGACCCGACGCAGATCGCTGGCGGCATTCCTCCGGGCGTCACTATGATCGAGCCTGCCGAGCACACCATTGCCATCCACATCAAAGGCAACGTATGTCCCTGGCTCAGTCCCGGCGCGCAGTTCCAGGTCGAGCCGCTCGGGTTCTCCAGCTCGACTGGGTTGAACCGCGTCATCAAAGTCTTGAACGACAACAAGCCCGAAGATGAGTGTGAGAATATGGCGATTACGGAGTGCATCGAACTTGGTAATGGTATGTGGGAGAAGGGCCAGACTTTCAAGTTCAACGATGCTGTCAGCAGGGTCTTGACGATGGGGGATGCTGGATGGGACAACACGAGGAACCGGGAGAACGGGCAGAGTCTTCATCTCTGGTGTCATCGTATTTGAGGCTGAAAAAGGCAGGTTAGCTCGGAAATCGTTCAAATGTTTCTGTTTTGGGGTTCTAGTACTTTGTATCTTGCCTATTCAAGCCACTCAAGTCTCCTTCTTCCAACACACGTACACCAAGGATAAATCTTGGGTTCGAAGGTTTGTTGTAATTGGATCTATAGATAAAGTTCGTAACATCGTTATGTTCGCAATGCAAGTCTTACCCCACATATGATGTGAAAGAAGACATGTGTCTGTTCAGGTTATTATTTTGAGTGCCCCTATTTCATACGGTCGACTCTGAGATTTGAGTCGAGGGCTGCACTACACTCTCCCTCTTCTTCCCTCCACCTAGCTTCTTCCACATCCTGCCTACCCACCGCTCTTTCACCACCTTCAGCACTACATACGCTAGGAAGCGGTAAGATATTGCACATATGCCCAATGCCATGATGTAACCCTCTGGCTTGACGTTAAGCTTATACAGGTCGAGAACTTGCTCGCCTGTGGATATCGGGCATCGACCGTTGATGCGTTGCCAGTCTTCGCATGTGAACTCGACACCCCGCATAGTGTATACGGCCATGTTGCCGATCGCCCACTTGACCGGAGACAAGTGATTGAAGGCCTGAAGGAAGCTCGGGATGTTAAGGGAGATAATACCACCTATCTTCTGTGTTAGTGTTTGCCACTATGAAGAGAAACTACTAATGTACTTACCCATGACTTGCGCAACACTAAGAAAGACGGACATGGAGTTGACCGAGAAGCCGGTGTGTGTGAAGAGCGTGTTGAAAGCGATACCGAGGCTTTCACCGCAGCTGACAATGCAGAAGGCGTTGTAGGTAATGATAAAGAATGTCGACGCATTGCGTTCCAAGCCACAAGCAAGAACTGCGAGAAGGGAGAAGACGATACAGCTGATGATCTCGAAGGGAGTTGTGAGCGATATGTATGTCATGAAGAATGCTTCAACACCATAGATGCGATCATCGAAGTCGCGATAGAAAACGTCCCTCTCGACAGGATATACGGCAATGTTGTTGAGCATGCCGACGAAGTACAACGGAGCAATCTCGATGAGGAAACCCATCCTGTTCTGGACAGCAAAGTAGTCGTTCTTGAGCGGCGCAAAATATAGCGCAAGGACAATGCCCATTCCGACCACTTGCATAACTCTCGCGATCATGATGTCGGGTTGGCGGAACATGTTTCTCGCCATGCGCCTGATGAGAATAGAGTATGCCGATATGAAGGAGGTTGGCTCTCGTGCTAAACTCCCTAGTTCCGCTGGAGTTGCGATTGAGCCCATACGTGCAGCGCGGAACATGTCTGAGTTCCACGATTCGATAAGCTTCCGCACTTTAGCCCGACTGGCTGCCTCACGAGCTTCGTGCTGCAGGTCAACGGTGATGAGATCGAGAGCGAAATCCGCGGGGTTTATGTGACGGGGACATTCGTAGCCTTGAGCAGCGAAGTGAGGTAACATGTCACCTGCAGGGCCTGCGTAGATTGGATGACCACCACGAGCTAGGAGAAGAACGTTGCCAAAATTCGTGAACAAATCCGACCTGGGTTGATGGATGGTCACAACCAGTGTGCGGCCTTCGTGAGCTAGACCGCGAAGCACGTCAACGATGGAAAGGGCCGTGAAGGCGTCCAACCCCGACAAAGGCTCATCAAGCAGCAGCACGCATGGCTCAGTGAGGATTTGGACAGCAATGGTGACTCGGCGCTTCTCGCCACCACTGATACCCTTGATAAGGTCGTTTCCAATCAAGTTGTCAGCACAGTCCTTAAGTCCCATCTTCAACAGAATCTCTTCAGCCCGTTGACTCTTCTGCTGTTTTGACATCCACTTTGGCAAACGAAGACCCGCTGCATATCGGAGAGTCTCGCGAACTGTCAGTGACGCCAGAAGAGCATCATCATCTTGTGTGACAAAGGAGCAGATTGAGTGGATGACGTCCTGAGATGGTTCTGCACCATTGAAGGTCATTGCTCCAGACTTCTTGTATCTAGTCGACAGATCGTCCTTGAGTCGACCAGCCATACCGTTCAGCAGGGAAGTTTTTCCAGAACCCGATGGCCCCATAATAACGTTGAGGGATCCAGGGCGGAAGTCAGCAGTGAGAGGCTTGAGGATGGTCTTGGTGAAGTTTTTGCGAAGTGCGCGCTTCTCGACGTCCAAAGCGAAATCGTCAAGGCGAATCGTGACCGTCCTTACATCGCCAGGAGCAGGCTCAGCCATCTTCTCTTTGCCAGCAGATGCGTCCATGTTCGACGGTCTTGCTCGTGCCATGACTATTTCTGCGCTCCAGAACTTCAGGATCACACCTGCTCCAAGGTAGAAAGCGATGACATAGCCCAAAAGAGCAAGGATAGGTCTCCAGACCCAATCATCCGGGAAACCAAGAGAGTCTAGGATGAACTCTCCAGTGTACTCTTTGCACGCAGGGTTCGATTCGCCACCTTCAAGCGGACAGTCGTAAAAACGCCCGGTAAACTCGTTTGAAGCAAGGGCACCGAACGCGTAGAACTGGTCATGCAATTAGCCAATGATCGCAACAATGCAGGAGCTAGACTTACCAAGTAGCATGTCCATTTGGTCCACCGAACATAGATAGGAATCGTATTAGACTGGATGAAGAATCCACAGCCCATTGATTGCAGTGTGTACGCCAAATTTGCAACCAAACTGGCTCCGGCAAAGTTCCTCGAGACCGCTATACAGGTCATTGCAAAGCAGACCGAGATGTATTGCAACAACAGCACGACACTGAAGAAGGTGAGAAACTGCCCTCCATCTGCACGGAAACCGCACATGAAGTAGTAAATGATGGAGAATATGAGCGGAACCGGGATATCTTCGATAAACAGACGAGCCAGTCTCCTTGAGATGAGGAATGCAGGTATGCTGACCACGCCTTGGCGTCTTTCCTCGTCGAAAAGTTGAATATCAGTAGTGAGCCGGTAAGTTTCGTACAGTAGAATAAGGTAGCCTTGAAGTGCCGCTGCATTATAAAGCGCACCTTGGCGGGAACGGATGCCAGACAAAGATCCATCGACGTTGAGAAAGATCCAGCCGGTGATGATAGCCATCGCAACTGCTTCCAGGAGACTGCCGAACATTCCCATGGGATCTCGAATTGTCACTATCCATGTTCGTGCGGTCAACACGCGGATCTGCTGCACAAGCGAAGTTTTTTGTACTCTTTTCGCGTGCGACTGCGACACAGAGCCGGTCGCAGCATTTGAGCCTAATTCATCCTTCTCGTTGGCGATTTTGCTCAGGTGCTCTCTCCATGCGTTCTTGATGTGGTTGACGCGGTGCTCTGCTGCTGCCTCTGCCTCCTCATTTCTACTGTCGATACTGACAAGGTCTATCAAGTACTCTGCTGGGTTTGTGAAAGGCGGCATCTCATGTCCAAGCTGTGCGAAATAGGGGAGACAGTCTTTCGCACTACCAGCGTATGCTGGGCTGCCTCTGGTCAAGAGAATAACATTGTCGAAGAGGCCAAAGATCTCGGAACGCGGCTGATGGATGGTGACAATAATCGTTCGTCCTCTTCTAGCAAGATTTTGCAGGGTTTTGATGACCTGATAAGCGCTGGTGGAGTCCAAGCCCGTGGTAGGCTCATCCAGCCATAGCAAACTTGGATTTGACAAGAGTTGGACACCTATGCTTGTCCTCCTTTTCTCTCCTCCACTGCAGCCTTTGTGCGCATGGTTGCCGATCCGAGTATCCGCAGCTTCCTTCAAACTCAATTCGAGGATGACCTCCTCCACAAGCTGCTTTCTCTCTGCTTGGCTAACAGATGATGGCAGTCGCAGCTGCGCAGCATACATCAACGTCTCACGCACCGTCAGTGTCGGCAGTAAAATGTCCTGTTGGATGACATATGCGCTCCGTATCCGGGAAGGGTCATTGCTCTTATTGAAATACGTTCGACCAGAGCATGACAGTCGCTTGCCCTGCATGCGCCCACTCATCTGATTCAGCAAGGACGTTTTACCACTGCCACTTCCTCCGATAATGGCAGTGAGCGTCCCACTTGGCATTTCCGCCGATATATCGTCGAGTATTGTTTTGGCATGGCTGTGGCTTGGTGGCGTCTTCTTCTTCGCCAACAGTCTAGCTATGGCGTTTGGTGATTCATCGACGGATACAGTAAGATGTTCAAGCCTGACGCATACTGGCTCAACTTCGTGTAAAGATATAACATTGTCGTGGTGAGATGCGGTGGTAGAGACACCCCGGCGAACGGACGCTGGCTGTGGCGGGCCGTCTTTCAGCTCTAGCGGGTCGTCCCCGGTCGCTTGTATATCATTGTCGCGTTCTTCACAGAACTTCCGACTCTGCGATACTCTTCGGTCGAGGCTCCATGGCGGTATCGATAGACAGATCAAGCCCATAACGAAATAGAAGCTGAGTGAAGAAGAGGGCGGCGCAGGCGAGATCTCGTTCACGCGGACACGCTGTTTGGTTGCAGACCCCTCTCGCTTCCTAACCGAAGGTGTTTGCAGGGCTCGGCTACGGGCTGCATTGCAGGAGCTATTAAATCGCGGTCCGAAGACTGCGGAATAAAGGACCTCGCACCACTTCTAACTGTCGCACACTTTGCATATCGTACTACAACAAAGCTGCTGATGTCTATCCAACCAAGCTGTGAGTCTTAAGGTTTGAAGATGGGTCCGGCGTAAGGGCTGGGCCTCTGAGACGCAGCATCTAGAGGAAGACCCTGGCACGATTGTGCCTCGTTTCATGGGGTGCTAGGATCTTGGTCGCTTTCTAACCGCTTGCGTGCTGTTTGAGCTCTTCCGATGCGTTCTTTGTAAGATGCCTCTGAAAAGCCTGGGTCCTGCCTTATTGAGCATCCGACTTGTTGGCTACCATGGTATTGGGTTGATCATAGTGCACATTGTGCTGGTCGGTGTTAGTGACATTCCAACGTTCTTCCCACTCATGATTTGATTTTCGTCCCATGTCTTGCCATGATACAGTGTTCACCGACCGTAGATTGCATCACGCAAACTGCCTAATCGGGTAAGTTTTCAGTTTTACCGTAGATCGCAGTCGACCTCGACAATGTTCAGCTGTCCTTGTTCGCGTAAAACAAACTCCGTCGGCAGCCGAGGTCCCCCCAAGCGACCTCTTCGTGTCCTTGTATGAGGCCGAAAGTAGCACCGAATCTTGGAGACAGAACACCGCTAACTGGAAGTCTCCCCGTCTATACGGAGTGTGTCCGAAAACTGCACACATGCCATTCTGCTTTCGGATCTTGCTTGGCCAAAGATTCATGCATCCATCGTGCGGCTAGCTACATAATTCTGCGCTAGTCTTTGCACTACTGGTTCTAGAAAGGAATTATATCTATGCTCAGATTCAGCTCTCGTAATAAGATCTACTACACTTGCACACGATGTCACACATGCATACAATCCCTTTGACACGCCTGGGCCAACTTGTATATCAGTGACTTCAGGATCAATGATCAATCGTACACGCCTTCAAGTACGGCGCTTTCTCTAGCAATGTCTAATGTCTGGATGCGGGAGATCTGACTTAGGTTCTGGCTTACATTTCTATCACAACCCAAGCCATGCGTGTGACTGCATAGTTTCTCATCCAGACTTCAACTGCTCCCCTGTCGCGACCATCGTCCAGTAGGGTACATGCATCAAAGAACATCCGATCACATCTATCCGCAACGAATCGGAGTTTCACCCGATCGAGATTCAAGGTCGGAAATCAAGAATGTGATATCGACGGGCCACGATGTAACCCACGACCCACGCGATCCTGACAGATTGACAGATTTCCCTGCATGTGATATCGTGAAATATGTATTTCTAATTTTCTCATTGGCCAAGCATAAGAGGCCGCGCCTCTTCACAACGGCCGAACCCTTGACATCGAATGTTGACGACATGATGTGGTCCCACGGAACGGGCTCCTGCCTCTCAGAGCCCCGAGCCGTCGCTGTAGGGAATCGACTGCGTGTGTTCTGAACCCTTTCGGGAATCGTGAGCGCCTAGCGACACAATCTGTGAATCTTGCATTGATGGGAGTTGACCCACCGGGCATTACGGCTCCATTTGCCGAACAGTGGAGGCGGAAGATCTGTCTAGATGTAACAGATGTCAATGAATCCTGCACGATTCAAGTGTTGCATACAATATGTGAACATGGTAAAGAGTGTGGTTCAACAGGGAACTCACAATGTGGGCCTGTAGTGGAGGTCGTATGTAGCTTCAAGGATTAGTCTTCTGCTCGTGCAGACATCCCGTCCATCGCTTCGCAACAGCCGTCTCTGCACGTAATCCCGCCTTAGCAGTGTCTTGCAGCTCCCGTCGAAGAATCGCATACCCTTGACAACAAGTCCGGATATCCAGCTTTTGCAGAGGCGATGTGTTACACCGCAAGTTGAGACGCCAGAGAGCCGCTCACCGCTGCAGCGACTCACCAGCCCTACGAGTTATGGCATACTTCCCAATCTCGGCTGCTTAAGCCGAAGCCACCCAGAATCTAGAAGCTGACGATGGCAATTGCCTCGTGTCAGCTGCAGGTCCGTTGATACTGTCAGCCTAAATCGCCTTGGCTGCAGCACGTTCACGCGCACGAGGCGAGCATCCCAGTTCGCATGACATCTCGATCACGTTTGCCATATTGTCGGAGCAGGCCGATAGAATACTGTGAAGCAAAAGCGTGTTTGTCCGTCGATGAATAGCGTGCTTGTCCATTCGCTATGCTTGCTAATTGGCCCGTCGCGGTTGACATTCTGACCGGTGGTGAGCTAGCCAGCCGCGAACTCAGAACTGCGCTGAGTTCTCCATACTACGCGACATGGCTGCACCGCGCACTCGATTCTGGTGCCTTGAAAGCTGCGTAATAGTGTCTGGTCTGGAGCTACATCGGCATCGTGCACTTGCAGCCTCCGAGATATGCAGGCACCGTGCGACGTAGACTGCAACTTGCCGTTTGTTCGAGTGTCCAGTTGGTCGGGCAAATGCCTGCATTTGGATACTAGAGATATGCGGTATACTAATTTGGGCAGCGTCAGTTAGCTAGATTCATGTTAGTACATCACCTGGCTGGTATGCCTTATTCCCGCCCTAAAGACGCCATGTGTACCGGTGTATGTGAACGGTGTGATGAGAGGCGAGAGGCGAGAGGCGAGAGGCGTAATTTCACGAACCTGCAACGGCTGCCGCAAGCCTGCTTATCGGGTCATTTGGGCTCACCGTAGATCATTGAGCAAAGGCCAGTAATAGAACGACCGGTGGCTTGCTTGTGGATACTTATTCCGATTTCCAACGTGTGCACATGCGCCTCACTCTGTTCATGATTCAACATGCAAGGGCTCGCGTCAACGTAGTCATAAGCGAGGCAAGAAAGCGTGATCACAGAACGATGTTTGCGATAAAGACTCGGGTGATGAATCAGTATCGTGGTCAGCTATGTACCGGTGCAAAGGTACTGCCAGGTACCAATACAGTACGCCGCGCAAACTCCTCTTTTAGGCTGTTTGGTCTATCCTCATGTGGCCCATCAACTTGCATCATGCGTGGGGGTAACACAAGACCTCTAAGTCAGAGAAGGGCCGAAAGTGATGATGCCACGACGCGGTGACGTCGTAATGCCGCGCAACGGCATCTACTTGCAGACTGCTGCTCCTGCGGTGCTCCTCGAAGTTGTTGCGGGGTGAAGCACGTTGAAACGAACTTTGAAAACGTTGTCGTGGCACATTTCAAGGTGCTTCACGCCACTTGTCCAGCAATGGAACTCGGAGCATCCCACGCTTCCACGAAAACTCGGAGACTGAACCTTGGGCCGATCTTTCAACGGCACAATGGCTCCCTTACTGCCCGGTTGATGTCCAAGCTATCCAAGGTGTGGAGCTCTCTAGCTGCACCCGATCGACGGCGGGTAAATGCACAGCAAACCAATTCAGACATGGCTGCATGTCAGACTCGAGACGAAGCTAGTATTGCATGGCTTTAGAATTCTTCACATGGGGCCGCATGAGAAAGCGCCGGTTTGGTTGGAGGACAAATGCACCGCTGACAAGGTAGAGCGCTGCGGAGGCGTTCCAGTTCGTCCTTGCTGGGCCAGTGCAAAACAATCGATCCTCCGTCTTCTCGCCGAGGCAGATCGTTGTTCGCTAACTCATAATGCACTTTTTGGTGAGCTGAATATGGAGACGAAGAGTGGGTTAATCTTGCATTTTTCAGCGGCAGGAGAAGCTGGCACTTCATGCTGTCGCGAATCAAGGAACCTGTTCTGCCTCCTGCGTCGTCAGCCATGCACGAACTGCAAACCCGCAACGAATATGTCCCTGCCATGTGTACAACAGTGCCCAACCAAATGCAAGATGTATGTGCGCGCAGACATTGCCGACCAAGACCGAAAACCCTGTCGCAATGTGGGCGACGAGCTGTAAAAAAAAGTACTCAAAGAGAAGTAATCGCCGAAGCGACGCAAATGATACACAAACAGAGCCCATTTTGCCAATCGGCTCGTACCTGATCCGGCCGTTGTATGCGAAATAAGCCTACCCAATGCAACTCAATCATCGGTCGTAGCATGTCGCCTACGAGACGCTCAGGACGTGCCGGCCGATGCTTGAATGTAGTCTCCTGCACACCAAACTCCTTTTGCTCCTAGAAGGACATCGCCAAAATCCCAAAATCGAAAACGTAAACCGAGGGGCGTTGCGCAATAGTGATCGAACCCGCCTGTTCATGTAGCCAAAAAGTCCCAACCCTTCGCATTGATGATCTTTTCCCAGTCCCATGATTCCTCATCACCAGCGTCCATAAGCTTCCATATGTCATCCACCACCTCTTTCGCGAAGCCAATATTACCAAGCCCCGTGCATGCGATGAGGCCAGTGAATGCTCGATTGACCTCTACTCGTTGTTGCTCCTCAAATGCAGCGCAACCGATTAAAAATAGCGGCAGTAAGACGTTGCTCTGAATCCAGCCTTCGGCAGGCAGTTCATTAATGTATCGAATGCCATCGTCCACGGCATTTTTTATGTAAGGATGTGGGCGTGACACTTTCGTTGTACGGTAGAGGTACACCCAGGTCGCCTGGCGGTACAGCATAGATAAAGTGTAACGAGGAGTGCCCGGTGTCTGTGGGCAAACCCAAGTACGCAAGCCACTGTCGATCGCGTGGGCCGCAAGCAAAGCCTCGTAATCCATAGTAGGCTCGGTCTTCTCGTCGATGCGAATGCGCAGTCTCCGTCGTAGATTGCTGATCTTAGAGATGAAGCCGAACAGACCATCTGAAACACCAATGAGCGCAGCGGTTTCAGGGTTGATCTCGAAAGGAAGGCTAAAGTTTTCCATCATCGGTACGTCATTGCCATCAAGGGAGGTGATCTGACTAGCAATCCAGTGGTAGTAGAAGAACTCGTCGAAGAGAGACTGAAACTCGGGATTACTAGACTTTTGTGTCATCGCGATCTGCTTCGCAGCGACCATATGCATCCGGTATTCTCCTGACGTGTTGCCGTCACATATGGAGTGCAGAAGATGCAGCAGGATTTGAGCGACATTACAATCTTCAAAGATCATAACCCCGCCTTCACCGGCCTTCTGTCGCTCAAGGTCCTGCTTCAGAAGTTGGAGAGCCTTGCCGCGATGGTGCGCCTGCCTATCTTCATACTCTTGTGAGGGATTCACTGAGTACATGTGCGAGGCCGACAAACACAGCACAGAATGCATCAGACCTTCATGCTGCAAAGCCATGGGCAAGAGGATTCTCGTGAAGGGATTTGTCGACTGGTCTCCATGTAAGCTGAGCACAGCACTAGCTCGACTGACGAAGTGCTGTAGCAGGTCTCGATCGAGGTCGTTCTCCCACGCCTTCCATCAGCGGTGGTAGTTCGAACTTGACTTCCACGCTTTGCTTTCGGGCTGAAAAGTTGTCAGCTTCCACTTGGCTCCGCTCGAACTGAGTCGCACCTTCAGCCGCCCTCTCTTTTCCGCTCTTCCATATTTCTACGGGCTTGTACCCTTCGCAGTGAATGTTGTTCTTCTGGCATGATAAACCTAAATGAAGTCAGTAACCACATCATACACACACACAACACCAGGCAACACTAACAAAAGGGCTTCGTCTCGTCGCACTTCTTTTTGCGCTTCCGGCACGTTGTGCAGCCTGTTTTTGATCGTGCCTTTGCCTGCTTTGATAAAGCTGTAGGAGATCGTGGTGGATGTATGCGTGGCCGACCACGAGCACGTCTTATCCGGACGGGCTCTGTGGGAGATATAGCTGTATCATCTGCAAAAGATTCCTCTTTAACATCCGCTAACTGTAGTTCCGTCTCTTCTAACTTGGGTACAACATCTACAGAACTTGTCCGTGTGTCTAACCGCGACTCTGACTGTGTATCTGAAGTGCTGAAGATGGTGGAGTCGAAGTTGGGTGTGGTCATCGGGGAGTCGCTGGCGGACGACATGGACGGTTGTGGTGAGGAACTGGTGCTCAGACGAGCGTGCGCACTGGGCGGCGGATGGCCGAAGGAGAGGATCGAGTTCATTCGGTCCGGCAGGAAGAGTGTCAATGGTTACAAGTCGAGCGTGGTAGACATCTGACGTTGCATCCGTGCGAGGCGTACAGTAGCAAACAACGACGAGGCCTCAATCTTGCACGCAATCGCAGTAGTTTTGACCCCAGGAGTCAGTTTGTACAGTATCGCACTCCAAGAGGACATCCGATACAGTAAATGTCAGATTTGGGACACTACTTTATCGTCGAACCTTTGGTGGCCACTGGTGAACCACTGGGCGGGATCGTTTTGAAGCCGCGAGTGATCGCACGGCAGGTTGCGTGAGAGCGGGGGATTGCGTATTAGGCGAGTCGTGGGCGCGGACTGACAACCAATAATAGTTAATGATACGGCGGCAGAACAACGACGTTCCGTAGAGCAATGAAGAAGCCGGTGAACAAGGGCGAGGGAGGACAAGAGGAATTGGTGTAAGGTATTCACGGATGTCCGCAGTACTTGTCCACACCAGCAGACGGAAGGAGGATATGAGCAGCGCGACCGTGCGGAGAGGAATAGACGGGTGCGCGAGGATGATCTACTGAGCGGGGACGTAAGACGAAATTAACGACTAGGGTTCCAGGTATTAAAGTGACAGGGTGCTGCAAAAGAGGGCCAGCGTGTGGGAGCCAGGTTGCACAGCACGGTAGAGACGAGTGATATAGTGAGTTAAAGTAGCGTCGCAATAACGACGGTCGATTCGTCTCTAAAAGTGTATGGAGACTTAACCCTGGAAGTGGACCACTGTGACGGGCCGCCGTCTACTTAAAGCAGGGAGCAGACCGAAGCTTGCAGAAACGCACTGAGCGCGCGCAGGACTGTGTCAGCAACTTTGGAAAGGCATCGGGAGCTGCAGATGGCCTTGGAAAGAGTTGCCGGCGTGAGCGCTAGACGACCCAGACGCTGCGAACCTCCCAATATGATTACGACTTGTCCTTAGCGTTGAGAGGGTCGTCGTGTGCATGAAGTGCTCCCTAGTGGCTTATCCTGGCAATGTGTCTATCCAGCCGGCTTCATGGGTTTTGCTGACTAGCAAGGAGCGGAAAGCCATGGTCCAGGATGTGCCCGCGGGGGCAAGACTGAAATGCTGTGTGAAGGCTGGGCACCACTCTGCAGTATCAGGCTTGGTCTGATCAACCAGTAAGCATCAAGCAAAGTCCGACTCGCCTCGTTGGCCCCTTGATTGTTGCTGCTTACTACTGTCAGTAAGAAAAAAATTGGCTTCACCATGCGCCGGGCCACGCGCACAATCGGTCTAGTGAGTCGCAACTCCATTATCGATGGGTTGTGAAGCGGCCCCACATGGGAACGCCGCTCCAGCAGGCTGTGTTACATATCTTCTCCATATTCTGCGAGTCCTAAAGACACGATCCCGGTATAGAACACATAGTCAAGGAGAACAGGGTGCTTCATTTGCCGCACGCGAGCCTGTTCGGGGTAGCCCTGAACATTAGTTCTCAACAACTGTGTGACATGAAGGTGGATGACGAAGACCGGTGTCTTGAGCGTATCGAGCTTTAAGCCACAAGGCAAGGGATACAAACCACTGCATGCAGATCTCTCTCAGTGAAGCATCGACAGACCTGAGTTTGTTTTGAGAGGTCATACCACAGTAAAGACCCATGTCCACTCCCCGCAAGCTCGCTTCCGCCCGTCAGCAGCAAAAGCAATATAGTCGTTACCGTAATCTATGACTGGACGGGGAGTGGATATAAGCCATAGCCCAGCAACGTTGACAGCCGTTTCTACGCCATGTGTGTGTTTGCGTACTTGAACGATACCCCGGTTCATGAGAGTTTCAACGTAGTTGTTTGATCAGAGCTCATGGTTCGGTACATTGCGGGCGGGAAACGGGAAGATTGAACTCAAAAACGCACGCCCCTTGACGTGGCTCAAGGCCGCCGTGCCGGGCGCCAAAGCTCCCTAGCCCTCGGCTTGCACCGAGCGCTTCTGATAAAACCAGATTACGGAGATTGGATTCAACTTGCAGACACGCCTGTGTCATGCGATTCTCAATCGATGACATCCAAAGTCAACTCTAATTAGACGTGAATGAGCTATTCTATGACTCGTTCATGGCTAATTCCTCGTAAGAGCAGAATTTGTAGGGGGTCTTATCGGAGCGAGCGTGTGTTCCATGACGTTATATCGTCAAACGTGTGCCGAATGCTGTGGAGCCATCTTCCTTGACAAAGATCGAATGCCATCGTCAGGCTATCAGCATCTGCGATCTAACATGAATCGACAAGTGGAGAGCTCTCGGCCTCCCTGCCTTGTGGATTTAATAAGGCCGAGATTGGTCCGATGGTGTTGTTCCAAGCTGGCAAACGAGTGATCTGGTATAAAGGTTCTTAACGCATCTTTGCTGTAGAAGTTACACAGTAAGCTAGATAGACAGCTCCACAATAATCGTGGAGTAATGGGGAAAGGTGTCCCTTCGCTCTGGGACGCGGCGTCAGTGATGAAAGGTCCACAATAGCCTGTTATCGTGTACGTACTGTATGAAATCGGATCGGACGCCTGCAGCCGAAAATGTGGATACGAGCGGTGCGAAGTGTGACTTGCATATTTTAGCGGCAGACTGTTACTGCGGGGTTGCTTGGGAGGGTTGAGACATGTCATTCGCTCGTGGCAAACCCATGCAGTCGACAGCTGCAGCCACCTCAATAGCGGGAGCCACTGTTGAGTGACCAAGTGAAGACTAGGTGTAATTCTGGGCACCTGGTCAGAGAGCTCGCGAGCTAAACGTGGTAATATTGTCGAGCGAGAGGAGCTTTGCGCGCAATCACCGACGCGCATGCAGCCTGTTGTGGTACTAGGACAACGTATTGCTATGGTGCGGAATATTGCCGTGTTTTGTATGTGTGGCAGTACAGCGGCCTGCATGTGGCGTGGTTTATGATCGGCAGCGTAGGTACCGCGGCTCCGTCTTGGTGCATTGCGCTGTGTTTTTTTTCGTCGGCGCTTTCGGGATGTCTGCCTAGGTACAGAATGGTCAACGTGAAGGATTATCTGCGCGTTCGAGTGTCTTATGAGACGAGGACATCGAGTCGCTGTGATAGGTGGGTAATGTAGGTGAGAACCTTATTCCATCATTTCGCCAATTTGGTGTTGGTCGCCGGTAAAATATGTGGTGCGCTGTCCGAGCATTGAGCTCGATGTGTAGTGTGCAGCTGCAGTCGAACTTTAGGAGATACGTGCATCGATTGCTGCAGGGGGGGATGTGAAGGTTGAGCCAAGGCTGTGCACGTGATGAGCGGCGACGCATTACATAATCAGGGCATCGAGCTCGGACGTTGCCCTTTGTACCTCAGAACATGCGCCAACCTATTGCATGGAGCACATTCCATGATAATGCGCGACTGATTCCTTGATCGCGCGTCAGACTCAACGCCCAGGATCCAGCATCATGTTCAACTTCACTCCTTTACTAGGCGCGCAATCGTCCTCGGCGGCGTCGCAGTCGCTGCTGGAATTCGATGGAGGTATCAAGATCCTCATCGACGTAGGCTGGGATGAGAGTTTTGATGTCGCAAAGCTGAAAGAAATTGAGAGGTAGGTGCTGAGGTCATGTAGAACGAAACGCGCGCACGCCGTGGACAGTCTTCACGGAGAGCAAGCAGTGGATCCCTTGTCGGACTATATTCTATCGCGGCTACATAGGCTTCACTTCACAGTATGTAGAATACAAGCTGATGTTCTATTCTGCAGACATGTCTCTACCCTCTCCTTCGTACTGCTCACCCACGCAACTACGGCCCATCTTGGAGCATATGTGCATTGCTGCAAGAACTTCCCGCTGTTCTCGCGCGTCCCCGTTTACGCGACCGTGCCCGTCATATCGCTCGGCAGAACCCTCCTTCAGGATCTCTACGCGTCTACGCCATTGGCGTCTTCGATACTACCTACGGATGCCCTGACCGAATCCGCATACTCGTTCCCCTCGGCCTTGAAGGGCGGCAAGAACCCCAACATACTGCTACAGGCACCTACACAAGAGGAAATCGCCAACTATTTTGGCGCCATCACCCCTCTGAGGTATTCTCAGCCGCATCAGCCGATCCCGTCGTCATTCTCACCGCCCCTCAACGGCCTTACAATCACCGCATACAGCGCAGGACACACATTGGGGGGGTCGATATGGCACATCCAGCATGGCATGGAGTCTGTGGTGTATGCCGTAGACTGGAACCAGGCGAGAGAACACGTGCTTTCGGGAGCCGCGTGGCTGGGCACCGGCACTGGTGGTTCAGAGGTCTTGGAGCAGCTGCGTCGCCCCACTGCCATGATATGTAGCAGCAAGAACTCGGGTCTAGTCAAGGTCGCCAAAGCCCCTAGCAAGCGAGACGAAGAGTTATTGTCCATGATCAGAGATACGGTAGCCAAGGGCGGCTCGGTTCTCATACCCTGCGACTCAAGCGCACGAATTCTGGAGATTGCCTATCTGCTCGAGAAGTCATGGCACAGCGAAACAGCTAGGTCGGAAAACAACAGCCCCTTGAAGAATGCGAAAGCCTATCTTGCAAGCAGGACGGGAGGAGCGACCATGCGTTACGTCCGAAGCATGCTGGAGTGGATGGGTGAAGGCATCGTGAAGGAATTCGAAGCCGCAAGTGGTGCCGCCGAGGGCCAAGGCCAGCGCAATGTGCGAGGTGCACCTGGCAGAGACGATGGTCGAGGCATCAGGACTCCTTTCGACTTTCAACACATTACTCTGCTCGAAAAGAAGGCACGTGTCACACGGATGCTCAATGCTACCGAACCGCGCGTCATTCTTGCCAGCGATACCTCGCTCGAATGGGGGTTCTCCAAAGATGCAATCAGAAGTCTCGCATCAGACGAGAAGAACCTGGTCATTCTTACGGAAAGGGTCGGGGAGCTCGGTACGCAGGAGAAGGGTCTAGGACGCTACCTTTGGGATCTGTGGAACGAGCGCTCTGTGAATTCTGGAGACGACTCGCTCGACTCTACCATGGTAGATGTGTCTGGCCAACAAGCCTCAATAAGTACAGTCCGCACTGTCGCACTCGAGGGCGATGAGGTACCCCTATACCAACAATTTCTTGCCAGGCAGAGACAACTGCACAACACCATGACTGGTGACGGCGGGACCACTCTGGAGACGTCCGCAGACGTGGTAGACGACCGATCATCCACTACATCTGAAAGCTCCGAAGAGTCGGCTGATGGACACGGAGGCAAAATTCTCAATACCACGGCAGCACTCCAACATGCACGTAACAAATTAGGTCTGACTGATGCGGAGCTGGGCGTCAACATCCTTATCCGCCGGAAGAATGTTTACGACTACGAGGTAAGAGGAAAGAAAGGAAAAGAGAAGTTGTTTCCCCACCAGCAGAAGCGGAGAAAGCAAGACGACTTTGGTGACCTGATCCGACCGGAAGAGTTTGCTCGTGCAGACGAAGAAGACAATGTTGGAGGTGACACTCTGCGAGGAGAGAGCACAAAGAAAGAAAACACAGTCGGTCAAAAGAGACGATGGGATGACCTCGTTAATGTCATCGACAGCTCCAAGACCAAAGAAAAGCAAAGACGACGGAAGCTCGACGGCGATGACCAAGGCGATACAGAAATGGCAGAGTCCGACAGCGAACCAGAAGATGATCCCGACAAAGTTGACGGTCCCACAAAAGTCATCATCGACTCGGAAATCATCGAACTCCGGTGTCAGATATCTTTCGTCGACTTCTCTGGTCTGCACGACAGACGTACGATCCAAAACATCATACCGCTCGTCAAGCCACGAAAACTCATTCTCATTGGCGGAGAGGAAGCAGAAACCATGGAGCTCGCAGAAATCTGCAGAACCGCTCTCAACGTAGGCCTGGAGGCTTCTGCCGCCATTGATGTCTTTACACCCACTATCGGTATCGTCGTCGACGCAAGTGTCGACACAAACGCATGGACCGTCAAACTCAGTCGCACAATGGTGCGCAACCTCCACTGGCAAAACGTCCGTGGTATGGGCGTTGTCGCCATCACTGGCCGGCTCGCTGCCGCCACTCTCGACGCACCGCCAAAAGAAGAAGAAGGCTCCGCGAAGAAGAAAGCTAGATTGGATGCCCCTGCTGTCCCAGTGTCATCACTGCTCGAATCAAGCTCAACTCCCATTCTCGACGTTGTCCCAGCGAACATGGCTACCGCTGTGCGTTCAGTCGCGCAACCTTTCCACGTCGGCGACCTACGTCTCGCCGATCTGCGTAAGCTCATGAAGAGCAACGGCATGGAAGCAGAGTTCCGAGGCGAGGGTGTGCTGGTCATCAACGGCACTGTGGCTGTCAGGAAAACAGCCACAGGACAGATTGAAGTTGATGGAGGAGCGTATGGAAACACTGACGCGAGGAATAATGATGCTGCGACATTCTTCAGGGTCAAGAGGCAGATTTACGATGGCTTGGCCGTTGTGGCTGGTAGTTAAAAGCGCAGTTTTTGTATGAGTAGCAAGGCGTCTGGGACTGTGCTGTGGTTCGGTATGGCATTGTTTTTAGTTGAATGGTAGTTAATTAGATACCTCACATTTGCAAGGAGAGTCATCGAAGCTGATGTTCTGACCATTTTCATTTATTTTCAGATGTCTCCTTGTTGACGCCACGATCACAGCCCATCCTTTCGCCCATCATACACATCCCCGTAAGTCATCCAAGACGCTGGGTGATCCTTGATGTTCCGCAAGTTAGCTATCATCTCGGGCTTTGGCTCCTGTTCCTTCTCTGTCATCGGCTTCGCTGCTGGTTGACCCTGCGATTTCTTGGTGTCGCTGCTGTTCTGAGGCATGATGTTGATTTATAGAGCGTAGCTTCAGCTTTGTCAGTGTGGAGGCGAAGTTTTCAAGTTCGATCGGCAAAATTTTATGCAAGCTGTCGGTGAAGAGCTCTACTTGGCTGTGAGTCTAGGATTAATATTTACGTGATTATGGTCAGCAGCGTGTGAGCAGCGTGTCAGCATGTATCATATTGAAGTTCCTACACAACACAGCATGACGTGTGTTCATTTGTCCCATCAAGCTCTGCTGTCGGAGGGGTAGACAAGCCACGTTACATGATTCAGAGCTGCACTTTCACATCGAGAGACTAAAATTTGCTTGAGGGTGTTGTGAAATGGAAACATATCAGATCAACAGCGCGTCTAACAGCAAGTAACACTATTGCTTAATATTACTGCTTACTGCTTATGTAAGCAATAAGTAGCAAAAGGTAACTAAGTAAGCCTAGTAATAGTAGTAGTAATCGTTTAGGAGCAGTAATTTGTGCTTATTGTCAGTATATGTCACGAACTGCAGAACCAGCCTCATGCAAACGAACGCTGAGCCACTGGCTTGAAGTACCACAGCCAATGGTGACGCTGACCACTGACTGTCAGCGCTAGGTCTTCGTTTTGAGCGAGGGACTTATATAACTTCAGCGTGTGAAGAGGCTAGGGACGTGGTTGTGGAGTCGCGGATGGGTGGCTGTGGTCATGCTACAGTTACAGAAAAGCGATGGTGTCATGGATCACTTGGTAGATGTGCTGGCGGAGTAGATGTGTATATGATATAGAATGGAGGAGAACACGATCAACGCGGTTCTTCAGCATGAGGGAAACATGCTGCAGTACAATAGGCTTGAAAAGAATGTAATACAGGGAATGATCTGGTGCGTGAATTCTCCCGTCAAAGTGTGACAAGAGAAGAGTGATGCCCATGTCATCGCGTGTGCTGTTCAGCGAGCTGCATACGACAGTGACAGTGACGGTGACGTTTCGAAACACTGCTCATCACTGCCAGGAACGAGCACTGATCTCAGCAGATGTGAATATCTTCACAAGTCTTCCACGTCCAAAACAAATTCATTTACGTTGCGCTATCTCCCCATAAACATCAACGGCACTGCCATAAGCCCCACCTGTGCCAGCCCCAGCACCACGCCTGGCCAAAACAGCAACACCCCCGCACTCCCCCCCGTCGTCCGCACATACATAGCAAACACTACTGGCAGTGGCAACACCATAACCGCCGGCGCCATATACGGCACAAACCCGCACCACACCGCTGACGGCGTCGCCAGCACCAGAAACCCTATCCACCAGCTTTCTTTCCTGAGCAGGTGGCGAAATCGACAGGTACCCTCTTGCGAGAGAGACGAGGTGTGGAAGGCTATAGACCCGCCATTTAGGGAGCTGGTGATGTGTTTCTGGAGCTGGGATTCGGTGAGGTGAGAGATACTGTTCGCCTCTTCGGAGCCGATGTGTTGGGTTAGTTCGAGGTGCATTGCATTTGAGAGTTCGAAGATAGCCTGGTATTCGCCGACGACATTGGATTTGGAGCGGCCGCGTTTATGTAGGAGCGCGAGGGAGGAGAGGTACATGGTGTATGTGCCGGTGGACCAGATAAGGAGGAGGATGATTAGGAGGATGGTTTGGATGAAGGAAAAGCCCCAGTTATAAGTCTGGTGGGGTTAGCAGGTGTTTGGGAAGATGGCGGGGAGGGACTTTATACGGACTTTTGTTGGCTGACATTGTCCCAGGGTTTTTATATCCGTGGTGTTGTAGATGCGCTCGTCTTGGACCCACGCCATGCGCGCCGGATGACTGAAGATTTTTTATGGGTCCCGAACTGCATTTTTCCAGTCGTGACTCCTGATGAATTTTGGCGGTAACGAGTACGCTGTGATGTTAAGTGTGGGCGGTGGCAGGGTCAGATTCGCATATGTAGACGCGAGCATTTGCCCTCCACTCCCGTACTTGTTAACATCTAATCGAAGATAGTGTCAGCACACTAATGTGGTCGTGATCTGGTCTTGGACTACTTACAGTCGGTGACATCGTTGACCAGACTGCATGAATGCTTAGTGAAAGCACAATCATGCAGAGTCCAAGTGGATGTATACAAAGCTTCATCTATCACTCAGTCAGCCCCAAACCACATCTGCACACCAACAAGACTTCAACTCACACCCACTCCCAAACCTCGAATCCATAACCTTCTCCCCCTTCCCCAAGCCAATCCTATCCCCATCATGCACCACAAAATACAACGCCCTCAACTTCTCAAACGGCACATACTCCGCCCCCTCCCCCCTAACAAACGGCTCCACATTCGCACTATACCCCGTCATCGCACTCGCCAGGACCGGAAACGCCAAGATAAACACCATCGTCACAACCACAAACACCATCGCCAGCCTACTCTGTAGTCCGCGGCGGCGCGAGAAATCCGCAACCAGCCGCCACGCACCCAGCGCTGATGCTTCGCCCTGCACGAAGATGGTGCGGAAGGTGCTGAATGTTACCGGCGAGACTTGCATCGATGTCGTGACATATTGCGTGAAGACTTTCCAGGAGAGAAATGTGAGCAGCGCTTGCCCGCCTCGTCCGAAGACGACGTCCCACACGACGTCGACGACTTTGGCTTGGGCGAAGGCCATGTGGCCGCTGCCCAGGGTGACTTGGAAAAACCCCGAGGCGCGCCAGAAACTGAATTCGGCGGGGTTCGTGTACAGCGAGCCATCGGGTGCGCAGGCCGTTAGTTTATTCGTGATGATGGAGCCGGGGGATGATAGTGTGGCGAGTGCGCTGAAGGTGTAGATCAGGCCGAAGTAGAAGAGGTAGCAGAGGGTCCAGAAGGCGCCTTTCCAGCCTCGTTTTTTGAGGTCCTGGTGGGCTTGGGCATGACTGATCTTCCAGAATGTTGTGAAGCGGGATTTTCGTGGTCGTTGTATTTCTGAGATTGTTGAAGGCACGGAGTCTTCTCGCGTTACGGTGCCAAAGTTATCCAGCTTGACCGGTTCCGGTGCCATGCTGGATCAGCGGGCATAAAGCGGGAAAAGGGCGTTGAACAGAACAAAAGAAAGAGCATCAATTTGCACTTTGGAATCTGCGCGATGTTGGTCCATCAATGCTGGGCTTCTGCTTGTAAGCACAGGGGCTGTGATGACCCGTCGTTCAGGCCCCCAACCTCTCAAAAGATGCTGCGGACAGCACAGGGATGATATGAAGATCAAGGATCGGCAAAGCATAAGGCCACCAACAATCACGTTTCAGCCTTGTAGGCATACATACGTAGACCTCGCTTTGAATTGGGTGCTAAAAGTGGAAAGAATGAGATTTGCGCGGAAGTGAGCTGAGCAACAAAGTCGCGCATTTTCAACCACACTCGCCTAGACAACGACATCGATTGCGGCGAGCGCCTGCAAGGGTATTTAGCAAACCTCAGAATTACACGTAGGCAAACCTGCATTGGTAAAGTCTTTGATTCTTCGTCGCCTCTATTGGCCGAATTCTACACCAGGCTCGCAATCGACATAGCCCATAAAACATTGACGCCATGCAATTGAACCATGCCCCCTATGACGATTTCCAAGACTATGTAATACATGAACGCTGAACAAAGAATGATGATGGCTAGCTCCGCACCGTCAAGGCACACCATATGTGAATGGCCTACTAGCCTAACGATGAAGGCAAACCCAACAACGAGCGCAGATGCCCATGTGATGCGCTTCCACAGTATGCTGCGATCGTGCTGTGGAGAGCCACCCGGCAACTTGAAAGTTGCTTGACGAGCGGATTTGTGCTGGCTATGGTCCTACGACAGAGGCACATTGAAGTCCCAATTACCTATGGTACATTTTAGTTGTGAACATGAAGAGAAGCCGCGATAGAATAGCTATAACGAATGCTCGTAACATAGCTAATGTTCACACGTACCTGCTTTGAGATTCTCGGCCGTGTCGTTGAGGAGGATTATGCGACGCTTCGTGCAATATGACGTCTTGTCCATCATGTCCACTTTGAGTGTTTGGAGCTGGTCGATTGGCTTCTCAAACATCTCACTGAGGTTCTCGACAGCCATTTCGAGATCCTTCTGGTTATCCTCAAAAATCTCAGTGAGATTGTTACGCGCTAGATAGTAGGCGAACGCGTAAGTCCACTTGAGCACTTGCCGACACTGCTGCAAAGCTTGCGAAGCCTGGTCAAGGAACTGTACTTCGATCCAAGACATGCCTGATTACAATGGTCAGTTACTTTATGCCAACAAGTGACTGTGGGGAGGACTAGAGTGATTCGCAAAATTCATCGTCGTCATATGTCGACTGTGGAATGTTGTGAAACCATCCCAGACGCCCTGGGGGAAATGTATACCTGTCGTGTTTTGCAATTGCTGCATCTTCTTCTCCGTCTTGAGATAAATGTCCTTGTCGAGCTTGGCTGACTGCTCGTGGTTGGCGTAGCGGTTGTAGTAGTGAAGGTATCGTTCGAGCGATTGTCGTGACTTTGCCTGCGCATCCCTCGCATCGGATCCACTCTTCTCTTCAAAGCGATTACAGTTGTACCAGCTAGTGCCGTGCTCCGACCAGATGCCCATGCACATCCAGCAGAATTCGTGTCTACATTTCCTGCACGTCATGTGGTTGCAGCCCCCGTTCTTTTCTATAGTCGAGTTGCACCTGGGACATTCTTTTGTATTTGCTGATATCCAGTTTGCGGTCTCGGAATCGTCTTCGCACTTCTTCAGCCACCTCTTGACCAACGAACATGGCGCGGGCTGGTGGTTGGCGAGTGTACATCCAAAACAAAAGTCGGATCCACAGTCGCAGTGTACAGTCGGTACTACCTTGGTGAGGTCCTTGCTCTTAACAGGGCACTCTACAGCGTATTTGCAGTCTGGGGCGGGGCACCACTTCAAGTTCTCTCGGTCGTCGACGTACGTTCGTGTTAGGAGGACTTGGTATCTTTGCCAGTTAGTCATTGCTGCTTTCGACTGCTTCATCACGACATACCTTGCTTGGAGCTCGTGTGAAACCAGAATGTCTAGCGATTTCGAGTCTACAATGCGCGTGCACCCCTCACCCGGACATCGTATTCGCGCGGCCTCGCCCTCGTCTTGGATCTTGTTCGACAGGTACTGCTTGTAGCAATGCACGCAAAAGCGGTGTTCGCACTTCATTGCAAAAGTGTCCAAATCCGGGCTGTCGTCACAGCATATGTCGCACACGAACCCCTTGACCTTCTGAATTTTGGGCGGGTTTGTCGCTGCGTCCTGGCCAAGGCCCGCATTTTCTAGTACCTCCTCTTGCTTGTCCATGTATTGGTCTATCAGGCGCTCCTTGTTCCATCGCGAATGCCGGAGGAGAATGGCGGCGGCTTCGGGGGGTTGACCGAGAATAGTCGCCACCTCATTGATCTGGTTGTCTTGTTGTGCTTGAATCTGTGCGGGATCGAAGACTTTGAACTCGACTTCGTAAGCCTGTCTGGTCGGCTTGATATCCTTATCCTGTGATTCGAACCCCACGTCGTCTACCTCGAAGTCGGAATCTATACATTTGGGTTAGCCGCAACTGTGAGCACTTTGGACGTGACCCATACCATCTTCCAGATCCATGTCGCTGTCGTCGTCAAAATCATTTCCGCTCATGGAGCTGTTGAACTCGTCCTCGGAGTCCATCTTGTCGGAAGCGTTCGTGACGGGCGTGGCAGGGAGATCGGGATGCAGAGATTCGGGTGTTTGTCTCTTCTGAGGGGGCCCTCCTGACAGTGTGAGCTGGCCGTCTGCCTCAGAAGCCTTCCGCTTGCGAGTGGGCGGCGTCGTGATTAGATATAAGGCAGTCCCGCCTGATGACGGAACTAGCCAGGCTGCGGAGAGGGTGCGATGGGCTGGCGAGATGCAACGGAACAAGACCTGGGGCACACGAAGACAGTGGCGTGACACAGGGCACGCGGTAGGCAGCAGAAAAGAAGGGCAGGTTGAGGAGAGATATTGGTCAGCTCGTGTACAGTCACAAGGGTTTAATCGGCTTGTCAGTTGCGTAGGGTTGGCGGGATGCGGGCAAGAGGCACCAGCGCGTTGGACCTCTAGACCCACATGTGCCCATCGGGCTAGCGCGCTTCCGGAAGAGGAAGCGGCGACCGCGGCGGTGATTTTACTCGCTGCAGTTGCCTCCCAGCATCACAAATGCCGACGATGACGCTGGGCCTGAAAAGCTTTGCAGTTCAGGTTCATACGGTTTATTCTCTCGTAGGTATGTGAATGTCCTCGGGATGCATCGCCGAGAGGAATACGCACGAGACAAGACTGGTCACAAGGTGTGAGACGTACGTTCGGACATGTGCGCAAAGGTTATGCCTGCAATGCTTCAGAAGCTGTTTGACCATCTATTGATAGATTATAGAAAGTGTGCAGACACTGTGCACTACTCAGAGTCTTCACTCTCCTCTTCACTCTCATCCTCGCTGTCTTGCTGCAAGAATTCCACCAGTGCCCGTGTCTTTTCCCTGACCTTCTTGAGCTCCTCACTTTCAGAGCCCCGCTCGTCATCCCACCACTGTATTATGCCGTCCTCTTCTATGCAGTCAAGCTCCGTGAGCTTTGTCGCTGCGCTCAGAAGCACAGCGTCGCCGTTTTCTCTGTGGCTCAAATCTGCCTGTAGGAGAAGCATGAAGTCTACTTGATCAGTCTTGCTGGACTGGTTCTTGTCGAATATGGCGCGGTCGATGAGCTCCTTGTACTGGCCAAAGACTTGCGCGATGGCAGCTTTGTTGGTCTCGCCAGAATTGATGAGCTGCAGTATGCGCTTGACGAAGGAGCTGACCACTGCGCGCCGGACCTGATGATCCGAGGCATTCGTGCTCATGCGCAATGCGGTGAGTTCTAGTTGTATGTTTGCTGGTTCATGGCCCTGCTCCAATGAGTCGTAAATACTTTGAGACGCGTCATGATCGAAGTTTGCCGCATGCTGGCTGTCTGCTGAGCCCACCGAAAGGAAGCTGCTTGCTGCTGATCGGCTGTGGTCTTGTAACTCGAGGTCGTCCGCTTCCGAGTCTGAATTGAGTGTCGATATCGACTCGTTTGAGAAGTTGTACACTACGGCTGTCAGTGGCTGTTCCCATATCAAAGAAGTGAATAGACGTACGTGGTCCTGAGGATACAAGGCCATCCAATGGCTCATCCTCGTCGTCCTCGTCGGAGTCTTGAAATTCAAACCCATCTCCCTTTGGTCCAACTATCGTAGGATCCGGATCACCTCTGACCGCATCGCCGCTGCCCTGCTTCCGCTTCGCTCTTGTGATCCGGTGTTCGCCTCGAATGGTCATGCCCTCGCCAATTGTAACACCGTAAGAGATGAGCGCTCCGTCCTCGACTGTGCACTTTCGCCCTATAGATGCTTCGTTCGCGATGACCGACTTCGAAATTGTGCTTCCATCTCCGACGCTCGCGTAGTCCCAAATAAAAGCACCGTCTAGCTTGACATTGCGTCCAATCTGGCAGTGTCGACCTATGATGCTGTTTTTTATCACGGTCTTGTCGCCGATGCTGGTGCCTCTGCCGATGACAGTTTTCGATCCTATCACACAGTCGCGCGCCAATATGACACCCTCCTCTTTGTAGATGTTGCCTTTCTGCAGCCGATATGATTGTCCTTGGACAAGGTTGCTGTCTGGACACAGTGGGTATGCCCACCGCGACACGATATCCTTGCTCACTGAATCGTATGCGTGCAGGTTCCGAACTCGCGCTGCGTAGTGGTCGGAGACGATGTGGGTGTGGAACGTCTTGCCATTGAGCTCATAGTCCTTCAAGACACTGTGTAGGAAGCCTTTCCGCGGCGCCTGGAAGTCGAAGTTGTCGCTCCATAGCGCGAGTACATCAGGCGTACAGATATCAATACCACAGTCGATCAAGTCCTGCCGTATTTCGAGCTCCTGATGCTCCGACAGAAGTTCGGGGTCGATGGAGAGAAAGTGTGTTTGGTCGCGATTCGGCATTTGTTCGAAGTGTAGACATCTGTCTTTGGTCGGGTCTATCACAAATATGGGGCTGGACCCTCTTGCTTTTGTCCGGTGGTTTGCGCCGGCCTCACGCAGCACCATTGTCATGATAGCGTTCTTGTCTTTTACTCGACGTGCCCTATGCGCAGCCAGCGCAGACTCCAGCGGCAGGTTGCTGACGACATCGCCATAAACGAGAAGGAAGTCACCAGTGAGCAGACTCCTGCTGTCCAGGTCTCGCATCGCATCACCAATGGAGTGCGACGTCGACTGAATGAGCTCCAGCCGCGAGAAAGGCGAGGATTGCGCCGCCCATTTTGACTTTGTGATGTATTCCTCAACCTGCTCTCGGTGTGCGCCACAATATACGAAGATTTCCTCTACGCCGGCGTTGGCTAGGAACTCGAAGGTGTATTCAATGAGCGGGGTGTTGGCGAGGGGTAGCAAGCACTACACGCGTCAGTACGGCAGCTGACAAGTGTTCTGGAGGTACGGACTCTTGGTCGCTCGAGTGTGAAAGGGTTGAAACGCGTCTCAAAGGGGTCTGCAAGTATCTAGCAAGTTAGTATTGTTTGCCGCATAGGCGCATTGCATTGCATAGCTTACCACTGCCTGGAGGGGCTCATCGCGCTCCTCCTCGCCCGACTTGCCCTTGTCCTGGCCCTTCTTTCCTTTTGGGGGCATTTTGGTAGAGTGGCTTGGTGTGTGTCAAAAAAGGTGTGGCCCGTTGTGGTTCTAGAATGCTGCACCGTGGTGGGGGAGCTCAAAGCTCCAAAAAGCTTCTCCCGCGGCCGCTGAGTCACCAGCAGAAACAGTCGCTCAAACCACCACTAGGGTCTGGCCCCCTTCACCGATCGATTAGCGGACTGTGGGGGTTTTGCGGGATTACGGCAGCACTTGGAACTTATTGTGCTCGTGCGCGGCTTTTCTTGCGTGGCCGAACGTGTTCCAGACTCGAGCCGACCACCAGGGAGCGACTTCCTGGGAATGCTTATTGTAACGTCGGACCTTTTCAGCTATGTATACATTTTCCAATAGACCCTGGTACCAGGATTAGTACATACCCGGACCATTCATTCGTTCATGCGGCTTGGCTGCTCTATCTTGGTTAGTGTCATAAGCTTGGACATGTTCAAGATACCATGAGATCACGAGAGATGCAAATAGTGAGAGGATCTAGTTCCAGATTTAGATTTAGATTCTTCTTGATCTTTGAACAACATCTCCGTCCCTGTTATATGTCGGTGGATCCTCTTGGATGACACTACATGGGCTCTGTGGTGGGCTACATGGTTATGTCGTGACTACGGTCGCAGTCAAGATAAAGCCCCATGTGAATAGGAAGCTGTGTAGCGAGTATCGCATCCGTAGAACGCCCGATAACTGCATGCCTTCCTGTGTAGAAGGAAACACATCCCCACTCATCCTTGGCCTCATCGCTGTGCTCACAGCTCGGCACGACGCTCCGGGCACGCTGATTGCCACCCATCGCTGCGTCGTGACTCCGTCGGATTCGGCAGCTCAAGGAGCCTGTTTGCGAAGTCGACTCGGGTCTGGGATTTTTTTTTGTGAGATTTTACAAGTATACAGGTCAGGGTGCCACCTTTCCTCCTATTTACCGCGGGCGCGGCTGCTGCATCGGGTTCATCTGTTGCTGCATATGTGGCGCATACATCTGTTGGCGTTTGGCTGGATTGGTCATGTCGTCTCCACCCGAAATATCCGAAATTTGTCTCCGGTGGCCCGGTGGCATAGGCTGTTGTTGTCTGGCTTGCATGTGCATCTGTGGAGAAGTATTGTAGCCTATGTTTGCCTGCATCGGGTTCGTGCCGTAGCTGTTGGGGTGCTGCACCTGCTGACCCTGCATAGCCTGGGCGTATTCGTCCGTCACGCTGCTACCAACAGGCGACACACCCGGCAGTTGGTTTGGCGAATTCCAGTTGCTCGCCGTTGCTGGTGATTTGGCTGGCGAATCCTCCTCTTTAAGTACAAGCTGTCGAGGCACTTGTATAGGCTGAGGCGCGGGCATGCCTTCGCCGGGTGGCATAGGTTTCTTCAGGTGAACTAGATGCTTCTCCAACATGTGCAGCAAGCCTTCTTTGGTGAAAGGCTTGGGAAGAACATCGTTCATACCTAGGCCGTGTTAGAGAGATGCTCCAGACTTGGAAACAAACATACCATGCTGGAAATACATCGAAATGTCATCACTTCGAATGTTGGATGTCATCGCTACAATGGGAGTGGTGTCAAACTGTCGGATCAAGTGGCAAGCAGAAACACCGTCGAGGTTGGGCATAATGATGTCCATCAACACCAGATCGTACTTGGAGCCAGCATTCATCTTATTTACTGCTTCAAGACCATCAAGCTGAATGTTGTTAGCGCATGGTCCCTTGACACACATGAATGAATACTTACTGCGCTGTCAATGGCACAATGAAAGGCATACAAAAACTTGCTTCCGATGCGTCGGCATGTCGGATCATCTTCAACAAGCAAAATCTGTGGAGGGCGAATCCAACCAGGGTCTGGAATGGTGCTTTTCTTTCTGCCCTCTTGAAACTTGGGCTCTGCTGCTTCAACTGCTTTTGGAGGAGCTGCGTATGGAATGTTGTTGATGTGTTCGCTGTACATGGGGTCGATGCCGTTCGACGAGCCGACCGGGTAGACTAAGTTATCGAGGTTCTCTAGGCGCATTGAGCCGACAGAGCTCGCGGATGGGGGACCACGGCTCGTCGGGCGCGTTGCTGCAGCGGCGCGCGCAAAATCAGGTGGAGGCGTGGTAAGTGTGCCATTCATTCTCATCGTGATCTCATTCATGTGTTCCAGATTCCGCGGGTTCAGCATTACATCGGCGTTTGTCTCGCTCAATAATTTGGACGCGTGCTGAAGCGGTGACGCTGGATCATCATCATCCGGAGCCGGGTTTGAAGATTCCACGGCCCCATTCTGCGGTTGTGTGCCGTTAGAACCAAAAACAAGCTTACTGTTCCTCCGTTGCGTAGCGTCTACCCCGTGTAAGAAAGTCATAATCTGCTGCATGACATGCTCATGGTTGACAACGGTCTTCTGCAGGCCAATAACTTCTTGAAGGAGCATCGAGTGGTGAATGCTCAGCTCGTTGTACCGCCCTTCGACCTGATGCAGCTGCGCTTGTGTTGCCATCAACTGCCCGCTGACCATATCCATCTGTTGCGAGGGTATCAACATGTCGTCTGCGTTCGGTTGGTTCGGTTTTCGTGGCGCTGGCGCTTTCCGTCGAATGTTATCGAGCGCGTCTTTGTTGTTCATTTTGAAGTCTGGATGTTTAAACTCCCAGGCCTGGTGACGGTTAACTTGGGAGCACATGGCAGGCTCGATGGAAGACGTACCCCAGCACCATATGGCGATTGCCCATTCTCCTCATTGTTATGCCGCACTTTGTGAAAATCATACTTGTTGAGTTGCCGGACGAAACTCGCAAAGTTGCTATGTTTGAAGTGCTTGGGAAGGATGTGCTTGGTAAACTTTTCGTTCTGGTTTTGTCGTTAGCTGCCCGTGTGCGATGGCGCGCGCCATGAGCTCCGCAGGCGCACCTCTAACACAACAAAACTATCGCCGTCGTTCCCCCATCTCACTACGCTCTCATCACTTGGGTTCTCCAGCATCCTGTCGCGGGGGTTAGCTTATCCGAGCGGCCATTATATCATCCGGTCGACGTACTTGTACAACTTGCGTACCTTCGGTCGCGTTAGCTCGCATCTCGTGCCTGCATCCGGAGCGCACTTACAAAATCGCTGGAGTTGTTCGACCCAGCGCCCTGATTTGAATCCATATTGGCGCGTAATAGAGCTGTCTACTCCAGTAGGTACTTCAGATTACAGTCGTCGCGCGACCGGAGTAAATCAAACCACAGCTGGGCGACACAAAAACGGACCGGCGACTCTGGACGAAAGCGTACACAGATTTCCTTTCTTGTGATGAGATGGTGGATGACAGCGCGCAGGGCTCCGGTGGAAGTGGGCAACTGATGCGCTGGGATCAGGTCTTGGCGGTCTGAATGGCGGTGCCGATCGCAATGGGATTCTGGGAATTGCGATGACGCAACTGGGGCTCTGGGGTTTGAGCAGAGGGCGGACGCGAGAGATGCAAAGTCGGAATCTGGGCTTTGGGAGTGAATTGGACAAGGAGCCGAGAACATGCTGCAATCTGGGAATGGCGCTTTCAAGATCTAAAAGGCCCTAAAGCAGGTTAAGCCCGTCTAACAAGAATGCGATCTCTGCCACGACCGCTAGCAGACGCTAAGTGAAGAGATGCCGAGACGGGCGGACAAGGGTAGTGCTTTGGGGTCAAGGACGGCCTGGAAGCGGTACAATCGAAACAGTGCGCGCATGCTCCGAGTGCTGAGCAGAATCAAGGGACTGTTCTGTCAGACGTCAGCGCGTGGCTGTCCAGCACAATGCCTGCCTGACAGACCTCTGGCCTCAACAAGGACACAGCGCTCGTGCTATTACATACCGAGTACCAGAAACTGACTTCAACGGCGCCCGCCGAGGCTCGCGACGGGTCAGCGAGCAAACGCAACCGTGCGAATGGAAAGCGGCGACTACACGACCTGTAATTCAGCTTTCATTCTCGTGCAATCTGCGGCCTTGGAGGGTGTTGTAGTGCCGGGCTATTTTTCGGCGACGCCGTGATCCCAACGACGCAGTCTCTCAAATTGGACAACATGGGCGCGGAAAAGAAAGTCAAGTTGCCGCGTCCCGACAGCCAGCCACGACAGCACCGAATACGTGTGAATCGGCGCCGTTGGCCAATGACACGCCGCCGGCAAAACAAGCATGAGCGAGGCCGAGGAACACCAACCACCTCCGTCACTGTTCCCTACTATACGATCTCTCACACGATACACACTAGCCCACCATTCAGCACTTGCCATGTTCTCTCTCGCCCGCAATCTACCCTTGACGCGAGCGGTCGCTGGCCGCCGCTTGTTCCATGCTTCCACCCCAGCATTTGTCAAAGTCGGCGACAAGCTCCCTAATGTCGACCTCGTCGAAGGCTCACCCGGCAACAAGGTAAATCTGGCAAAAGAGCTGTCTGGCAAAGGCGTAATCATCGGTATGTCTCACGTGATCTACATCAGGTCTCGGGGCCCTTGCTGATTGGTTGGGGAACTGCAGGCGTACCAGCTGCCTTTTCTCCCTCATGCTCTGAGAACCACATTCCGGGATATGTCAACTCGCCCAAGCTCAAGGACGCCGGCAAGGTCTTCGTCGTCTCTGTGAACGATCCCTTCGTGTGAGTACCTCGGTCCCGTACCTTGTCTCCAAGCCGTGTCGCATGTTGAGACTGTCTCGGATCTTGTTGCTATCGTGTTGAGCTCGACACGAGCGTGACCGATATAGCGCCACTGGTACTAGCACAACCGCAGCACATGTCTTGACGGGATGCTTTCACCTAATGCAGTATATTTCAGAGCTGACCCTTAGCAGCATGAAGGCGTGGGGAAAAACGCTTGATCCTTCGGGTTCGAGTGGCGTAAGTGGTGCCCCCTTGCCTCGTCCTTCACTACTCCTCAATTGCGCATGACCTTACTTACGCTACATTCAGATTCGATTCCTAGGTGACCCCAGTGTGGAGTTCACAAAAGCATTGGATCTCTCCTTTGATGGCGCGTCGATCTTCGGAGGTGACCGCTCCAAGCGTTATGCTCTGGTCATCGAGAACGGTGCCGTGAAGGAGGCACATGTCGAGCCTGACAACACGGGTTTGAATGGTATGTGATCGTTCTAATATGCTCAAGATTTTATTGTGCTAATAACATTCAGTGTCTGCTGCTGAAAAGGTGTTGTAGATATTGATGCAGCGACAGTGAGATCGTTGCTGTCTACAACCATGCAATATGAAACCATGAGATGCAGTTCTGTGGAGACTACAGACTACTCACGAATAATGTCACTGCATCAATCAAAGGAGCAGAAAGCATGGACTCGCCAAAAGATTTATGACATTCGATTCTGGGATTCGTTCAATCCACCGATCAACAATAACAATCCTACCTATCACAACAAAATGTTTTATTGTCGCCGATTTTGATGGTCCATACGGGCAAATTACTGATCAGGTCATTCTCGCTTCTTTCCTTAATGTCGATGGCTTCTCGCGCACCAACAGCATCAACAACTTGAGATTGTAGGTTCAATGATCGAGAAGAGTTCATTGAAGCATTCTAGGATGGAGACTCACAAACTGGCAAGCCTTACATATACATTGCTAACATGCGCGTCTACTAAGGTCATGGGCACCAGATTTCGACTCCACTCTCACAGCTCGGCAAGCGTTCAGACGAAGTCAATGAGTTCAAGCGGGAATGTCAACGTAACAATCATCTCCACTACGATCTGCTCCAGGAACTTAGCACCTGCTCAGATACGCCAGGCATACTCTAGTTCGTATACCACAGACAAAACCCAACTCGCCTCAAGAACTAGCGAACGCACAAGCGCCCAGATCTCGTTTCTCTGCTGGCACGTGTGGACGGATATCAAAGTCGAAGATATCCATCGGCAAACCTATTGTCGTACATGCATTCGGAATATCGACGATGCCGGCAATATGTCCCTGCACCGGCGCACACGACAAGAGGAGGTAGATTTGGTAATCGTTGTATCCTATCTTCGTCAGCACTCGTCATCCAGACCATATACCACCCTCAGGAAGTCGACTCACCGAATCGTCGCAAATACTCGATCACTCTCAGACACGTCTGGCGATACGCCACCGTCGCGTCCAGATAGTGCTGCTTGCCATTCTCATCGACGCTGAAACCCTCAAAGGTGAGGTACCTCCCAGGACCAAATTGCGGCTCTACCGGCCCTGGAAGGTAGATCGGGGACTTCATGGCGAGCTGTTTCATACCGCCTTTCATCACGCTGAACTTGAGAGTAATGACACCTGCCATTTCAATCGCTCCACAGAAGGATATTTCTCCATCGCCTTGGCTGAAATGGAGGTCGCCTACGCTGAACTTTGCGCCTTTCACGTGGATGGGCAGGTAGACTTTGGAGCCACGGCTAAGAGCCTTGATGTCGCAGTTGCCACCATGTTCTGGCCGTCCTGGTATCGTTCGCGCTCCCTCCTTACCTATCTTCTCCTTCAATTCTCCCGTCGCAGACCCAGCATGCACGTTCTGCGCATTAGGCGGCTCAGCGACGGTGCGGTTGAGGTGTGTATGCGTGGAGATGAGCTCGGCTTCGCGCTTGTTCCACGTATCGAGAACTTCGGCGGAGGGCGCGCAGCCCAGGATGCCCGGGTGGATGAGCCCAGCGAAGCGGACGCCGGGGATGTGGCGCGACGAGCAGAATATGCCCTCGAAGTCCCAGATGGCTTTTGCGCTGACCGAGTGGGTTAGTCCCGCGAGCTTTTGGGAGCGAGACAGAGAAAGAGAAAGAGAAAGAGAAACAGACAGGGCAAAGCCCAACGAAACGAAAACATCATCAACTCACGCCTCGGGATATATCTCGTCCAAAAACCCACCCCCATTCTCCCGCGCAAATATCCCAGTAAACCCCCACGGCTGCTCGTCCAACGGCTGCACATCTTCAATCTCCACAACAAGCACGTCGCCAGGCTCTGCCGTCTCGATATCAAAGGGCCCGGTTAGGTAGTGGATCTTGGTCAGGTCGACGTCGCGCACGTCGTTGGCCGAGTCGTTGTTGCCGATCTGGCCACCGGTCCAGTCGACGCATTCGATTTTGACGGCCGTGTTGCAAGGAATAGAGGTGTAGCTGGGGTTGTCGGGGTGCCAGCGGTTCTGTGGTGGGAGGGTTAGATGGGGAGGAATGGGGGTGGATGGGGGATGGGTACGTGGAGGCATTCTTGCTCGGCGGCGGGTTTGTCGAGGGAGACTTTTGCGGCGTAGGGGATTGGTTGTTTGCCCATTGTGAAGCTGGAGATTAATTGAAATGCAACTTGAAAGTCTGGTAGGTGTATAAATGAAGAGCAAGAGCGCGTCAATGTTTTGAAGTGTAGGGCGTGGAGTATATAGCCAGCAGCCGAAGCGGGGAAGCACGAGTCTCTCAATGTGTATGTCAATTGCTAATCTCCTACACTATCTATCTCCAGCTTCCCGAGGATCCTCCCAGTCTACAGGGAATGCGATAAGCCCATGATACGCGCATCTGTTACGTTACGTAGCTTCTGAGCTCTACCCAGCTACCTACCGCTTTCGGAGCAAGATACCCCACTGCGGGGTGGACAGTATATCATCATCGTGCAGGGAGCTAGATGTTCGGCAACGTGGGACGTAGGCGATGAAGCCGGGATGATGCCGTTGGCTAGTGGGCGGTAGACACGCGTTTTTGCTGTGGTGCGCTGCTTGGGTTTGTCGAATGTGGTTCTGCCGAATGTCTAGGTCTCGGGAGAAAGGATGAGTCGATATCCTCAGACTAGCTAAAAGTCTTCCGCGGTGTTTGTCGTACTTCCGACTGCTGCTCTGGCTTGTGCATTGCGACATTGTACGTGTCCATGTTGTGCCATGGCATGTTCAAGAACTCGTGCTTGTTCTTCCAGCGAAGCGACTCCTCCTTGAACTTCTCGGCCTCGGTTGGTGGAGGCGGCGGGTCGGTGACTTTGGTGATGAGGTATGCTGTCGAGGCTTCTGCGAGACCGTAGATTAAGACTCCCACGAGAGGGATCTTGACGAAGATGTAGAAGCCCAGGCCGAAGCCGAAGAGAACGCCAGCGCGGTCTTTGAACCACAGCTTCTTCTGGTCTTTATTGTAACGTACACGCGCGAAGTACGGTTCGAGCTGTAGCATTGTCAGTCTAGGGTTCAAAAGGCGTACATGAGGAGCGACGTACAAGCTCACGCATCAGGGTACGGGAAGAGAAGTACGCCTGCAAAAAGGTAACGAGATATCTCCGCGGGAAGGCCAGCGATAGAACAAAGATTGCACCTGCTGGCTGGGTACCCACTGCCTTGCGAAAGGTATAGAAACTGGCTGCTGGTAGAACAAATCGACCAACGTAGGGCAGATACGACAGACCAAGGACTGCCAGTGAGATGCCAGCCTTGCGCCCCTGCTTTGTGGCATACATGATGACTGCTTGTTTCAACGGCGTCTTCTTCTCTGTTTGAGGCTTCGGTGCGTGGTTTGGGTATTGCTCGAGGTTCTGGTGGTAGAGAGCGCGGAGGTTGTGGGGGTCTTCGGTCTTGTGCTTCTGGTAGTATGTCTGGTCAACCCACCGGAGGGAGTCCATGAACCTGGCAGGATTGTCAGTCACATATGCTTATTCCTTGGTACGATGGACTTGCATCTGGTCCAGCGTTGGTGTGAGATATCGCATCATGGTCATCAGGAAGAAGGGTACTTGAAGCACCGTGTGCTCAAGGTAGTGCAGTCCACCCACGACGCTTTCGTCCCATGTGGTATGGTCCATATTGACGAACAGCGAAATGATCCATAGCAGCACCCGCACGCCAACAATCTGTGTGGCCTCGTTAGTCTTGCTTTGCCTAAGAGTGGCATGCCGGCGAGGCGGAAGCGTACGGGTATGGCGACGATGATTCGAATCGCGATGCCGGCTGCCACAGCGATGGCTGCTTGGCGGTAGTGGTCCGAAGTGAATATGCCTGGGTTCTGGAGGGCACGGTTTACTACAGACACCTGTTAGATCCGCCATGCTTGCTGTACAACAGTCTACACCCACCACCGACCAGAGTCAGCTGTGCGCCTCGCAGAATGGCATTGGGGTCGAAGTTGGACATGTCGAAATTGTCCATGTTTGCTGCTCAAGAATGAAGCAGAGGAGTACCGCAATGGACCATGGGTAGAACGTGTGTACTCGGCGGGCCTAGACCAATTCACTCGCGCGCATATCTTGCTGCGAACTGGCGGGCCAACATACGGAGTGGACATGTGGACTTATGCATTGTGACGTACATTGGCGCTAGCCCCATTCCATGCATAGGCATGCACAACGGAAGACACTACTGGGCGCGTTGTTTGCTGCGCCAGTACACAAAGAAACGTCTAAACCTCCATCTGGTCTGCAGCCGCATCTCGTCTCGTCGCAGACACTTCCATCGCAGCAGCGCCGCGCGGGGTTGGTCCGCTGATCAGTGTGAAACTCCCGCCAAGCGGAACCTCTCGAGACGCCCACCCAACCACGAGCCCCCCTCAGAACCTCGTCGAAGCGCAGGTGCAGGTGCAGGCGCTTCAGCCGACAGTCACCCAGGACAGTCACCCAGACACTCACCCTCCACCGGTTCCTTCACACACCACCACCGCCAAATCTAGCCCGACTATACGATGCTTGCCTGAAGCGCCCATCATGTCTGTTCCCGCGACCTCCAGGGCTTTCGAGCACACGCCGCATGCGTCCACCTCCGCCCGCCGCTCCTTCACACTGCCCACGCGCCCATCAATCCGGTCGACTTCTACGCCTGCGTCGAGGAACACTTCTTCGGACGGGATCGAGACACTCTTCACCTGCCCTGCTTCCAAGATTGTGTCCTTCGCTGCATCGGACCCTGCAAGGCGGCACTCCCCGTCACGGACTCCGAAAGGCAAGGGTAGCCCAGTGCGCTCGATTCCCTGGTCGTCGCTCACCGAGCGCACTCTAGCAGTCGGTAAGTGCATACCTATGCGGCTCGAGAGCATCCAGGCGGTAGACTGACTCTATGTAGGCGCCCTGCGCATCTATCGCGTGACAGCATCCAACGTATCGTTCCTCAACTCCGGCACGCTCCTCCACACCATCTTCCCGCGATCGCAATGTTGGTGCGTTGACGGCCAGTCCATCTTCGTCCTGCGAGTGCGCCAGGACTCCTACTACCGCATCGAACTGCCATATGATCGAGTGATGACCGATGAAGACAAGGCGCAGATAAGCGAATTCAAGCGTGTACTGAGCCAGGTGCTCCAGTATGAGAAGACGCAGTGTCCCTTCAGACGTGGGTCCAATGTCGAGGAGATTGAGCGTCCAAAGTCGCCGCCGCGGAAACAGCTGAAGAAGCAGCAGCCGACACAGAAGGCGAAGAATGTGGACCTTCGACAAGACGTGGGTGCCCCAGAACGGATGACAGGCCATCTAGTTCTGGCTTTGATGGGTCCGACTCTGGAACCCTATCTTCGTACGAGGAGGACGACAGATCGAGTGTCTGCACCGATAGCAGTGAAGTTGTGCCTATGTCGGCTTCTGGCTCATCTCTCATGCCTCCACCGGAACTTCCTCGCGTGCCCAAGTCTAACCCCGCTCGCAGACTGTCCATCTCGGAGCGTGTGAGCATGTTCCAGGGAATGCGTTCGGCCACAGCACCAATTGTGACGAATCGAAATGTCTCGGCCATGTCTATGGAGCGCATCCCCGAATCGCCGCGAAAGGATGAGCAACACGGCGACGTCCAGAAGCCCATCCTGGAACGGAATGTATCGGAAGCTGCGAGTTTAGCATCGAGTGCAGACTCGTTCTACTCTGTCCAGACGACTCCATATGCGACACCATCACCACAGTACTTAGATGCAGAACCTGACTTTCTGAATCCATGGGAAGGCAGTGCGACGAAGCAGGAGGAAACAAGAGGTCGATCTATGCATCGCCGACAAGTGTCTGAAATTACTGTGCGGGCTGCCTCTTCTGAGGTGGTGAACAAGTCTGCTCCAGTGACACCTACGGGTCCATTTCACCAAGGTGCCAGCTCAATAGATGAGATGCTTCCCTCGTCAGCACCATCAACTCCGCCTCTCGTCAGCGACTCGGATGATGACAGTGTTGACTCGCCGGGAATGACTGTCGCGACTCCTCCAGATGCAATTCGTATGAAAAGACTTACTGGGGCCTCTCAAAGGCGTGCATTCTCACCAATGCCACAGCCCAAGAACCTCTTCATTCCAAGCAAACCCGCTACTGTTGGCAGTCAGTTTACGAGTGCGTTGGTCCGCAAGACGTGCGAATTAGTTCTTGGCCCACCATCACACCTCGTCTCGTTAATGCTCCGCATTGCGGCAAGCATCTCCAATATCGGTTTCGGCTCGTATCGCGTCCGGCGACAAGAGAAGATTCCGTGCTCTTGGGAGTCCGATGATGAGCCTGAGTGGCCGGAAGAGGACGACTTCGGCATTCCTCTCAACAACATTGGGGATCCTACGCAACGTCGACGGACATATCTCGGAGACCTGGATTAAAGTCGACACTATGACCAAATCACATACTTCTAGGTGACGGAACCAATATATTTGCAGGCTGTCCGGCAGCATGTTTGGAAGATATTGCATATGGCAGAGAAGATACCAGGCGTTTTTACCTTTCTTTCTGGCATTTACAGGCGACAGGCGGCATGCGGGCCCGCCTTGGCTGCATTGGTACGATTTTAGCATTTCGATGGGTACACGATTGTAATTTACTTGGCACGCATGAACAGCCGACGAGCGGGTCTCTCATTCACAGGACGATACGTAGGCACGCAAGCTGAATCCACAGTTCGCATAAATGATGATACATTGAATACAGCTTCAGTTTCTCACGGCTGATCATGCCATGGGAAGATAAACTCATGCATCCATCGGAATCCATCGAAAACTCACCGCATCCTACACGAGATTGTCAGGAGGGCAGCAAGGAGCGGCCACTTGACTTGTTTGTCGGAGTCAGAGCGCTGCAGTCTAGCTTTGCTACTGCATGCATCCGGGGTGTTGTGTCACTGGGAGGGTACTGCCGAGCACTTTTCGTTTGCTCCGCGATGCGCGCAGCGAATACCTCTCCTCGAGAACACAACACTCATTCATCTCAGGTCATCGGACCATGTACACAGGATACACCCAGCAGATAAAGCTAAAATCGCTTACATCCAAATGTAAACAAAGATGTTGAGATCGAAGCTTCTTGACGCCGCTTGATATAGCGGTCTGGCATGGCAGGGGTGCAGACACGTAGCAGCGTCGTAGCTTTACACACCGTTTGATCGCGCCCCAGTCCAGCCCGTCTTTGTCCCACAGATGCATCAGTCGTCCGTCAACGTGATCCAATGACGTCGCGAAACTATCCCTATTTTTGCCGTAGCTTGTAGCTAGTCAACAGGCTTGATGACCGACACTTCCCACTTGCAGGTTCTCGCGAGGCGGGCGCATTTGCACGGGAACGTTCCGAACCCGCCTCCTCGTTAAATTACCCACACGCCAGTTTCCAAGGTTGTGCACGAGAGATGCTTTGTCCACTTCGCCATCAGCTTTACACCTCACCCGCCATTTTCCATCACCCACCTTGATCCCGCGCTGGATGGTTGTCACCACGCAAGAGCTTGGAACAGATGGCTTCCACAGAAACGCTGAGTCGGACGCCTCCGATCCCGCCACGAAACCCATTTCGACGTCTCTCGAGCGCCTCCAAAACATCACCTGCGCTGCCCGATAAACCATTCCACATCGAAACTGAATTGATACCGAAACCACTCTTCAGCAGAAGGACCACGCTTCCATCGAAAACCGTTCATGTCGTCACCGTAGAGCTACCATCACCTGGATTATCGCCAATCATCTTACCATCGGACACGTCAACCATTTCATCAAATCGATCATCGTTCGTGAGCGTAAACTCATCGCGACCTTCTACCGCAGCGACATCTGGACCGAGTGAATCATCTTCGCGCGCAGGTTCGCTGACTTCTGCTTCTCCCGCGCTCGGTTGGGTGCCACCATTGCACGTCGCAAAGCCACTCTTCGGGAGGAGCAACACCCTACCATCCAGAGCAGCACCCATCGCCAGGGAGGAAATTTTGTCGCAGCGCCCCCTATCGAACACGTTTCCATTTGAACCTTCAATCAAAGTCCCTGGGCTAAAGTTGCCGCCCGCACGGACCAATTGCTTTTCTCCCGATCCCGTTTGGACACCCCCTAAACGCGCTCCGAACCCCTTACCAAACCGACCTTTGAGGAGGACGCAGACCCCGAGAAAGGAGACGCTAAGAAGTTTGAGGGCGAAAGATTCAGTCACTTGTCTGCAAGTTACCCCGGAGCGCAAAACTGTTGCGCGTTCCCAAACCGACCCACCGAAGAAGACTGCGCCCGAGAAGCGCATTTCACTGTCGAATATGCGAACATACAGCATGGACGCCAAGGGCGTCTTTATTTTGAACGAGTAAGATTGCCTTGTAAGTCACCCGAGGAAGCAGGGCAACACGGTGGATTCTGACAACGCCAGATAATGATTCATGAACCACTACACTTCGCGCAATTGTCTTATATATAGAAGGGCTTTAATATGCGCAACAGCCAACGCATTCATGAATGTAACAACAACAAGGTAATCAAGGGACGGTGTGCATGGGGATAAAGGCGTCAATGATTTTACGATACCATGGGTCGGCGTTTCAAAGGTCATGCTTCTGACTCTCAACTCCGGCGGGATCTGTCGGCGCACAGGTGCTTCTCATGGAAACCATGACAGGAGCGAACCACTGGGTTCTCAGCTCTACCACACTTAATACGCCTAATACGCCATCTCTGATCAAATATAATCGATCCTTCATCACACGTGCATTTCCGCAGAGCCGCAGACGTAGTCCTGCAAAGCTTACCTCAGTCACATGTGGCCTGCTGACCCCAATACCTACGACAAGAGGCGCAGTTCTGTCGCACATCGGCTTTATTGGCCAGGCACTTCGAGGAGGCCCGTGTGCAGTCACCGAAGTGCCTACACCGCGAAGGTCGCACCCCATTTGGACATCAGATCGCAATATTGACTGGCAAATAATATGGTGTTGCGCATGGCGATCCACACAAACTGCGCCGCATATCCGAGATGGCGCAGCAGCGCTGCCAAAAACGTGTCACACCTTGCCCTGTGCAGTATCGTCGGGTCAGCGTCTCGTCTTGGCCCCCATGCCGCATGGGAATAATGCAGCACAACGCACGCACTGTCGAATACATATGAACATGGCGCTAGCTCTCTATGTCCGGGCTCAGAACGGGCGAATTTCGATCCATGGTACGGTGTGTCAGTTGATTCACCACAATAACGTCACAGCCTTGTAGGCAACCAGTCTTCATGACCTACTGACTCACGCCTCACATTGCCACGAGTATAGCCTCTTGAAAGGACCTCTTTTCAGACACATCTTCCATATAAGAGTGCCAGGGTGAAGTCTTTCTCGAGACAGCATAGCGTTGCACTAGAATCAAGCAAACAATCCACGACATACACTCAGGCATTCGAGTTACTCGATCGATCAACTACATACACGGGTACACCCCGGGAAAAGCATCACAATGGAGTTCTCAGAACCAGAAAGAAACCCAAATGCACCACTGCGTTTGCTATCTTTGGATGGAGGAGGAGTACGAGGATTATCTTCGCTGATGGTCCTTGACGACCTCATGGAGAACATAGCACAAGAAGAGAAGCGGATAGGTCGACGGGCACAAAATGACCACTCGCCACTGAAGCCATGTGACTACTTTGATCTGTAAGTAATAGAATGTAGCAAAAACAAGCACACGTTACTAACATTCACTAGTATTGGTGGCACATCCACTGGAGGCATAATCGCAATCCTGCTGTCTCGTTTACGACTAGATTGCAAGCAATGCATAAGTATTTACTCCAAACTTGCGGAGCAGATCTTCAAGCATGACCGCTCTTTCAAAGCCTTTGGCATGAAGATTCCAACGGGTGCCACTCGATTCTCAGGAACGGTACTCGCCAACGCCATCAAATCGGCACTGAAAGAACTAGGCTTCGACGAAAATGAACTCATGTGGGACGAGGCATTATTTGAAGAGGTCGACGAAGCAAGTGAACTGCCAAGAGATAGCATTTGGGCGGATGCAGATGCCGACTCAGAAGCACCACTTACCGACAGTCCCGTTGCTTCAACGAAAGCCATGGACATAGTCATCAATCCTCCCGCGAATAATCAACAACCACCCGGAACTGCAACGCAGACTCAGAACACACTGTACGGTAGCTCGCCCTTCTCGCCACAGCCTCCAGAAAGGACGGACACCTGGAAACTACACCGGAAGCAATCAGTGCACAGAAAAGTCAACGCTAAAGGATGTCGTGGCTTCGTCCTTACATCACTCAAGAATGCTTTGGGTCTGCCACGGATCCTATCTACATACGACCCCAACGACCGCACTACTCGCATATGGGAAGCCCTCCGCGCCACAAGTGCTGCCCCAACCTTCTTCGAAGAAATGCAATTCGGGACTCCGAAAGTAACCTACCTCGATGGCGGTGTAGGCTTCAACAACCCCTGCGCCGAAGTTGATTACGCTGCAAAAGCCCTCTGGGAAGGCCGCTCAATCGGCGTCGTCGTCTCCGTCGGCACCGGCCTGCAGTCCATCCCCAGCGTCAAGAAAATCGCCTCCTGGCTCCCCTTCGGTCTCGGGACGGATATTTCCCTCGCCTCTGCGCTCGCTGGCATGGCTACGAGCACCGCGCGTGTCGACAACGAGCTCAAACGCATGTACTACAACTCCGACACGAAATACTACCGCTTCGATGTCGATCGCGGACTTGCCAATATTTCGCTTGAGCAGTGGATGAAGGAAGACGAAATGGCCGCCCTCACAGAGCAATACATGCGCGACGCCCGCCAGATAAGGAGTGCGAAGCACTTTGGCGAAATCATGGCGAAGCTCTCCGCCCTCCCTCCCCGCTTCTCCATCGCCGCCACGAAATTTCGCCTCGGCATGACGGGGCGCGGCCTGATGGACCAATCCTTCCATCTCGTGCAGCTCGACTTCAAAACGGGCATGCCGCTGGGCGTCACTTCGGGCCCCGATCGCATGTCCACGTCTCCGAGCGGCGACCACGGCCTCGCCCTCTCCTCCTCTGGCACCCTCAAGGAAATCTACCCCGTCGCCGAAGACCTGGACCACGACGGGCGCCGCGAAGAAGCAGCCGTGTACCAATGCCTTTCTGCGGAGAATGTCTGCCTGCGCACGATGAAGACCGGCATTCCACAAGGCCGCTATAAAGTCCAATTCATCGTCTCGTTTCACGACACTTCCCCAACGCACATCGCGCCGCACGACCTCGTGTTCAGCGTCGGCAAGCCGCTCGACCCAAACACATTCATTACGAGATTTGTGGATGTCAAGATCACGCCGGATGTTGTGCCGGTGTTGATGCATCCGGATGCGGTCAGGGTGCGGGTGGGCAGGAAGAGGTATGAGGAGTATAGAGGCAAGGGGTGGGTGGAGATTGAGGGGGATGTGGAAGTTTGTGTGGGGTTAGATGGGGCGTTGGGGTTTATTGTGAGTAAGAAGTTTAGGAAGGGGGAGGTTGTGGATGGGTGGAGTTTTGGGGGCGTTAGGTTGGAGCCGATTTTTGGGGCGCGATGATGAGAGAAGGTTTTGGTGCGGTACATTTCTGATTTTGATATTTAGCGAGCGCGTTTCAGATGTGGAGGAATATAGAGGGAATAGCGATGTTGGGTTTGTGTTCATGCATGAAGCACGCGTTATCTTTGGAACGCGCTGTTGGTACTCCTTCATACAGCTAGCTACCCATGTGAGCTCGATCACTGCATTGACCATCAGGCACGCACCACGCCTTACAGAGCTCACTGACATCGCTGGAATGTTTCTGTCGCGGAGACGCAAATTGCACTCAACCAAGTATAAACTGTCACCCGAACGTTAGCTCCCTTTCTCTTCCAAAGACCTCCCTTTTCTCCCATTTCAAAATCTCACCAAGAGGCTAAAATGTGAGCCTGGGTTGCCCGTGTACCAAAATCAACATCTACAAGCTTCATGAGAAGCCACCCGGGCGGTATCTCAAACCCCAGCAGTACCTGTCTATGTCCAAACACTGACTTCTGCTGTTTGTCCTCATAAACACTGGGATCTCCATTCTTCTCTTGAAATGTGACTTTTATCAAAAATCCACTACTGGGTCGGGACATGTGGTTGTCGTTTCGAAAACAGAAGTCTAGCAATTCATGTCTTCTCCGGGCTATTCCATCACGTCTCAAAAACTACTCAAAACGCTTTGATTACTTCGCTATGAGCTTTGTGTCCCGCTCCCTCGAACAATGTTGGTTATAAAACGTGTTTTTGCGATGTGCTTTACTGGCTCCTCGATCACTTCGCAATGCAATGATTATACCAAAAGGGACGTCGACGAACCTATGGATTGAAACACTCGGTGTCGAAACCACTTCCGTGGGTTGGCATGGCTGAAGACAGAAGCCTTTGCGTTGGAAGTTGTGCAGAAGATTTCCTTGTCTCCAGCACTCGTTGCGGGCTACACGCACAAAAAACTGCAGTACAGGCCGTTAATGACAGGCTTGCTTCCCGAAACAAACGCCATATGCACCTAGCATATATTCCGCGCTGGAATTATGTGTTTAATCTCACAGAAGCAAAACAGCAGTCTTTCAAAAAATCGGAATTGCCACGTATTATATACTCTTCTCTTCTTCCAAAATCCGAATTGCATTCATTCATGGACGCTGCTGTCTCCTGCTTCTGTCTTCTACTAAAAATCTGGCTATAAACACAAAGCTTTTGCATACATGGCCATCTTCGACATGAAAGGTTCTGACTTTGTCCAAAACGAGAGGACAGAGATTTCACTTGAGCTGGAACTCCTCCTCCAAAAAGCCGAGCTACAAAAAGAATGTCTTCTCCCTCTTCTAAGAAATCACGACTTCACAGTTTCACTCATGAGATCTCACGACCCGAAACCCATCTACCCAGACTTCATGTTCCGGATTCTGGCCTTCAAAAAGCCATAATTGCCTGCTTCATGTGCTCTTAAGGTCGCGTTCACAAAGGTACGACACAGGCCTCGATGCGCCCGAGACGGTTCCAATATGCTATCGTACAGCAAAGGCTGTGGGGTTAAAACCCGATATCCAACCAATGGATATTTCCTTGCGACTTCTAGAGTCAAGCGCTAAGTTACAATACGATCCTTTTCAAAAGCACATATGAAGATGATCCATGCTGTTTTGTTGTCCTCCGAAAAACACCGACGCTTACATCATGAGCGGAAAGAGAGTCGAGCTCATGTACAAACGTATCGGCAACTTGTGCTCAATCAGTCGCCAGTGGTATACGAGACATGTATAACCCCCTCCTGTGCCGGATTACAGACCTAGCATCCTTATTCCTCACGCCTTTTCAAAACAAGAGGAAAGGGAAGGATGGGTTTCCGGCTATGCTCAAAATAACATGTCTTCGACGTCAAGTGTCCAAGCAAAGTCAAAACACACCATCTATATATATATATATATATATATATATTCATTATGACAAATTACCAGTATCAGATGAACGGCGTCCGGTCCAGAGCACATATAGAACCCTCTAATCATCCACCCATGATTATACACTGAAATATTTGTGTGCCTCGCTTTTTCCAAAACGAAAAACCAAAATGCCAAATGTCTCCTTTATCCTTCCTAAAACTGAAATTGGCTGCCCTCATGTCTACTCTCCCTCCTTTGCACTGAAAACCTTGCACGGAACGCAGACTTCCAGAGCACGTATAAAGCCTGCTCATCGTTCACACCAGACCTCACATCAAACATCCTCGTCCCTCGCCTTTTCCAAAAACAAAAACAACTACAAGTGGAACCTATGTCTTCGCTGCTCTATCCACAAGCAAAAATATCTGCCCCAATGTCTTCTTCCTTTCCTGGCTCTGAAGTCCTTACATGGAATGTGGTATGGACTTGAAACAAAAGACAGGGAAGACACACTGACGTTGAGACTCTTCGAAAAGCCTAATCAGAGGCATCATGCCTCCTCTGAATTGTTGCGTGCGTGCAAAGCATGGTGTCATTGGATAAAGCGGATGAAGAATGTATCATATTCTTTGCTGCGAGATTGAAAACACATGGCGTGGGAATATGTACAAGTACTTCTACCCGCTGATTGACAACAGTCAAGCCTTTTGACATTAATTTGCGTCTCGAGCGAGAGGACTTGATGACCTCATGGTACTCCATACGGAGGCACTAGTCATTGCGATGGTGATCATTACTTCTTCGTTGCAGTGATGAAGCTCATCATCACGAGTCTATAGTGCATTTCGCTTGACCCTGACTCTAACTATCGCCTCCAGCCCAAGCCGCTACATACTCCTGCCAGCTATATCGTACAGTATCCTGCACTACACCACTCCGTCCATCTCCCCACTTAGACAATCATCTCCAACTCCCTAGCATAGCCCAGCGTATTCTCAATGACCTGATCGCTCGTGACCAAGATGTCCTTGCTCAAGTAGTCGTCCTCCTGCTGGGGGAAGTATATCCTGCTATCCTTGACAACCCAGCCACACTCCTTCGCAAAGTTGACGACGCTGCCTTCCGAGTCGAGGAACAGGAGCGACTTGGCGTCGGACACGGGGATGGAGGGGTAAGCGCGCTCGCTGCAAGATGCGATTTCCTTGCGGATGGTGCCGATGAGGATCTATTATCGTATTAGTCATTAACCTGGATGTCGCGTGCATAACATACCTCAGTAAACAGTCCAAACTCCTCACTCGGGACCCTCTCCTTCTTCGTCTCCCCCCACACTCTATCGTAGCTGCCCTCCATAAGCGCCTGCTCCAACCGTATCGGGTACTGAATGAACTGGTCGTCCTCAAGCTTCTTGCCGTCCTGCGCCGCCGCCACCTCTAGCGTCTCGAGCAGCGTGTGGAACCCCGCATAGTCGCCCTCGCTCAGCAGGAGCAGCAGGTAAAGGCCCGTGACTTTGCTGTAGTTGCCACCGTCTTTGGGCAGCGCTGACTCGGGTAGCGAGTAGAAGGGCTGCAGCTGCTGGAAGTAGCGTGTGAAGGATACCGTGTCTTTGAGGCGGATGGAGATGATGGCGCCGAGTTCGAGCGTGTCGCGCGCGAGCTGCAGGTGTTTTCGTGATGACTTCTCCTGGGGGATGAGGGCGTTGAGGTTGAGGAGCGCGATCTTGGCCTTGGACAGCAGTGATGTTGACTGCTCGTAGTTGTGCGATTGGAGGGTCTTGTGCAGCTGCTGGAGCACGGTTGAGAGTTCCTTCTCGGCCATGTTGTGCGGTGATTTGGGGATTGAGCCGATGTGTGTGGTTGATGTGCGTGGTGGGAGTGGAGGTGAAGCGGTGGGTGTGGGCGTTGTGTTTGTTGCGGCGAGTGGAAGCTTAGGCGGAGCTTGACGTGACGACGATGTTCGGCGGAAGCTTCTCGGAGGAGGTGGAGCGTGCACGACCGGTCGCTCTGCCCTCCACGGCACCTCATACCCTTCAAATGTACGATTTCGGATGTACGACATGATTATATGCTGGAACTGAGCAATAGAGACCGTGTAATCACTTGTATGTTTTAATATTGCGATACAGAGGGTACTCGCGTAGATAAATGACCCAGCTACTACTTGAGCCTCAGATGACCTATGCAGTCACACTGTCTCACATTGGAGGAGACAATACAGCCTGTGCAAAAGCAACGATAGCACACCGACATGGCCCAGGCTACAGTATTTCTTGACCATTCTAGCTGCTTGCGCCGACATTATCTGCAGATCTGGCCTGATAAGGCTGACCGGATTGGCACTGCGTACATTGTTGTTGCTCGTCTTACATCAGGAACATTGCTGTGTGGAGAACAACAGAACGCCACCCGTCCAAGTCCGACATGACAGAGCTTGACTTTGCATATCGACTCATTTTACCTCCGCCGACCAAACTTGCCCTTCGCACCGCCCTTTGCGCCTGTACTGCTCTTTATCTTCAGCCTCCGGAAGTTTGCATGGGCTGTTGCCTTGATCTTTCGAGCTGCTGTCTTGACACCTCCCTCCTTGGGTTGATCTTTGACTTCCTCCGTCTTCTTCTTCTGTACCTTGCGCTGCTTCGGTGTGTGAGAGACATCGCTAGCGTAATCTGAAATGTCATCTTCGGAATCTACATCGTCTGCTGCGTGACCGGTAGCCTGTGTCTCTGCCACCTTGTCCTGATCATCTTCCGAGTCGTCATGTAATTGAAGTGCTGACTCTAGCTTGGATTTGATGAAGTTGGGTCGCACTGATACGCTGTTAGTAGGCGAAACTACCATAATATATATAGACTTACTAATGACACGCCTTGTCTGTCTCTTAAGACCCTTCTTCTTCCAAACTCTTCTCGGCTTTCCATCTGGACCCAATTCTGGCTCTTCGTCCTCATCCTCTTCAGTTTCTAAGCCACGATCGGGCCCCAATGGCATCGCTGCCTGGCTGTCCTCGACTAGAATTTGGGGTACACGAAGCTTCTTGGGCGGCATGGATATACCTGCCTCCTCCATTTCCATTTCCCGCATAATGTCTGCTTCTTCATCGAGCTTATCGTCTTCGTCCTTCTTCATGGCTTGTATCATAGCGCTGAGACTCCTTCCAAGACCGCGGCGTTTCCACGGCGCTGGCCGTGGTGTTGTCTCATCCGCTTCGTCGATGGGCCCCAGTAAGTTGCCTCTCCGCAGAAACGCTGGCGTTGCTAGCCCGCGCGTTGTAGAACTTGGTGTGCCCTCTTCCTCCATCTTGCGTTTCTTCGGCGTCACGAACTGGTTCAACATAAATCTCTTCCCAACCGAAACTGGCGTTCGCTCCCCTCGAGCCCTCGACTCCAGCGAAGTCTCGCTTGCTGCCTCTTGTGACCTTCGACTCGGTGTCTGAAGGATGTTCAGCTCCACATCTCCCAATACTGCCCTCCTCTTGCTTGGTGTGCCTGCTGGTAGCATGTCGAAAAGACCGAGCACAATGCCGTCTCGTTGAGGGGTCGGTCCAATTACACTCGGTCCTTGTGGGGACAGAAACTCTGGAGACTGTGGTATGGGTTCCGATGCAAGCTCTTCTGCTCTTTTCCTCTTGAGCGGGGTCGAAGTCTGATATTTGGGCGCCGCTTTGGGCGTTCGCTCAGCATCGCGGGTTGCTTTTCGGCTTGCGGTTCGTTTCGAGGGTGTTTGTGGGGCAGATTGAGCAGTCAATTTGCCTCGCAGCTTGTTGTACTCTTTGTACTTGTTGGCTGTAGTCACTTGGTTAGAAAGCCTCTTCAAAGGACGGTGTCGCGTGCGTACAGATCTCCTCGTTGGCCTTGATGTCGTCGCGCCCAGCTTTGCGGCCATCGTTCTGTGCAGCAAAGTTCTTCTCCCATAACTTCAGGTCGTTACGCAGTTCATTGCAGCGCTGTTCGGTTTCCGTGATACTCATAGCGAAATACGTGGTGGAAGTTTAGAATAAAGGGAGTGTAGTGGGGATAGCGGCCGAATTGAAGATCACGCAACGCGACGCGGTACGGGACGCGACGAAAACTCGCGCTAGCCAGCCCTATCGGCACCACTCCGGAATTAACGAAACGTGAGCACGAGCAATGGCTATTCCAAGATCCGCAATAATTCACTCCTGCATGTCTTGACAAATCACAAATTGCACAAGCATTCTCAAGCAATCAACGGTCTATTCTTCCAGACGAGCATAAGCATAAGCATCAGATATGTTTTACAGGATACTATTCACAGACTCCCCACTCGAGAGCTCAAGATCATGCCCGCTGATGCTGAAAAGAAAACGTGAACTGAATTGGAGGGGAATCTAGTAATGGACGGCCTTGTCGTAGGTGGCCATAGCAGCCTCCTTGAAGGCCTCGGCGAGCGTAGGATGAGCGTGGCATGTTCGTGCAACGTCTGAATCGATGTTAGCAGATATATTTTGTTACGGTCTGGATTAAACATACCTTCCGAGCTAGCACCGTACTCGAGCGCAAGAGTTCCCTCTGCAATCATCTCACCAGCGTTGGCACCAATGATGTGGATGCCCAATATCCTGTCAGTCTCGGCATCTGCGAGGAACTTTACGACACCTTCAGAGTCGAGGTTGGTCTTCGCTCTTGAGTTGGCAGAGAAGGGGAAGCTTCCAGCCTTGTACTTGATACCGGCAGCCTTCAGTTCCTGCTCGTTTTGGCCAACCCATGCGACCTCAGGATGGGTGTACATGACGGAGGGAATGGCTCCGTAGTTGACGTGACCGTAGCCCTTGTGGATGTACTCGACGGCGGCGACAGCCTCCTCCTCAGCCTTATGGGCAAGCATAGGTCCGAAAGTACAGTCACCAATGGCGCGAATGTGGGGGATCTTGGTGCGGTACTCCTGGTCGATGATGAGGCGGCCCCTCTCGTCAACCTCGAGACCAATGTTGTCAAGACCAAGACCGGCAGTGTATGGGCGGCGACCGATAGCGACAAGAACGACATCGGCGTCAAGCTATGCAGTGTTAGTTGATTCTTGAGTTCTGGTTTAAAGTTTGGCTTACCGTCTCCTCCTTGCCACCCTTTGCGGCCTCAACGTTGATCTTAACACCAGCGTCATGGACCTCACCAGCGGTGACCTTGGTGTTGAGCTTGAACTTCAGTCCCTGCTTTGCAAGGAACTTCTGGGACTGCTTCGCGATGTCTGCGTCCATACCAGGGCCACCAATCTGACCAAGGAACTCGACAACGGTAACCTCAGAACCGAGACGCGACCAGACGGATGCCTATTTTTGTCAGATCAATCCAGAAAATCACCATGTTGTCCTTACCATTTCGAGACCAATGATGCCACCGCCAATAACAGCCATCTTCTTAGGGACCTCCTGGAGCGCAATGGCGCCAGTGCTTGTGATGACCTTCTGCTCGTCGATAGTCAGGCCGGGGAAGGGAGTAGCCTCGGAGCCGGTGGCAATGAGAATGTTCTTTGCACGGACGGTAGTCTCGCCGCCCTCAACGAGGTTGACTGCGACGGTGTGCTCGTCCTGGAAAGCGCCAGTGCCCTTGATGTACTCGACGTTGTTCTTCTTGAAGAGGAACTCGATACCCTTTGTCAGGCCCGAGACGGAGGTCTCCTTGGCCTTCATCATGGCGGGGAGGTTAAGCTTGACATCGCCGACCTCGATACCGCGGCCCTTGGTGTCGTGGAGGATCTGGTGGTAGAGATGCGAGTTGTTGAGGAGGGATTTTGAGGGAATGCAGCCGACGTTCAAGCAGGTTCCACCGAGGGAGCCACGCTTCTCGACACAGGCGACCTATAGGCATCGTCAGCATTCCTGTTCTACAGTTGTTCGCCTGGCTGTCAAACCTTCATGCCAGCCTGTCCCGCCTTGATAGCTGCGACATATCCTGCGACACCGCCACCGATGATGACCAAGTCCTTTTCCTCTGTGCTATGTCAGCGCCAGCCCATATCTTGATCTCTATATTGATGCGACGCACCAGCTTCGGAGGCGAAGCCTCGTCGTAACCGATTCTGGAAGTAGATGTTGGATGCGCAGAATGTGCTTTGGGAGACGGGGCGCGTCGCCCTCTGGGCGGCGCGGGGCGCAAGTGACCGAAACATGATGGAGAGAGTGTAGGAAACTAGAGATCAAGAAGAACCGTGGTTTGCACGGCTAGGGTGACAGGCGTCAATGGATGGGGTATTATCGGAAAGGTCGTTGAGCTCTTTTTGCGGAGCTTCGGCCGGGAACGTTGCTGGGTCGCGGTTGGACCCGGTTTAGTTAGTCAGCTCCGAGCTTCACTCGCCTCCAACTTGTCACAAGCACGTTTCGGAGGCAAATGGCAAACAATGACTTGTACATGACAGGTGCTCCGGGCATAGCTCAAAATTAAGCTTCTTGTCGATGGTCTTGACGAATACAATGGCAACTCAAAAAAGTGTGGAGCCGATGTTGAAGGTACTGATGTCTTCTTCCCATACCCATCAAGCTCTGCGCATCCAGTCGAGCAGGGCGTTTGTGGACTCTAGAATTTAGGTATCATACAAGTTTTCAAAACTCCCTCCTATATGCATTTTTGCTGAAGTCAAACTCACTTGAACAAACTCCTCACTCGTCCTACACTCTAGTCCTCGTCCATCGTGGTGGTGGTTGCCAGTATGCGGGTCAACATATCCATAACGGCCTTGCACCCCCATGCTACCGTCTCCTTCTCTCCCTTCTCTACGATCTCAGTCTTGACCACCGCCTTCTTCATGAAGTACTGCAGCCCAGCAATCATCTCCGGAGCCTGGTCCACCTCAACAAACACTTCCAGTAGTGCCTTGTTGTTGCGCTTGTCTTTAGAGCCTTTCTGCGACTCGAGGATGGTGGTGACTAGCAAAACCTCGACAAAGATTTTTGTCTTGGGCTGGAGGTAGGGGAAGTTGAGATTCTTCAGGCTGGTGATTGGGAGGGCCTTGCGTCCGATGAGCGTGCCGTACAGCTTGCCTTGGTTCACCATCTTCCGCAACGATTGATTGTCGCTCTCGGCAGAGGCTTCGTCGTCATCTGAGTCCTCCGCTCCGTCTTGTCGCTCACCTAGGCTCTTGAAAATGTCCCATAACGCAAACTGAAAGCTCTTGCGCGTCTTGTGATCAGCACAGACTTTTCGAGCAAGTACTGTATAGTACGGGTTATATGTCTTCTCCGCCCCCGCACAGTGAACGATCACCCTTGGGATCTCTGTCTCCTGTGACCTTTTGAGGTTGAGCTTGTTCAACCGAATTTGCGCATCCTTGAAGTCGCTTGCGGACATGATGGATATGAAAATGGCTCTTCGGACATCTGTGTTCATGCGTTGCTCCCGAGCGAGCTGTACCAAATCAACCTCATCATCATCATCATCATCCTCCTCCAATGTACCGGCCTGTTGCGACTTCGAGTCCCCAGATTTATCTTCTACGGTCGCCTCACTGACAACGTCATTACGCCAGCTAGCTCCCACCATCCACCATTTCCCCTTCTTGTCAGTGTCCTGGATGTCTTTGAGTCCTATTCGAAGTGGTTCTGTAGCTTTCAGATTTCGCGTACTCAGTGTACCCAGCTGTTTCTTCATCCGCGTAGTATGCTCTCTCGAAATTGCCGATGCAGCCACACCTGTCTTCATGCGATTGTTCTTGAGGTCATTGATCGTCTCGATCATGAACTTCGTGCGCACTGGCAAATTGTTCTGGCCGACCTTGGCGACCGACTTCTGCAGCAAGACCACAATATCTTTCAACGCTGTGGGATCGTCTTGGCGTAATTGTGGGCCGGCTGCTCGAACTATCCGCAGTAGAAGCTCTGTGTTGATATCTGATAGCTCGTCGAGGAAGAATCGAACATAGTCAAAGACCAGATTGCTGCCAATGACCTGGAATGTGTAGAGCTCTGCCACGACTGACATGAGATTCGTGGTGTGCTTCCCAGATCCAGCCTTGTTTGTCTGGTAATGTTGGTCAAACTCTGAGACGATGCGCTCCACAATCTGAGCCCCAAAGTCCGGCCCGATGACCTTGTAGATTGCAGCAATAAATCCCGCATGTAGAATAAGGAATGTGTCTATAAGACCACTGGGATCTGAAAGCATTCCCATAAGCAGGTCCACCAGCGTGGTATTTACATAACCTCGGGGGTTGTTCTGGTATACTTGCTCAATCTCGCGCAAGATGGAGATAATGTTGGCTTCTGACAGACGATTGAGTAAACCCTGCACCTGTCTCTTCAATCTTGACAAAGCCTCGGCATCAGACGAAGGCGGGCCTCTCAAAGCCGGTGGTATGTATTTCGTCGGTTGTGCAGAGTCCGCCGTGACAGGCGCGACGTATGGATTTTCTCGCACTCGAGACTGGACAGGCTGGGCTTCGTCGTCGCTCTCGTTGTCGCCCTCATCCTCCTCAGACTCGAAGTCATCTAGAGCAGAACCCTCCTCTTCGTCCGACAGATCCCCGTCTTCTAGTTCTGCTGCTAGCTCGTCTGTACTGAACTCTTCCATATCCGTCTCATCTTCGCTAGACTCCTGTGGTGCGGCCCCAAGAGCCTTCTTCCTCTTACTTGCAAGCCAGGCATCATCTTCGTCTCGCTTCCTCTTCGGGACCTTTCCTGCTGGCTCATCCTCGCTGCTTCCAATGTCGCCCAGATCACCAAAGATGTCGTCGAGTCCGTCGTCGGCGCCCTTCGACTTCTTCTTGCCCTTTACACCCAGCTTCTTCTCTAGCGCAGCAATCTCCGCACTCTCCTGATCTATTCGTTCTTTGACGGCACGGGAGACTTTGGCTGGTGGTGGGCTCTCTTCCCTCGGCGGCGACGTTTTCTTGAGAATGCTCTTCAGAGGCTTCTGAGGCTTCTCCTTATCTTTGACCTTTTCCTTCTTCTCTTTTGCGGCTGGTGGCGGCGGCGTGCCTTCGTCTGTGACGTTGTCCCAGTCAACCTCTACCTCCTCCTCGTCAGAGCTTGCCTCTTCTCGCATTGATTTCCTCTCATATTTGCTGCGCACAGGTACTGGTCGTATTGGATGCGTCTTTCTCCCCTGCTGTGTCTTCTTCTCTACGCGCTCGGCTTTGCGCTTGTCTTTGCGATTGAGCTGTCCATTGCGCCCTCTATTCTTTTGGTTGCGATTTGCTGGATCTGACTGGAATGAGAAACGTGAATTCATACAGGTTGAATTGAAGCACCTACCGAACTGTTCTCGCAATTCTTGGGGCAATTTTGGCCCTCCATACGTTTGGCGCATAATGTAAGGTGTGAGCAGAGTCGCGATCTAAAAAAAAGTTGAGAACATCAGAAGTCGGCTTTTAGAAAGTCGGATCCCCGCGTCTCCGCCGCTCCGCACTGACGACCACCGTCCCACCTGCACACCTTGACCATACCCATGGCGCGTTTATAGTACACATTCACACACACAATGGGTCGCGAGCACCTTAGCAACGAAGAGGTAGCTCAATTCAGCCTCTCTATCACTTGCCGCGACTAACAGCATAGTTCTTCGCCCAACTCGGCAACCTCTTCGAACACAACCGCAAAAAGGGCCATGGCACCGTCTACCTCACACAAAAGCGCCTAGCCTTCGACTCGGCATCTGTACCCCCGTCACCTCAAAAAGTTGCAGATGATCCGTTATGGGATACTCACCCTGAGACTCCATTACCTATCCTGATTCGCGCGCACAACAACAAAAGCGACAAGAAGGCAGGTACAGACCGCAAGGATGTTGACAAGATTGTCCTGAGCACAGTCGTCAAGCCGGATGACTTGGACGGGTTTTACGTACGATATGCGGAAGCATGCAAGACAGGCATGAGCGGATTGAAGAAGAGGGACCGAAAGAAGGGCAAGAAGGATAAGAAAAAGAAGAAGGTGGCAGTATGAGGATCGGAACCATGAAGCTCACACGGAATCACGACATCAGTATAAAAAATGCGGTTGGAGACTGCCTCGCAATAAGGCTTGCCCAGCAGCAAGTAAACGGGGACATGAAAATGGCGCATGACGGAATAACCGAATTATGCATACTGTCTACCTAACGACACAAGCATGGGCTATGTATGGCTAAATAATGCAATATACCCACAAGACTAAACCCACGGTCAAACATTCTCCCCAAGTTGACACATCCGGCCTTCCTCACATAATTCCCCTCTCAATTCTCAAACCTTACTCCCCTTCTTCTCAACCATCCTCCTCAACCCCTTCAAATTCAACGGCACAGGCTGCCCCATCCACGTCGCCCTCTGACTATGATCCCTGACCTCATCGTCGGAATTCGGATGAATCAGCGCCGACAACGGGCCTCGATTAATCACCAGCCACGGAATGAAGGCGCCGAATTGCTCTTTTTGCTGATTAGCATGAGATGTAGATGTAGATGTAGATGTAGATGTAGATGTAGATGTAGATGTAGATGTAGATGTAGATGTAGATGTAGATGTAGATAGGGGTGTAGGTATACGTACCTGGAGTAAATAAATTAACCTCAAACATACCCATCGGATGCGGACCGATGGGTTTATCCCACACTCGATAAATCCGCAATTCCGGGACTTTTGTCGAGATACTGTTAGCTAGACTCGAACGACTCAAACATGCAAACTTACACTCGCGCCTAATCCGTTCCCAGAGCTCATTTGCGAATTTCAGCTCTTCGTCGTCGCTTTGCAGAAAGTAGATGTGTATGTCGAAGCCGCCGCGTGTGCCGTTTGTGATGGGCGAGGGGAAGGAGGTGTATGCTGGGCTTTTTTGGGAGGAGGGCGGGTTGAGGTAGGATTTTCCGTCGGGGGCTTTTTCGCTGGGGAGGTGTGAGTATGGGGGATAGTTGGTGGGATGTGTAATATGATTGAGACTTACTTTGGTAGAGGATCGAGACCTTCGTAGCCTTTTAGCGGAGAGGGATATGTGTAGAGACTTGGGTCGGACATGATTGATGGTTGTTCGGAATTGCAAGTTGATTTGATACTACTTGAGTTGAATTAGTATTTTAAGTATAATGTATACTCGTGCATAAGAGTTGAATTATAACGAGGTGTCGGTTCTTTAAACGGCTGGTTTGTCAGCGCGGAATTGACGACCTTGAGGTTATTGTAAGGAGCGACCAGACATGTCACGTAAGCTTGCGTGATCAGCGATGAGCTAGTTATTGGACTACAAGAGATAGCTTTTCTAGAACTTGTCCAGACCCTGGTCTTCCTTACTACATGTTCACAACTACAACCAAAAGTTACCGGGTGCAACAGCAGGCACCCCCTCTGGTAGCCATGGGCTATACATAAGGCCTTGAGCATTTAATTTGAACCTTGAAGGATTAGGATACTGTGTATAGCTTCATGCGATCAGCTCGACAGCAAGACTCAGTCTATTTTCCCTTGCAGCTGATAACATACGGTACACGTCCGCCGGCACTTGCTTCGAGGTGTCACACGTAGAATTTGACTTCCGGGAAACAAAGATTCCGTAGTCACTGCACGACACGAGATGACTGTTTCTAGACAGATAAGGGAAATTGTAGGTGTTCTTATCGAGACTCGGAGTGCCTCACATGTCGCGCGCACGGCCGCCGAGGGGTAATTTGGAGTCACGGCGGGGTGACTCAAATATTGAGACCAGCTCACAACGACCCCCCAAACATTGCCCAGACACTTCATACCACCCCAATTGCAGTCGCCATGGCGGATGCTACATACTACATCGACGAAGACGTCGGCCACGACACGGCGGAACAGACTGGCGACGAATCTCTGCCGTACAAGAGTCTGGGATATGCTGTCCTCACTCGCGGCGAGACCGCAAAGTTCAAGACAAGAAAGAGCGTCACTGGTGAGGTTGCAGAGGGCGCCGATCCGTCGTCAAGACTCGAGTGGAAAGATGCGGCCAAGTCGGCGCTGAAGAAAGCTGTCAACTACGCAAAGGCGCAGAAGAAGAAGGCCGGGAAAGAGGAGGAACAGTTGGCGCTGCGCCAGAAGGAGGACGCCGCCCGCAACATCGTCCTTGATGAGGCCAAGAAGATCGTGCTGGAGGAAGACACAAGCCTGCCCGCGGCAATCAAGATTAAGCTCGATGACACCGACCCGAAGAAGATCTCGCTGGGCAACGGAAAGGATGTCAAGGGCACGCGAGTCCGCGTCTTCGGTAGGGTACATCGTGAGCGCAGGCAGAAGGAGGTCATGTTCATCACATTAAGAGACGGGTACGGCTACATGCAGGTCGTCATCACCGGCAAGCTCGCAAAGACCTACGACGCCCTCACACTGACGCGCGAGACGAGCATGGAGATCTTGGGTGAACTGAGGGAGGTACCCGCAGGCGCACATGCGCCCAACAACCGCGAACTACAGGCAGACTTCTACAAGATCCACGACGGGTGGCAGGCTGCTGGTGGAGACGACGCCATCACCAACAGGGTGTCCAAGGACACTGAGCACGCGACACTGCTGGACTTGCGCCACCTTACCCTGCGTGGAGAGACCGCGTCCAAAGTCATGATTGTGCGCGACGCCGTCGAGTTCGCATTCAACCAGGTCTACCGGGAGCAGCGGTTACGCAAGGTCAGCCCACCTGCGCTCGTCCAAACTCAAGTCGAAGCGGAGCCACGCTCTTCAAATTCGGCTACTACAACGAGGAAGCCTACCTCACGCAGTCCTCCCAGCTGTACCTCGAGACCTGCCTGCCCTCCATGGGCGACGTCTACTGCATCGAAAAGTCCTTTCCGCGCCGAGAAGTCACTGACCCGCCGCCATCTGGCCGAGTACACGCCACATCGAAGCCGAGCTCGACTACATCAACTTCGACGACCTGCTCACCCACCTCGAGGAAGTCATGTGCCGCGTCATCGAAGTCACCATGTCCGACCCCGTCGTGAAGCAGCACATTGCCGACCTCAACCCGGAATTCGCCATGCCGGAGCGCCCCTTCAAGCGCATGAAGTACCAGGACGCCATCGACTGGCTGGTTGAGCACAACATCCCCAACGAGGACGGCGAGCCCCACAAGTTCGGCGACGACATTGCTGAGGCCGCTGAGCGCAGGATGACTGACATTATCAACCGCCCCATCTTCCTGACGCATTTCCCCACGGAGATCAAGGCGTTCTACATGCTCAAGGACAAGGAGGACCCGCGTGTTACCGAGAGCGTGGATTGCTTGATGCCTGGTGTTGGTGAGATCGTGGGCGGAAGTATGAGGATGGATAACTATGATGAGTTGATGGCCGCGTTCGCGAGGGAGCAGATTGATCCCGCTGCGTACTACTGGTACACTGATCAGAGGAAGTAAGTCCTAACCACCCCATACCCGATACCCCATCCATCCATCCCCCCCTCGATAAAATCATCACTAACACAAATCAGATACGGCTCCTCCCCGCACGGCGGCTACGGCCTCGGCCTCGAGCGCTTCCTCGCCTGGCTGTGCAAGCAACACACCGTCCGCGACTGCTGCCTGTACCCGCGCTACTTCGGGCGCTGCAAGCCTTGAGCGGCTCTTTTTCTTTTCCTTCGCCTTGGCGGCCGTGCAGTTTAGATAGGGCTTGTGTGTGACGACGCGTAAGGCTTGCCAGCAGATGTTGCACTAGAACCCAACCGTGGACGAATCATACCCAATCAAATCATCGTGTTTGACTTTATTCCCCCAGGTGTTTTGCACGACTGTGTTTTGCATGATTAGCATCCAGTTTGTCCACTTGATTGTTCGCCTCTTTGATCTTTGTGAGGCTCGAGTCGGGGGGGAGTATCCTGGTCTTGTTTCGGAATGGGTGCGCTGCGTGTCAGACAGAGGCATGCATCATGATCGTCATGTCCACAGGCACCAGGTATACGACGGTTGGTAAGCCAAGCGGCAATCTCCAAGCCTGGTCTCGATACATCACATAGCAGCAGCAAATACTTCATGCTCAAGACTCCATGATACTATTCTCCCCAATCTACCAAAGCGTACATGTCCGCCCCAAGATAGCCTCCAGATATTCCCCATCCCTCCGCAGCTACTATGCAAGCCCAAGCAAAAAGGAAAAGACAAGCGGCAGGTGTCAGTCTGCGTGCAAACCAGAGACCCCACAGTTCAGGCGCCAGATAGAAGAAGTAAAAAGTTCCGCGCCGAGAGCTTTTTAAGAATGTACAGAATGTGTGTCAATGTCAGTTGATTCTCGAAAACTCCTCGCTATGCAGTTTGGTACAGGAAGCTACTCTCCGCAAAAAAGGTTGCTGGAGTAGTGGCAGGTAGGTAAGGAAAAGGTGCGCGGAAGTTGCGCAATCGAGTACAAGGGGGTTCGGGGAACGATGATAGTGTTCATCGTTGTCGCTACATGGGTGGTACTTTTGGAGGAGGTTGGGGGATGATTGCGCGGCGCGCGTCCGTGTGTTGCGGACAGGTGTATCGTCTATTTCGAAGACGGCTGAAATTCGCGCAGCTGTCCTTGAGGTTCGCACAAGAAGGCCGATAGCGCAGAACGCCAGCGAAAGAATAGTCCGAGGACGGATGTTGGAATGTGTCCTGTGTTTGATGCATGTTGAAGTTCCGAAGGTCCAGACTCAGGACTAGGTTTGTAAGTGGCGCCGCTGTGTTGAAGCTAGAGTCGGGTGAAGAGTAGGTGACCATCGCTCAACCCTTTAGACGGCGCGAAATGAGCTCTTGAAGCTGCAGTAGCGACTCACGCTCGCTCTCGGTGACTGAAGGAGGTCCGGCGTTGTCAAGGGCAGTGGTGACATCGTTGTTGGCTTCGGCCTGGGACAAGCATATTAGCGCCGATGATCGCAAACAATGCAAGTGGGGCAAAGGGAGAAGTCTTACAGTGAGCGTGAGAAGAAGCAAGTCGAGTTTGCCTTCAGATAGGCCGATGTCCTTCTCTTTGTTGGCAAATCGTGCTAGATTGAGTGCTGCCTGCTGTTGAGCCATGGGACGCGCGATGAAGTTCTGCATCGTGGCATTGTGCTGTGCAGCGACCATCGCCTTGTTTTGCGCATCAGAGTGCTTCGCAACACGGCCGCTGTAAGACACGTTAGCTATTGTTGGAATGACTGGATGAGACGCGTGCACGTACCCTTTGACCTTGCTGACGAAGTCGAGGATGACTCCCTTCTCGGGCACACGGAACACCTTTGAGTTGAGGTCCTTGGGGTCATCGGGACCAAACACGTAGTTGCCTTCGCCATCAGTGTCGTCGTCGGGATCATTGATAAGCTCAATCAAGCCGTTGTTGCGCATACCGCGAGAGAACGTAGGCTCGATGATCTTGGGATGCTTGCGCTTTCGGATCTTGCGTGCGACCCGGGCAGCCGGCGCGGCGTCCGCCATCTCGACATCGCCATTGAGATCATTCTGGAAAAGTTGGCCACTGCGAAGATCATGCTCGATGTGACGCGGACATCGCCACGCATCTCGCTGAGAAGAATCAACGCTGATGTGTGGCGGGTTAGCGAGAGGCGGGTCAAGGCAGTCCAAGTGCCAGTGCGCGGGACAGAAGTCACACTTCAACAACTGACGCTTGCTGCCGCTTGAAAGGCCACACTGCGTGCACAAAATAGGCTTTCCATCGGCATCAAACACCTTCGTGTAGTCAGGCTTCTGGTAGCCATAGCCGCTGTGCTTTGTACTGTGTCGCGTTAGTGCTAAATCACGCGACGAGACGCGTCAGACTTACAGTGGGAACTTCTTGACCTCCTCGAAATATGAGCCATCAGCTTTCGCGGAGACACCCTCGAACTCGTGTTGAATATCGTGGGGCAGAGCAAACGCGCGGGGGTTAGTACGCTCCAAAGTCTTGAAGATAGGCCCCAGGTTCAAGTGCGTCTCAGTAGACTCTTCGGTCGCACTCTTCGGCCTGCACTCATAACAGTAGAATGCATCCTCAGGAACCTCCGCACGTGGCGGATCGCAACATAAGAGATGGAAAACGCGTGGACATGTTTCGCAGCAAACAAACTCGCCCGCGCCTTTGCAGGCTGAGCAGAAGTCGTCACTGTCTGATGACAACGAGTTCTGACAATCGGTTAGAGGTGAAGATAAAACCGAAAGTGGAGGCGAAATAGGAAGTTGAGAGGCGTAAGACTCCGAG